CTATCAATCCTTCACGAAAGTTGACGATAACTAGCCAATTGTAAATACTGTGTAGAGCCTTGGGAACAGATGTTGAATTGGCCTCGTTGGAAAATCAATTAACATTACCATTAACATTACCTCCCTCGATTGGGAAAACTTGTCGTCAACTTTACACAAGCAATTTTATCTCAATTCCATATTTTGCCATCCATACGCTAGGTACTAGGGGAGGGGAGGGCAAAATGGGGCATGAAACCGCAGAGGCTAATTATGAGTGTTTTTTGGTCAAAATTACTTATATTTGAGGTAAAATATGGTTCCAGCATGAGGTGAAATCACGTCAATTAAAAAAAAATAATAATTGAAGGACAAAATGGGAATGCCCCAATTGAAATACATCAAAATTGCGTTGATTGACTTTGATTATAAATAGTATGAAATTAATTAAAATGTATACTTATATGTTACATATTTTTTCGATCCATAATCAAAGTCGTCTCAGGGTGTTTTGACGAAATTCGCGGAGTTTCAACAATAAAAAATTGAAAATAAAATAGGTCCAGGACGAAACCTAACTGGTTTGACAGTTCAAAATACTTGTTTTGATGACAAGAATTAATGAAAAAAATACGAGAAAAATAAAACGTGACATAATTTTGAAAATTCAAGTTTTTCAACTTTTTTTTTAATTCGTTATAATGAGCACCTAGGGGTTGAGCAAAAAAATATTCAAAATATTCTTATATATAGTAGAAAATGGAAAATTTTGATGGGTTATAAATGAAAATCGAATGAATAGAAGTTAACTTATTAAAAAATAAAGAAAAAATCATATAAAAAATGAGATAAAATGAAATGGATTGTCGAAAAAATCTGAAAAAAAATGAGCGATAGTTTTTAATTAACTCATCTGGTAGTTATTTCATACTTTTCTCGCAAATTCATCATTATTTCAATTTTTGGGAAAATTTTGAGGTGCTCCATTTTGCCCACCCTGCCCCGTTTTACCCTACCCTCCCCTATTTGGTGCCCATTCAGTGCATGTGCTACGGGTCAACTCAATATTTTTCGATGTTTTTTGGTGCGTAGAACCCGAATTTGAAGGTCGTTTTGCCGACAAATCATACAAACAAAAGTTCCAAACGATTCAATTTTTGGAATCGAGTTTCACAGCCGAACGGTTCGAACCTGATGAATATTTCAATAATTACGGGAATAATTCAATGCATACGCATGGAAATTACGCTTTTGAATCAAATAAAATTTCTTCATTTGAGTTTTTTATATTCATTTCAACAATATTTTTGTTGGAAAATAATAAACTCATGTGTTTATTTCCGCGAAATTACGACTGCGTTGCACACAGAAAATACAGTGTCGATTTTAAGCATAAGACTGTATTTTCCGCGAACAGAATTCTATATGTAAAGTCCGATTAATTATGCGTAAAGTCGGCGCATTTTATGCACATTTGGCGCACAACTAGTTGGATTTTACACATAGAATTGTATTTGCGCACTGTTAGAAAATAAATTGAAATTTCATAGACAGTCGACTAGTAATTTTTGCAGGAAGCTGACATAAAAATTTCAGGTTTCACTAAAAATTCAACGAATTTCCATAATTTTCGAGCTGCATAGAGATGAGAATTCCTCTATCTATTTAATTTCATTTCATTTCATTTTATTTCATAAAGACCCAACAGCAGAAGGCCAATTACAGGATCAAACTACAGTCTACAAACAATATAAAAGTGAAATCAATCGATAAAATTTGAATCGTTTTAATTATTTGAATTTTTAATGAAATCATGAATTTTCAGTACCAATTACACAATAGAAAATCCGGTGCGGACTTCTTGGGACCCCGTTTGGTGTTGAATTAACATCAGATTTTACATGCGATGTCCTATGGTGCGGTGTAATTTTAACACCGCAACTTCGCACCAAAAACGGTGTACACTCATTGGGACACCGATCGGTGTCATTTTAAGAATGTTTATCCAAAATCACAAGTATTCAAAAAAAAAATTGATTTTTTTTCAACTGAGAGATGAAGTTATTCCCTTTATCTTGAGAAAAATTGCAATCCACTAACCCACGTTTATTATTTAGAAATGAAGTGGACAAAATGCACCAAACGCATGCGCTAACATTTACTGATATGGGAGAGAATCTTTCAAATATTTACTCTTTTTGCCCGGGTACCCCGAATTTTTCTCTGGCCATTCGATTCAGTATAGTTTATGCACATTACCTTCTTTTTTTATTTCTATTTTTAGAGTCTCCTAGTGAATTATAAATTGAATTGAATTGAATTGAATTGAAATATAAGGTAAATTATAAATTTCAACATAAATCCCATAAGAGCCCGTGTATAATGAAAAATTTGGTTATTCATTTCTTTTCTCATTCCATTTACGTGGCGACTCGTACAATTTCAGTTCCGACTCACACTTTTTATTGAATTTTCAACGTTTTTTCGTAAAAAACGTCGAAACGTCGGAACGTCATTTTCGTTGTTTTTTTGGTAATTTTTATTGAATTTTTCTCTCCGTGGGTGACATGTCGAGAATTGTAAACCGCAGTATTATGAGTGAGGAAAACGCGTTCGGTAAAATTTCTATCGGCGCGGGAAATTTTACTGTACGGAGGATAATTTTTCCATCCACAGAGGTGTTTTTTTGCCGAACGAATCGTAAAATATTCTCCACAAACAGGTATTTTTTCACTGAATTACATTTCGCTCCACGATCGTCTTTCGCACAGTAAAATTTGCCACGATTTTCTAGGTAATTATTATTCAACTTTTCTCACTGTGTGTATCTTCTTTAAAAGGAAGTAAATGATTCGCGGCTTTGATAGATTTTAATCACTCGCGTGATTAATGTCCCGCCTTAACTTGTAGATCTTGGCACAGTTGAGCAAGGTCAAAGTCGCTCGTTTTTCTCGTTGAGTTGAGTGATCAAAGGTCACGTTTATACTCGGTACCAATTATTTCCCGTTTTATAATCATTGCCTGTTTTTCAGGGGCAAACTCTTCTTATTAAATTTTTAGCATTTTGTTGCTCTTGTCCTGGGCAATGTAAAGGAACTAACATTTTATCACAAATCAAAGACATTTTTCGACCGGCATATTGAACATAACATTAACATTTAACTAACATTATGTTTAACTAACATTTTATCGAAGGGCTCAGAGGGGAGCTGTAAAAAAGGCAATCGGTTGTATACAGTTGAAAATTTGCGTCTGAATTGAAAAGTTCACTGAAATTTTAGGAAATCTTATCATCGAAAAATCGAATATTTCATCGATTTTCTGTTCAAATGATCTGAAAACCAGTAAAATAGTTGATTTTGCAGTTCAATTATTCTGTAAATATTAAGAAAAATCAGAAAAATTCAAGGAAAAATTAAAATGCATGCCATTTTGTTTCTGAATATTCAATCAAGTTGAAAAATTTCCATCTCACTCCTAGTGAAAACTCAAGAATTTCCGTGAATTCTACTTAAAACTTGAAGTTTCATAACAATTTTTCCTCTAAATCCGATTTAATCTCCCTCCCATGAGATTTAGTATAATGTCTTCCATGAAATTTCAAAAAATTTCGAACAGTATAGAAGTAAGGAATGATAAGAATAATGATGATGATTCATAATAAGGAATTCATAAGGAATAATGAATGATACATACAACTAATTTGAAAATCTGGCAAAATTAGTTACAAAGAAATCTTATTCAATTTAATAAAATGAAATAAACGATGAATTATATATATATTGCTAATTAATTAGCAAAAATAACTATAATATATACAATTCAATAGCAATTTCCCACTTGTTTCACTTATCGGCGAATAGCGAAGCCAAATCCTCACGTAGGAAAAAGTTCAATAGAAAACCTTAGTGAATTCGCTAGAAAATTCTATGGGGACTCTATTAAAATTCTAGAGAATTCTCGTTAAAATTCTATTTGTTTTTTTGCGCAGATTCTATTAAGGATTTGATAGGAAAAAGACAATAGTTTTCGATTTTTCTGTTTGAATTTTTCTCTTGAGATTTTTTCTATTCTCAAGAGATCTTGTTCTAGTAATTCATGCCCAAGTATTCTTATAGAAAAAATTCGAAGAGAATATTCGCATGGAAAAATCGAAATCTATTGACTTTTTTCTATCAAATATCCGGTAGAATCTGGACAAAAACTAATAGAATTTTAACGAGAATTCCTTAGAATTTTAATTTTGTTTTCATTCGGAAGCGAAAGCGTTCCAAGAAATATAATATCACGTATGAAAATATTCAGTAGAAAACCTAGCGAATTCGCTAGAGAATTCTATTGGAATTCTATGGAGTTTCTATAGGATTTCTATTGTAATTCTGTCGAAAAATTCTATTTGTTTTTTGCGGTGATTCTATTAGATATTCGATAAGAAAAAGTCAATAGATTTCGAATTTCTGTTGGAATTTTTCTCTTGATATTTTTTCTATTAGACATTATTGGGCACAAATTTTCCAAGTTTTTTCCGCTGGATTTTGTTTCGTTTTACATTACAGATTGCGGGTGGAAAAAACTTATAAAATTGACGCCCAAGCATTCTTATAGAAAAAATCTCAACATTCCAAACAGAAATTCTAAATCTATTGACTTTTTCTTATCGAATATCCAATAGAATTAGCGCAAAAAGCAAATAAAATTTTCCAGTAGAATTCCAACAGAAATCCTATAAAAATCCCAAAGAATTCCAATAGAATTTTCTAGCGAATTCGCTAGGTTTTCCACTGAATTTTTTCCTGCGTGATCAAATGAATCATTGAACGAAAACGTACAAAATAATGAAATTGCGATAATGACAGTTTCTCACCCAAACAAAATATGAAAATCGAAGAAAAGTGAAAGCCGTTGCGTGCTGCCCCCTGGTATTAAGGGACTCAATGACTTGGGAAACCGGTTGCTATGCATTCGCCCACTCACACATCCCCACTTACATAAACTGCGGGTAGCGAACGGGTTTACAAATACACGCGCATCATCGTTAATCTCTCTTCACTTCCAGTTCAGTATCAATTCGTGTGTGAGTTATGAAACATGTGATTTGCCGTGTAGTTGCGATCTTTGGAACGTACTCACCGAAGAATACGAAAAATATCTCTGTCCAGTGGTTGTGGGTATACCAAGTTCGATAGTCGCCGGAGTTTGACATCTGTCACGGTCATTGTTGGATTACTTTTGTTCAGTAAACATCAAATGGGTAATTCTGTGTTTTAATATTACGAGAAAAGTCATTTTGTTTACATTTCACTTCCGGTATTTCGAGGCGAGTTATTCAGTTATGCAGAATTAATCGGTGATTGATTGTTTAATCACTTCCGCATTGAGTAATACTGACTGACTTTTTCGAGTTGTTAATTGTTTTGAATTTTTACTGGTAATTGTTTATGAAATGGAAGGAATGCTATTTTTTCGAGTGAAATGGTTTCATTTGTAGCCCATTTGACCCTACGTTTCCGGACCTTTTGGAATGATTTTATTATTTAAACCTTGCAGGTCTGAATTTGAATCTCGATATTGAAAAATATGAAAAGAATGAGAAAGTTCACTTTTGGGGGAAGATTGAGAACATAATTTGAAAATTGCAACTTTTGGAAATTACGAGCATCTTTTTATAATTAATTTATAAACAATCAATTTTCCGTCATGAAAATCATTTGTTTGGGATTGTAACAAATTTATTCATGTCCTAAAAAATAAGGTTTCCGTATTTTGTCTAGAGTGAAATGGTTTTCTACTTTTTTCATTTGAGCTCCATTTGACCCTAAGTTTCCGGACATGTTACAATGATTTTATTATTTGAACCTGGCAGGCTTGAATTTGAATCTCGATATTGAACCGTTGGAAAACACTAAAAATATGAAAAAATGAGAAATTTTACTTTTGGGGGAAGGTTGAGAAAATAATTCTAAAATTGCAATTTTTGAAAATTACCGGCATTTTCTATAATTAATTTATAAACTATCACTCTTCTACCATTAAAATCATTCCTTTAGAATCGTAACAAATTTATTCATCATCACAATCTTACCAGAAATTAATTTCATGCCTTAAAAAAAAAGGTTTTCCTATTTTTTCTACAGTGAAATGGTATTCTACTTTTTCATTTCAGCTCCCAAAAAAATGAGAAATTTTACTTTTGGGGGAAGATTGAGAAAATAATCAAAAAATTTCAATTTTTGAAAATTACCGGGATTTTCAATAATTAATTTATAAAATACCAATCTTCTACCATTAAAATCATTTTCTTGGAATCGTAACAAACTTATTTGTAATCAGAATTTTATTAGAAATCGATTATATATCTTAAAAAATAAGGTTTCCGTATTTTTTCTACAGTGAAATGCTTTTCTACTTTTTTCATTTGAGCCCCATTTGACCCTAAGTTTCCAGACATGTTACAATGATTTTATTATTTGAACCTTGCAGGTCCGAATTTGGATCCCTATATTACACCATTAGAAAATATCTAAAAACCTAAAAAAAATTGAAAAGTTTACTTTTGGAGGTAAATGTGGCGCTAGTCCTTCCTTAAAAAAAACCATGCACAATATTTTGAATCAAAAATGAGAACTCGAATACGGCGGATATCTCAAATGAATAGAGAAAATAAGGCAGTTTTCATGAGTACAATCGTCCTGCGTCGAATTTTCATGAAGCCTGCCTGACAAACAAAGCAGAATCAAATACACTGATAGAACGGATTAGTTATTGTTAACGAATGGATTTTGGTTGGAGGGTAGGGTCTACTGGGTCCCACCAAATGTTCATTCGTTAATAGTTAACGAATGTATATTTGAGGAGCCTTGTTTGAGTTGACTTTCGCCATTCAAGTGAACCATTCGTTAACTATTAACGAATCTCGTTTGGAATAAATTAATCATTCTATCAGTGTACCATTCTATGAAACATGAATAAACGAATCATAATGAAAACCCATCTGAACCATTAATTATCCAAACCATTTATTCCAGAGGAAGATAGAATAACTCCATTTTTTTTCGCAGATCAAATGAATGGAACACGCACGATGCTTAATTACAGTGATGTAAGTGTCCCATCCGCGTTTAAAACGCCTGACACAGCAGTTTCAATAAATAATTAATAAATAATTGGTGGATTTCAGCTCGTGCAGCGGTCCAGAGACGCATTTCTCAGTGGAAAAACAAGACCTCTGGAATGGAGGCTGAAACAACTGAAGCAATTTCACAAAATGCTGATTGACAATACGGGGGAAATAATTGTGGCGTTAGAAAGCGATCTACGAAGGGTGAGGAAATAATCCATAGCGCATAATGATGAACAAGCCTTTATCTTTATTAATTCATCGAACATCTTGTCTTTCTAATTTTCATGAGTGCGGGAAATTGATCCATCGAATTGTTTCTAAAATAAGAGTTTTAAGAATAGTCTCTCGTTCGACTAGGGCGCCTCGACATGACACGCCATTCCGCTCACGCACAAACGTAAATTATTAATTATTATCAATAATACTAGACTTTGAGAAATATTAAGTTTCTGTAATATTACAAGAATTTAACCCTTACATTAATGAAGGTTTAAAATATGCTGATCAAATGTAATAAATATTGTAGTATAATATTAATAATCTGATTTTTTTAAAATAATGATGAATGAAAATTTGTACTGAAAATTTGACTGTAAATTTACCACTAAGTGAACAATTCAAATTTCTTAAAAGGGGATCTTCGATTACATGAATAATCGTCAATCTTTTTACCCCAATTATTGATTATTAAAATTGTTAACTAATTAACACACAATATTATTAACGTAATAATATTTAGCGGTCATTAAATATTATGGATTTGGCTATCCCTGGTTCTACACGTAGGAAAAAATCGTATAGAATCTTTCTATACGGACTGTGTATAGCATTTCTATAGGTTTTTCGTATATGATATTCGGATATTTCTATACGAAAATTTCCTATACGGTTCATTTCTATACGAATTTTTACACGAATTCGTATAGAAATAATCCGTATAGGGAATTTTTGTATAGAAATATCCGAATATCATATACGGAAAACCTATAGAAATTCTATACGCAAATCGTATAGAAACTTTCTATACGATTTTTTCATACGCGTATATCCATGTTAACTTTCGTTTAGAATTTATTTCAGATTTTAATCTTCGCAATTAAAGTTATGTTTATATTACGTTAAAGATCATGTTTTGAAGGATTCCAAATAGGTAGCAATACGAACTGAGACATGAATTCAACAATAGTACCGATTTGGTTAAACTTTATCTGCTATCAGTTCATGACTTTGATAATGCGTGTATTTAAGGTTAACCCCTCACGAACCGCGTCGATATCATGCATCGACCCATAAACTTGTTCTATCGGCCGGAGTCAATGATGGTATCGACCCTTTCCGTCAACAGTACAAAATCATTTTCTCGAATTCTAAGAGACATATTGACATTTGGAAAAGATATTTGGAAAGTCAATGGAAATGTCTCTGCAGTAAACTGTTTTATTTTATTTTTTTTTCAATGCAATTATAATATTTTTTTCTATGAACAAAAGTTGTAGATGAAAATTTTACATCCAACCGATTCAATCATATTAAATCATCTCGTTTATCAACAAAATTTCCCCCAAAAAATTTGAAATTTTTACTGAAAATACTTCAATGATCCTTCTATCGAATGGCAGAAGTTAAATTTCGATTTAGTGAATAATTTGTTTGTTATAAATAAATTTAGCATGTTCGAAGATCTGAGCAACCAATTATCGGCAAACATTGAAATTGGTGTAAAAAATTAGGAAATTCTTTAGGAGTTTGTTTCAAAATTCAATACAGCGAATGCATTTTATTTCAATATTTTCGTTCGACTGTTTTTAAGTTATCGTTCATTGAATAACGGAGTTGACGCGCCGTAAGTCTCCCGGCCGTTGGGACAAGCCGCGTTATATGGGCGCCGAGGGGTTAAGGATAGAGATGCAAAATGACCGTCATTTTTTAGATTGTGTCATACGACTAAAATTGACGGTCCTGTGACGGTCCTGTGACGCACAAATTTTGCAACTACAAATGATTGTCACAAATCATTTGTAACCAAATTGTTGTCAAACTATCTGTATAGTTGCATAATGACGGTTATAACTAATTTCCAATTTGTGACGGTCATGAATAAAACAAAATAGTTTCATCTATATGGATGAAAAAAAAACGTGATTTCCATTTCAAAATGCGGCCAATACAAAAGGGATTCAACTGAAAATTGACGGAGAAAAAAATCTAGTTTCATCTATATAGATGAAAAATGACCGTCATTTTTTCTTGACAAGTTGTGACGGTCACAGAAGGGCGAGGGGGAATTGTGCATTTTTTAGATCGCGTCATATGACCAAAAAATGACGGTCTTGTGACGGTCCTGTGACGCACAAATTTTGCAACTACAAATGATTGTCACAAATCATTTGTAACCAAATTGTTGCCAAACTATCTGTATAGTTGCATAATGACGGTTATAACTAATTTCCAATTTGTGACGGTCATGAATAAAACAAAATAGTTTCATCTATATGGATGAAAAAAAAACGTGATTTCCATTTCAAAATGCGGCCAATACAAAAGGGATTCAACTGAAAATTGACGGAGAAAAAAATCAAGTTTCATCTATATAGATGAAAAATGACCGTCATTTTTTCTTGACAAGTTGTGACGGTCACAGAAGGGCGAGGGGGAATTGTGCATTTTTTAGATCGCGTCATATGACCAAAAAATGACGGTCTTGTGACGGTCCTGTGACGCACAAATTTTGCAACTACAAATGATTGTCACAAATCATTTGTAACCAAATTGTTGCCAAACTATCTGTATAGTTGCATAATGACGGTTATAACTAATTTCCAATTTGTGACGGTCATGAATAAAACAAAATAGTTTCATCTATATGGATGAAAAAAAAACGTGATTTCCATTTCAAAATGCGGCCAATACAAAAGGGATTCAACTGAAAATTGACAGAGAAAAAAATCAAGTTTCATCTATATAGATGAAAAATGACCGTCATTTTTTCTTGACAAGTTGTGACGGTCACAGAAGGGCGAGGGGGAATAGTGACAGCTGTCATGAACGGCTCGTGAGGTGACCGTCAATGACAGTCACATGACCGCCATATGACGGGTGACATGACCGTCATATGACGGGTCATGTGACGCATTTGCATCTCTAGTTAAGGAGGCATTCTAGAGCCCTGACTTCACCCATGTAACTCTAGAATGGAGCGGCTAGGCCCACAAAGCGCCCTATGCCACCTACATTTATCAAGATCTATTGTAGCGACCGCTTGATCAAGACTTTGAATGGTTAGATCATCATCATTTTACTCCTCTCGCATGTGAGACAACCCTCTTACCCACTGCGCCATGCCGTCGGTCATGCGTGCATTTAGTACTTATACATTTATATTTTCCTAAATCAGCATTTTTCATTCTCTAAAAACTAACTGTCGAGATATCCGAATAAACAAAAAATTTGGATTCATAAAATTATTTAAATGGGGTTCAATTATTGGGTTGTACCCTTGCTCTTCTTGCTGACACCCAGATAATTCTTCTTCCCAGTGTAAATTCGAGACAACAGCATTGGAGTTAGACACAGCTCTGGGAGATGTCAAATACATGATAATGAATTTAAAAGAATTCTCAGCAGTTGAAAAGGTAAATCTCAAGTCCACTCACAATATCGGAAAAAGGATTTATTCATGAGTGTAAATACGAAGAATGAATTATTCATATGATTTTTTTTCAGCCATCAAAGGGTATTGTGAATATGTTTGACTCCGTTGAGATCCATAAAGATCCGTACGGAGTTGTGCTTATTATTGGGGCATGGAATTATCCGCTACTTTTGAATGTCTCTCCGTTCATGGGTGCTATTGCCGCTGGTAACTGCGCTATTCTGAAACCATCGGAAATATCTCCAGCCACCTCTAAACTTCTTGCCACGATTATTCCAAAATATCTCGATACAGTGAGTTTACAGAACTAATACTTAAGCGATTAATCGAGAGAACTTTTACTGATTTTTCCAGTAATTTTACGGAATAGGATTTTTTAGGTCATCATTAACAAAGCTTAAATATCTTTCGAATAAAATTCTCATATTTTACTGAAAATAATTATTATTATCTCAAATGATCGATTTTTCAGTTTTCTATATTTTTTATTTTCATCGCTAATTATTATTGTCACAGACATATTTATACACTCATGTATTTTCTCTTGAGCGCAGATGGTTAAAACTTTCAACAAACTATTGCATTAATTTCCCATTCGACTAGAGTACTCTGTGGATTAGGGATATTAATAATGAGTTGTCAATGAATCGTTGACTATGAGTCGTATTACGTGAGCGATGTAAATATTGACTTTCGACAAAACAGCAATCAAGATAATCTATTCACGATTCGCAATTTTCGTCGAATTAATTTTTTATCACCGTGTGCGGCTTAATCGTTGAAGAAATTTGTTCACATGCGCCAAAATTACTACGTGCGCCAGAAAGTAACGTGCCGTAATTATAAGAAGAGTGACATTGATTTCCGTTTAGGGGAACAAATGATGAAATTTCCGATTTTCTTGAAAATTCAGTGGAACTCAAAATTTTTGAGCAGCAGGAAGATGAGAATGACTAACTTACTTGGGTATTCAATCTACACATGAATATTCAGTACCAAATCACGCTGAATTATCGATTAATTGAATATTCAAGAAAATATTTGCATATTTCAATTTTTCTGATTTTTCCAATTTGCATGGAATAACTGAACTAAAATTCTCAGTTTCTATTAATTTTTGATAAAATTCTAAATTTTCAATGATAGAATTCCTTGAAATTCCAGTAGAACTGCAATCTGATAGAAATTTCCAACAAATATACTGGATATTTCAGCCAAATATTTTTAACAATGATGAGATAATTATGAATTCCTGAATGATAGCTTCAGTTGAATTGTTGTGATCGTTTTATTGACTATTAGTTCATATCGGTCATTTTCTATAATGAATTCATTGATCTCTTTAGGAATGTTACCATGTCGTCACTGGAGGTGTTCCGGAAACAACAGAACTATTAAAACAAAAGTTCGATTATATTCTTTACACTGGTTCGACTACAGTCGGCAAAATTGTCCGTGAGGCTGCAAATAAACATTTGACACCTGTCACCTTGGAACTTGGTGGTAAAAGGTGATTAAACCGATTTCTTTTTAACAACATTTTGAACTCTTAAATGAAGAATAAAGCGTCGGAAGAAGATTTGGTAGACCATTCACTTTTCGATCCAAAAGATTTTTTTTCTTTTATTTATTGAAGCTTAATTGAATCTAAAGGTAAAGACATGTCTTCCTTAAAATAAATGTTGTCTGATCTTGTTTCGTACTTATCACCGAGATAATTCAGTAGCGAAGCGGTAATGCGAAGTCGATTTTGACTGTTGGTCAGTTTTAAAATGAATATCTCGGAATCTAAGGTATATAGCAAAATTTTTGTCACCACCTTTTTTATAGAGCGAATTGAGAGCTACGAAAAAGGTAATTACGAAAATTCCGGTATCTCTCTTAGATTCGGAGATATTCCTAAAAAACTCAGTTCAGAGCTAAGTCGACTGGAACCGTTTTACCGCTTCGATACTGAATTGATTAACTAATAACGAATGCGTGAAAAATCGACGTAAAAATCATTGAAATATCCCTAGAGCTATTTGATTCAGCGAGAAATATAACAAGATCTTTTTTTGTTTATCACATGATCTTTATTCATAGACGTTCTTCAACATGTTTAATGCAGATTCGTTTGGACCGAGGGAATATTCTCATTTCGTACATTTTTTTTTCATTTTCTTCCAGTCCTGTGTATATAGACAACACAGCAGATCTCACAATAGCAACTAAACGTATACTTTGGGGAAAGTTCGTCAACGTTGGACAGACATGCATTGCGCCAGATTATGTATTATGTACTAAGGAGGTTCAAGAGGCGTTTGTGGAGGAGGGAAAGAAAATATTGACAGAGTGGTATGGAGAAAACCCAAAGGACAGTCCTGATATGGCTAGGATCATCAACAATAATCATTATCAGTAAGTTTGTATTCGTCATCAATTCAATTAACGGTTTTAATCATTACAATCATTCTACATGAAGAAATCAAGAGAAGTGATTCATTTGAATTACATAGTGAAAGAATAAGTTATTTATTCTATCCATGTCAATGAAAATGATGATTAATGATTATTTTTTCCTTATTATTTAACGTAAATATCTCTTTATTAAAAAAAAAACTCGAGAACAAGAAAACCTGTTGCATCAATTGAATGAAATGGATTTAATTTAATCTAACCGCAAAGAAAAATGAGAAAGAACATAATAAAATCAATTAAGATAATGTATAAGTGGTTTTAATCATTATAATAATTCTACATTGATTTCAGTAGAATGGAAAGAATGAATTATTTATTTCATATAATTGGCACATTTGAAATTAATTTTCATCGTGTAGTGTCCAACAACAGTATTTTTTTAATTACTTGAAGATTTGTATTCGATTTAATTAAATTTCATTTGATTATCTCATCTGTTCGTCCTATTGAACAGTTATTCGAGTTGTATGATTCCACTATTTTTCGATGAATGATACATCCATTTAATGTTATTTCCAGACGTCTGATGAATCTGTTGAATGGCAACGGTAAAGTGGTAGTTGGTGGTGAGACAGACTCTCGAGACAGGTTCATCGCTCCAACTATCTTAACCGATGTCAAACCATCTGATCCTGTAATGCAGGAGGAGATATTTGGGCCTATTCTCCCGATTATCAATGTCGATAATGCGTATGAAGCGATCAAATTCATAAATGAACGGTGAGTGCATTTGTATTGGGAATGCTAGTTTACGATAATGACGAACAACTTTGATTCCCTCTCCATTCAGACGATAATGGGATTCAATTCTGTACCTATTATCAATAAAATTGTGCATACGTTTTGTTCGAAGATAGACGACTACGGAAAAAAGGACCGATAGAAATTTTTACCTCAATGGTTCAATTTTTCCCCTCTAATTCGAGTAATTTGAATCTATCAATTTTCTGTTTCAACTTCAGTATTTAAGTAGCAAATCCCATGGGAAAACAAACTCTCCTCTAACTCTGTAAACACCTGAAGAGGCTTTTTTGAAGTTGAGAAAACTAATCCCTCATTTTTTGAATTGATTTTTAAAAAAGCAATTCGACTACTGTACATATTTTTTTTAAATCTCTCATTTTCAGAAGAGAATTGACACAATTGTACATAAATTTTGTCTGAAAATGCACTGTCAGAGACGTTAGTAAATGAACTAGGGTTTTCTTCTTTCTAGATTTAGAAAATAGGGGGATTTTATCGATTGTCTATTGTATATTTAGTCTTCACAACTATATATGTAGAAATCCCTGTGAAAACCTTCATGTAAAGCCGAAACTTCTCCATTCCTACGAAGTATCTTCTTCTTCTCAACTGATGACTTAATCATAAATTTTTCGAATAATAGCGACTGCCCCCTCACGCTGTACATATTTACCAAGGACAGTGGAGTGCGTAATTTGATAATTGAACAAACTCGGAGTGGTTCAATATGCGTCAATGACACGATAATGCAGTTTGCTGGTGAGTCAGGGTATCTGTTTTAGGTGGAGGATGATTCTACCTCTAAACCACTAATATGAGCATGATCTTCCTCTGTGATTTCCCATCTTACTCTATTCAAAATCAATCGTGGCGTGATTCTGATCCAATGAAAAACATTTAATTCAGTAGTGAAGTCATAAAATAGTATGCATCAACTCAACATTTCCTAGTGAGCTGACTAATCCCGTTACCTCTCCACTACAATAATTTGAAGCATCGAATTGTGGTTTTGTTTGGCACTTGCCTCTACAAGAGTGAGAGGATAAAGCCATTAGGATTAGAAGAAGAAGAATTGTGTTTTTGTTCTCACGCATGAAAAAAATTAAATAGGAAATCTAGAGAATTCGCTAGAAAATTCCATTGGAATTTTATAGGAATTCTATGGGGTTTCTATAGGATTTCTATTGAAAAATTCTATTTTTTTTGCGCTGATTTTATTCGATATTCGATAAGAAAAAGTCAATACATTTCGAATTTCTGTTTGAAATTTTCTTTTGAGATTTTTCTATGAGAATGCTTGGGCATTAATTTTCCAAGGTTTTCCACTCGGATTCTGTAATGCAAAACAAAAGAAAATCCAATGAAAAAGAACTTGGAAAATTTGTGCCCAATAATTTTAATAGAAAAAATCTCAAGAGAAAAATTCGAACAGAAGTTCGAAATTTATTGAATGTTTCTTATCGAATATCTAACAGAATCAGCGCAAAAAATAAATAGAAATTTTCAATAGAATTCCACTCGAAATCCTATAGAAACTCCATAGAATTCCAATCGAATTTTCCAGCGAATTCGCTAGATTTTCTATTCAATTTATTCATACGTACTGTCACGTTTCACCACTTCCCTGTTGAATTAAATTTTCCTTTGCAGCCCCTCCCATAATTACTTTACGCTAACAACAACTAAGTTTCCTCCGACTTTTTCCTGTCTGTTCTGCTGCTAAAATAACGCATGGTGCAGGGAAAGGCCTCTAGTCCTCTACGCCTTCTCAAAATCATCAGAAACGATAAACAATCTGCTGAAGAATACCTTCACCGGTACTGCATGCATCAATGATTGTCTAACCCATTTCGCAGGTATAATCATAATTCTGTTAATGAAGGGGAATCATTCAATCATTACGCAATGTGTCTTGTATTGTAATTATGCATTCATCAAAATTTGTGTGAAGTTAGTCAGGGGTGATTAATCATCTCATCCCAGTTTTTGTGAATGACGTTCATTGGCTCAGCAGATGAATAGGAAACTTGCACGGAGCTCAATTCTTTCTAATTCCCCTATTCACACATTCCTCATAACATATGAATAGCTAAACAGCGAAAATTATGGAGAAATATTGCCTACACTGAGAGAAAAATCGACCTAGTATCACAAAAATCATTTCTTGAGCGAAAAACGTCGCATATATATTTCATCAATTTATGGTAGGTTTCAGACAAGAAATCGGTGCTCTTCGGGCTAAGAAGGAAATTACTGAATGAAAAGGTGATGTCTTTTTTTGGAGTGAGATAATATTCAAATAAAAGACAAGAATAGTTTGACAGAAGGAAAAGAAGATATTGATTCCCTTCGAACTCAAAGCGATTGAGCGTAAGCAACGGTTATATTTTTTTAATATCTGGAGATTTTCCTCTGCATTAACTCTCCATTCATTCAATATGAAAGTCTCTGATTCATGATTGACTGAATTGAAGCTTTTAATATTTTTAGTCATTTTCTCATCTTCTGACATGAAAAAACCCATTTCTTGTGGCAAGAAATTCTCACTTTATCATGAAATGTTCATGTTCAAGTCATGTCGGACGCATTATCCGGAATTCTTATCCCTAGAAATTTATCCTCAAGAGATGAGATATTTGGCGCGAGAAATTAGTGTTCTGATATTATGGCGATATTTCTCTCAGTGTAGATGTCTTATAATAATTTATTGAAAATCGGTCGTTTTCGAGGTCAATTTGTCGGTCATGGCTCATGAAAACGGTCAGGTAACGTTTCATTGGTCGAAAAAGACGAGAGTGGGGAGTTGTCCTCCATTGCCCGAGGCGCATCTCAAGATTGGGTTAGGTCGGCTCAAGCCATTCTGTGATTGGTCCAGCGCTCAACGTCTGTGTGACGTCATTAGCGATTTCAAAGCGCTTGAAATCTTCGACTTTTAACAATTAATTATTAATTCACGAGCAATATTTCGAACATTTGTGGATGAAAAATCAATTATTCAGGTCCCAAACTTAGATTTTAAATTAGAAAATGAAAAAAATTCATGCAAGTTCCCTATTGTGGATAGGAGTGTTAATAAATTGTGAATTTTTATCCCACTGTTACAACCGATAAAATCAAATTTCATGAGTCATTGGATAATAAAGAAAAATACAGTGTTAGGGATGTGCAAGAGTCCTCAGAATCGCAAATAGAGACTTCCAATGAATGTGGATTTTTAATCAGCTGCGCCGTTCAACTCTTGTTCCCGTTTTCTCCACTTTACTGTGTGTGATTCGAAACTCATGACAAACTTCAGTGACTAAATTTAGTTTTCCTCAGCAACACTGTGCTACGATTGAATAGATGGGAGCTCAGCGTTACACGGAAGAGTGAAAGATTTTCATGGAAAATAGTAATCGTCGATGAGAAATAGATTTACTCGAGATATGCTTCTTGATATGTATACTCGAGAAGATAGACAAATGATTCAGGATTCGAAGGGGGATACCCAGTAATATTTTTAAAAAACTTCATAATGAAAATGAGTGATTTGATAACGAAAACGCCGAATACTCTTGCACACCCCAGTGCTCTTTATAATTGAGAAATATGACATCTCGAATTTTATAGGCTGAATCATAATTATGTTCATTCCTCAGTTGACTCACTTCCATTCGGCGGAGTTGGCGCATCTGGAATGGGCGCTTATCACGGAAAAGCGACGTTCGACACATTTGTACACAAAAAATCAGTTCTCGTCAAAAATTACAATCCTATCGCTGAAGCGCTGGCTTCGTAAGTGTCCTTCTATATGATATTAATATTGAAACATTTTATTGGCTCTACATTATGTTGTACAAATATATATGTGACCAAGGTCACTCAAAAAACACAAACGAATTTTTAAGCCCGAGTGGACATTGCTCTCAAATAACGTTCACAAGAAAAATAATAAGATAAAAGAGAATAAAAATGAAAAATAAAAAAAACGGAGTATATAATGCATTAACACTTCGATATATGCACGGAGAGAAATGTTCAGTAAAAATTACGGAACTCACAATTCACTCACCGATTACGGAATCGACTCAGAAAATGTAAGTGACGGTATCGTAATTTTTCGTGAAGATACTTAATTTTTACTGAATATTTCTCTCTGTATATTTCTCTCTGTATAAGTACACTGAGAAAAAAAAATATTTTTGCCAAATATCCATTTACTTGAGAGAAGCATTTATTTTTTCAAATTCGCATTTCTCCAATGGAGTCATTCTCAGGCGAGCCCGATTAGGTTTCATTTATAACAGTCATGTCTCTCTAGAGGATGACTCTGCTGCACATGACCTTGGATGAACTCCTCTAATGATTATTCATTTCTCCTGAATTTCTTACGTTCTACAAGGAAGAAATTTGATTAATTTTTTGAATGTTGATTAATATTTTGCATGTTGATAATTATTGAGGGGGTTCACTCAAGGTTATAACTAATATTATCATCTCCTAATTTAAACCTAATAAGGATTGCCTGGGAATGACTCGACTGGAGAAATACGGTAATGAATTTTTTTTTTATTGTTATTTTACACCGCTTCGACTCGATTGAGTACATGGCGATGAAGATCAAGACTTTAAATGGTTAGATCTCACCATTTTACCTGACTGGGATTTGAATTTGGAACCTTGCGCACGTGAGGCAACGACCTTAACCACTGCGCCAGGCCGTCGGGCAATGAAAAAAAAAAAAAAAACTTCTCTCACTTAAAAAAAAATGGATTTTTGGGTAAAACTATTTTTTTCCTCAATGTCTGAAAAAATTGCATAGAAATACCTGTCACTGGGGAACTCTATTTCTATTCGATGCTTCCATAGGTGGATCGTTGTGATCCTCGCCATTCTCATGTTTTAATGATTTTTTAGCGCTCGATATCCACCGTATTCAGATCGTAAGCTGACATTCCTCGGTTTGTTAGTGGCAAAGCGACCTGATATCCCTGGCATCAAGTATCTACCTCATCTCATAATGTTTGGACTCGGTGTCATTGTTACCATTGGCATCAAAGCCGCCATCAAGGTACAGAAGACGACACATTAGACGATAGATTCGGTAGTTAATTCGTAAGAGGTGATGAGTCCAGAACTATTCAGAATGAAATAATCAATTCTAATTAACTACAGAATTATGTCATTGTCTTCCATTTTCCATTTTACAAGAATCATTCACCGTAGAGATTTTACAGTAATTTTTTCGTTTTTTAACTAGCCAAATCGCACACAATATGACACAAAATTAAAATCCATTCACTGTCAGACTTCTATAGTCTTATCGGTTTTTCTTATTGACAACAATTTTTGTGCAAAATTTTCCTGACTATGAACAAGATTTCTCAATTTTTTTACTCTTCATGCTTATTCCCCGATTATCATCGATTTATTTAAGCTTTTGTGACATAAAAAATTATCAAAAAAATAATGAAACAATTAGTTCTAGAGGTTCATCTCCCAGTTTCCACCACTGAACTACAGAATTACCTCATTGTCTTCCATTTTCCAAGAATTATTCATCCTCGTATTTACACTAATTACACAATCGTCAAAAATATGAAGAGTCAGTCAAATTTAGACAATTTTCGAAAGATTTTCTCGTAAATTTTATAGACATTCTGATAAATTTTTGGAAATTCTTTACAACCCAATCATTGTCAATTATTTTGTATATATTATCACCATATTTGCGCACAAAATGTCTGTATACTGTGATTAATAAAGGTATTCCTTGGTGAAAGCTGTATTAAATTCTTCACAATACCATTTTCATTCGTTTAACTCGTCACTCCACTCCACACAACACCACTCATCTTGTCATTACCATTCATCCTCTTAATTGAAATAATGATTCATTTGGATGTGAAATGTAATTTCAGGAGTACGGATCTCAAGGCGACGATATGTAGAGACGAGCTTTCCGTTTTTTTAAAAGGAGAGTCAATGATTTTGGGAGTGAATGGTGAATCAGTTCGATTTAAAAGTGAATTTTCCTGTTGAACGTGAAAATTTTCCCTCTCAGTGAGGCCGATTCAGTTAATTTACTGATGTCGAAAAGGCGTATATGCTGGGACATACGACTGTTTGGCCTCAAACACTCGCAAAAAGTTCTGACTTTTCTCTGTGAAATCAATGTTCATATTGATGTCATGGAGGGACTGTCGAATTGTTTGACGATTTCAGTTGTATAATCACATATTAAATAAGACATCACAAGTGAATTTTCAACACCAGTCATATAAAGAGAATAACACGTCGATGTCAACAGAATTCCTTGAATTTTTATAATTTTTCATTCTTCAGTTTTCTAATTGTTGATACTTGAGAATAAACATCACAAGAGATAGTCATTTTGATATTAAGGAGGGGGGGGGGGCATCGCGAATTTTGAATTGTTAATCAAAACATTGTGTGTGTAAATGGTGCAATTAAAATGAGGCATTTTTAATGCAATTGTTTGTCAATGCAAATTAATTTTATAAGAGTGATTATATTATTTTGTTCAGGTTTCGATGTAATATAATGATTATTCTAATAAAAAAATATGTTTGTACGATAATTTCTTGAGACTCTTCATTGATTACTGAAGCTCTAAGGAACGTATGGAATTATATCCAACAAACAAATTGATTAATTGATTGGTTGATTGATTGATGGAGCCCCGGACATATGACAGTCATGAGTTTCAAAATTATCCAACAAGGAAGGTTCGTTGGAGCTTGTTGATAATTTCGCTCGTCTTCCGGGTCATCATACCTTTAATACGAAGATTGAGCATGTTTATTTATCCCTCGGAAAATCATTCTTTCGTGTTTACATTTTATCACGCGACGCATTTCACGAACACAGTGACAAGCGGCCGTGGAATCATCAAAATAAAAGCGATATGGGGTGTCACGTGACTCCAAATACTGCAGACCAATCAGGTCGACATCAGAACAGAGTGAAAATAATTAAAATAATACTGACACCCCGGGAAAATAATCTCCAAAATGCTTTCTGATTTTCTTTTATTCACAAGTTGCAAAGACACATCCACGAAGATAATTTGTTAAAAGTAAATAAATTCTATTTTTAATTAAATCAATGGGTTCATGAACGGAAAGAATTTCGAATTGCATTAAAAAAATCCAGTTGTTATGGGAGCCCATTCTGTTGAAGTGTGTGCAATTTTACTCTGTCATTTTGTTAAGGAATATTTGACAGAAATAAGTCAATAGATTTTTATTTTTCTATGGAAATTTTTGAGCATAAATGTTCTAGGTTTCTTCCATTGTATTTTCATTTTTTCTCATAATAAATTCCAAAAAAAAGGAACTCAGAAAATTTTAGTTAAAGAATTTTTATCAATATTCATTATTGAAAAATCAACATTCATTTTTTTTGTGAGTAAATATTTTATTGAAAAGCCTCTGACAGTGAAAAAATTCTCAATAGAATTGACACAGAAAATAATAGAATATTCTAAGAGAACTTCAGTGAAATTTTTATAAAACAAAAACGATCGCGCGCTTGAGCGCGCGTGTTAAAGACAAATCGTGACACGAAAACCGAAAGCCGAACGAAGTCGAACACGTGCGGGCGGATCCGAATGTTCGACCAATGAATTTCGAGGAATGAGCGTTACGCTACAGCTTACGGTGAATGTTCTTCTTAGAATAGGATTAGAATAGAATTTCAATAGAATTCAATTTTTTCGTATTTTTTTCTATTTAGTTTCAGAAATATTTTCCAAGTTATTCACACTGCATTTTCATCCCCATCTTCTGCTCTTTATCACTTAAATTTGGATTCGATAAAGGATGTTATCAGATCGGATAAAACAATCTTTGAAATTGAAATATTAAAAATTAAATATCTGCAGCAGCCATTTAGTCACGTTGGCGAAGATTCAACGATTAAATAATCACCGAACGTGAGAGAGTGTCACGTATGCAGCGCAGACTTTTAACTGATGATACGAGAATAATAAACTTTTATTAACGTCACGATCGCCAGAAATTGATTGGAGATGTATAAAAGACACGTGCGACATTCATTTGCACAAGTACTAATTACTCTAGCAGTCGGTGATCTCACCCTCAATTACTAGTAGAATCTTACCCCAACGATGAAGTCTTCAGTATTTTTCGTACTGGCGATTCTAGGAGCCGCTTTCATTGCAGCTGAGGGCGGCAACCGTTACGCGGATAAATACGATTCAGTCAACGTCGATCAGTTATTGGGTAATGAGCGAATCTACAAACAGCATCTGAATTGTTTGCTCGATCAGGGACAGTGCAGTCGTCAGGCACAATCCCTCAAGGGTGAGAAAAAAAAATTTTTTTATTGCTCCTTTTATAAATTATTTTTCCTGAATTCAGTAGCGAATGAAATCTTTTTCTACTTTGCAATCGACCTTTCAGTTGAGCTTCATTTGACTGTAAATTTCCGGACATTTTACAATGATTTTATTATTTAAACTTGGCAGGTCTGAATTTCAATCTCGATATTGAACCGTTCGAAAATATTTTAACAATAAGGCCCGGGTGTACTATCTTTCGAACGTTATCTCGATGTTTTTTTTCATCATTCGTCATCTGAAATTGTCAATTAAGTCCTGCATCATGGAGAAATTTTGAAAAATTATGAATGAATAATTTAAAAAAGTAGAAAAAATTCTTAATTTTTTCAAAGAGCATTTTTAATTTATATTCAGAATAAGTTGAATAACAAGAAATTGAAAAATGTATCTGATTTACGGTGACAAATGGCGGCCTGTCACCCAATATCATGCAGGGGGAAGACTGATTTCGTAAATCTTTTCCCACATTGTACAGAGACATTTATTACGGAAAAAGCTCTTTGAAAAAAGTTGTAATATTTTGGAGAATTTTTTTATCACACTTTTGTCACATAAAAATGGCAGATAACTACATACCACTGTTTTGAAAATTGAGATACCTGGCTGTCACTTCCCATGAGGAGTTAGTGTTTTGTTATCCACCATGGAAAATGACAACTAATATATAATTTGCCACAGCGAATCAGATATTTGTAATTTCCACTTTTTTCAACTCATTCTGAATCTCAATTAGAAATATTCTTTGAAAAAGTTCGGAATTTTTTCTGTTTTTTTTATCATTCTATCATAATTTTTAGGAATTTCTACATGATGTACCACTCAATTGACAATTTTGGATTACGAAAGATAAAGAAATCCAGATAATATTCGAAAGATAGCACACCCGGGCCTTAATAAAAATCTATTTTTCGAGAAAGATTGATGAAATAATGAAAAAATTACAATTTTTGAAAATTACGAGCATTGTCCATAAATAATCAATGAACAATCAATTTTCCACTAAAAATCATTTGTTTGGGATCGTAGAAAATTTTTTGAGACTATTGGTCAGTTTTCAATAAAAGACATCGAAGACGCGCTCCGCGCGCATATCACGATGATTGATTTTATATGATCCATCCCGTTAAAAATACACGGAGAGGAATGTTCAGTAAAAATTACGGAACTCACAATTCACTCACCGATTACGAAATGGACTCAGAAAATTTAAGTGACGATATCGTAATTTTTCACAGGAGATTCAGATAAAAATTACGGAACGCTCCGGAAAAATTCCGTGACAGTTCCGTAAAATTTCCTACAATCACGTTTCGCTCCAGAATTACGGAAAAGATACATAATTTTTATTGAATATTTCTCTCCGTGTACATAACGGAATAAATTGTATAGAAAAATCAACATCCATGACATCCATGACTTTTTTGAAATCGTCAACAGAAAAAATTGTATTTTCTATACAATTCTAATTTTCAATTAATTCTGTTTTATTTCGCAAACACTCGAGAAATCAGCAAATGAATAGTTTTTCATCAGTTAAAAGAGATAATATTTTTTCCAGACGTTCTACCTGAGGTCTTGAGTACCAGCTGCGCAAAATGCAGCCCCGTGCAAAGACAAATGGCTCGGAAGGTGGTGGGATATATTCAGAAAAATAAACCAGATGATTGGAAGTTACTCACAACAAAGTTCGATCCTCAAGGTCGCTACACGGAAGAAATCAGAAGATTCATATTGAGTAACGTGTAATTCATTTGACATTAGGGATGTGAAAAAATAAATCGGATTACGGCCGCCGGCTGCAGTGCGAAATCCTCGCTATTCAGAACAGGGCACATACGCATTTATTTTTTTTCTACATCGAGAAGTTGAAATAATCTCGAAAATAATTTTTTTGCTCGTATTATTGGAGAAAAACGAAAAAAAATAATTCGGAGAACATCGTGAAGACCTTGAAATGTACATATCGTATTTTGACCCTTGTGACCCTCAATTTCGGAGTCTTAATTTGGAGTACCAAATTTTTATCACCAGAAGTCGATTTGAATTTTTATAATATAGAAAGATAAGTCTTGAAAATAGGTTTCTGATACTGAATAATTTCTTTTAAAAATTGAAAAGACGTAGGGGAGGTTCGGGTAAAACGGACCCTTTTGACTTTTTTAAAAATGTTAATGAGGGGCTGAAATGTTGATAAATTTTAATATTTTTTTAATACGAAGAACAACTCTTTCCCTTTGTGACGAGCCTACACTGAGCTCAATTGATAAATTTGTTTCTGAGTTATGAATAATTTTAAATAAGTCTAAAGTGTCCATTTTACTCCACCCTCCCCTATATGAAATGAAAAAATTGAACTGCTTGAGATTTGTCTCGAATGAAATTGAGGAATGTGTTAATAATGGTTAATAATTTCAAAAATTTAGTTAAGATGTGAATAAACGTGAGGTGCAATGGAATTAAAAACAATAACACTTCTTTATTAGTTCGATACTTAATAAGTAAAGTTACACATTAATGTCTCCAATATAAAATCCCCCAATTTGTATCAATGCCAGTCTCAGGGAGCAGTAACTAATCATCGTCGTGGACTCATACATTATCTTCTGCAAGAGACAATTACGCTGATTTTGCCATTATATCTCGGACTGCTTTAGCAACAATTATCTGATATTTCTCGGGCTCGTTTGTTGTGTACCAATCACTTATTTTGTCGAAGTTAACGGACTGTCTGGCCGTGCATTTTTTGCATCTCGTCACGATTGCCTCTGGAAGAGTGTCTGTAACCGAAGAGAAAAATATTCTTTCCTTCGTATGTACTTTTATAAGAAACATGGAAATGTCATGCATAATCTCAATTTCACTGATAACTCTACGAAATTCAGAATTTTTTTGTCAAAACATGAATATTTAGTATCAAGTATTTAGATTTTTATTTATTTTTACCGAATAATTGAATTGGAATATACAGTTTTCATTGATTATTCACGCAAATTATGAATTCAATCACAAAATTCGGTGGAATTCCAGTGGATATTTGATTACATGATCAAAATTTCCAAGAGGTATATTTTATTAAAGATAATGCTTCCCAAAAATAAAATGAAGGATTAAAATTGAATAACACTTCAAGTTCAAGAAATGTAAACATTAATTTACTTATTTAATTGAAAATGATAGTTATTCATTATCGTAATGCATCAAAATAATGAAATGAATCATTTGAAAGCCTGAAATTCCTCCATTCACTATTGTTTTCATATGATTCCAAATCTTTTCACATTCTTAACCATCTAAAACAGTCAATTCCCATTCGCTTGACCAAACAATCTGATTCGGATGAATCGTATCTCATCTTCAAGCGTAAGAAAACATCTTGTAAATGAATTAATTGAAAATTCAAAAATATTCTTATCTAAATTTCTCTGATTTTAATTAATTTCCATAGAATAATTGAACTATTAAAATTTACAGTTTCCACACGGAGAGAAATTTTCTAGAAAAATTCTAGTACGAGTACTGAAAAAAATCATAATTTTTCACCGGCTGTGAAAAATTCCAGTGCTGTTAACGTAAAATTTCTGTGGATTTCTGTGAAATTTTCACAGAAATACGAGGAAAAATTCACGTTTTCTCCAATAAAATTTCTAGCACCGGGACTGGAATTTTTTCCTGGCCGTCACTTTGCGCTTCTTTTCTCGTGCTAGCACTAGAATTTTTCTAAAAAATTTCTCTCCGTGCATTGGTTATTCCATAAAGTGTTAAATTTCCAACGACAAAAGTCTTCAAAATTTCAGTGGAAATATAACAACTAACTATAATTTGATAAAAATTTCTAGGGAGTGTACCGCAAATTTCATTCTAAAATTTTCAACACTGATAAGTCATGAAAAAATAGTAATTACCCCTGAAAAACCTAGCAGCAGCAGTTTTGCAAGGTCCAATTCCCGCGAAGCATTTGTAATAGCTTTCCCTCTGTTTATCATTCGCAAGAATTCCATCTACATCGACGTAATCATATTTCTCCGAGTATTTTTCCTCGGCGATGACAGCACTGAGGAACACCAGTGCGATGACAACTGCACCCCGGAGCATGGTTGATGGAGAACGATCTAAGACTGCTCCAAGGAACTTTATCACTATTCAATTCACCGTAAACTGGATAGCCAATGTTGGTTTTTGAAGGTATTTATAGGTGATCCGGTACCCCAGTATGTTCCTTAGTGACGTCATGGACAACTCTTCGGAGTTGTTCCCATGCGTGGTGTGTGTGACATTGGGGCTTGCCGAAGGACGCGTGGAATCTTCATGAAAGGATAACAGGAAATTCTGGGCGGTACCTTCCATAATACTGTTGTTTTACTTCTCGATGCATATCCATACGGAAAAATATATATTTTGAAAATTTTGTATTTTATGTACGGAATTTGCCTGGTTTATAGATAAAAGTTATATAAAATAGAAATTTATATTTCAAATAAAATAATATATTTGAGGAATATCGGCAAAACGGACCACTGACAGACAATTGATAATTTTTAGGGTTTGAGGTGATTGGCCAATTTGAACAAATTGCGGTTCGACGAAACTTGTTGTCTATAAAACCCCTGGGACGCGTGGAATCTTCATGAAAGGATAATAGGAAATTCCGGGCGGTACCTTCCATAATACTGTTGTTTTACTTCTCGATGCATATCCATACGGAAAAATATATATTCTGAAAATTTTGTATTTTATGTACGGAATTTGCCTGATTTATAGATAAAAGTTATATAAAATAGAAATTTATATTTCAAATAAAATAATATATTTGAGGAATATCGGCAAAACGGACCACTGACAGACAATTGATAATTTTTAGGGTTTGAGGTGATTGGCCAATTTGAACAAATTGCGGTTCGACGAAACTTGTTGTCTATAAAATCCCTGAGACGGTTACGATCTAAGAAACTCACTTCTAATTCAGCAAATTCAGTGTTCCTGATTTGAAGGAATGAAAAATAACAACAATTACTAATTTTCTGTCAGTGGTCCGTTTTGCCCTGCGGTCCGTGTTGCCGACCCTCCCCTGTTAATTTGGCCTACTTTATATATTTTTCTATGAGGGTATACGAAACAATTTTACTGAAAAGTCTTTCGAGTTTTTTCGAAAAATTCCGCATCTTATTTGTGCGTTTTTTTTGTCAACAGTAAAAAATATTCTATTGAAAAAATCAATAGAATTCAATTTTTATATCGACACCTTAATAATAGACAAACGTATCTCCATAGGGAACTCATAGAACTTATGCCTGTTTGTTATTAAGTGTGATGTACAACTTATTCTATTGAGATATTTTCTGTAGAAATCCTTCGGCTCAGATTTTCCAAGTTTTTTGTTCAATTTTTTTCTAATGAAAAGAAAATGGAAATAGGGCGGAAAAAACTTCGAAAATTCAGGTTGGGGAATTTCTATAGAAGATGTCTCAATAGAAAAAGTTGTTTGGAAGATGAAATTCTACTGAGTTTTTCTATAAAAAAAATTCTACTGGACATTTTCTACGAAAAAACACACGCAGTGAAGCTGCTAAATTTTTCAACAGAATCGGCCGGGAGTTAATAGAACTTTCAATAAAAATCTAATTACTTCGCAGTTATTGGCCTCTGCGGTTCTTTGCTGATTCGGAGTGATGAAATTTATGATGTCCAAATGATAAAAATTGATCAAGTCGTTTGGATTACGCCTAAACCAAAATATTTTGACCCTCTTTGCGAATAACTACGAAATAATTTTAAGAATTCGGTCGAAAAACTTCTCCACAGCATAAAAATCCAACAGAACTTTTTATCGATTCGCTACACGGAGAAAAAACTTGGAGAGAAATTGATTAACCATGATTAAAATTTGCCGTGATTTTCTAGGGAATTTTTATCAAAATATTCTCTCCGTATAGATTTTTCTATAATTTTTTTAGCGCTTAAATCACTCGTATTTTCTAGAGCATTGACGATGGTGCGTTATACCTTCCGTTATTTTTTTCTCCATTCAAATATCAGTTTCCTTGTATGTCGAAAGACATTGTTGGATGTATGAATGTTTTTTAATATATTCCTCTTAATAAGGAAGGGCTCACAGACTTCTCATTCTTCAGGTCCTGACCTTTCGATCAATGCCGGATCATCCCTTTCCACTCAGTAATCGTCAGTTCATTCGTTTATTGCCACATTAGTACAATTTTGAAATTTTTAAGGATCACATGAATGCTTTCCTTGAATTTGATGAATTTTATTTCAATGAAATAAATGAGTTTTTGTTTAGATCAAATTTTACTCACGTTTGTATTTTTTTTCACATCAAATAGTTTATTTTTTTAAAACAAATGTTTATTTGATGCCAATGGAGGATTTATATCTTTAGCATAAATGAAGTATTTACTTCACATAATTAAGATATTTTCACTGGAACGAATACACGAGTTTTTTAATTTAACAAAACAATATTGATGGAATGAATGGAAAAATTGAAAATACAGTTTATTCTTTTTAAAAGCGTCATTTTTCTAAGTGGACTAACGGATATTAATTCAACATCTAATCAAGAGAAAAATCGCGATTTTTTTAATCGCACTATTGATCAATTTCAGAAATTCATGAATCATCCATTTTCTCACGTATAAAATATGCTCCAGCCTTGTTAAAAAATATTGCCAATTACTTCTGAGACTGACCGCAAAGAATATCCTCAGAATTTTGTTGCAATGCGAGATATCTTATTTATGCATGTCAACATTTCTTTCACTTCCTCCAAATATTTCATTCTCCGTGACATTGAAGATGAATTAGCATCTATATGACGCATCATTTCTGAACCAAGTGTGATTTCCCAATGATCCTCCGCTTCCGGCTCGATGATTACAGTTACCGAGGCTCATTATTTTACCTGTATCTCACGTAGAAGAAACCTTATTGTGCAATAAGTTGCCCTTGGCAAACATTCAAGTGAATAAACTCAAAACATCAGATGGTCTTTCGTTTTATTTCACTAGACTAGATTAATCCGCGCGCTTTCCGCGCGTATGTCCTACTCCACGGGGCTCAATGTATGTCAATTGTAGTGAATAGTGTTATATATTAGATTTCTGAAGTTAATATCAAGTTTTCCGAAGAAAAAGTTTTAGGAATGTATTCTATTTTTTTCTAATACTAGATTTATGCGCGCGCTTATCTTTTTGTTGTGAAAATAAAGAAATCGAATTTATTAAACTTCATATACTCATAGATGTTTTATAAATATTGATAATGACTTGAAGAGAATTAAGAGAATGAAGAGTGAAGCATCAATGAATAATTTTTAATCTTCGATTAATTCTTTTTTTTTACTTTTTAAAATAATCTGATTGAAATCTGTAATTGTTGAAAAATCAGGGGAGGGTTATGAATTGATTTCCTAGAGAACTGAAAAAATTTCTTGAATTCTTCGGAAAATTTCACAGTTTTCCAGACAATCGTAGATCACAGATTTTTCTCGAATTATTTGGGAAACCGAAGAATTTTCGCGAATTTTGTAGAGTTTAGAATTTATGTATGAAAATCTGAAAAGCAAGAATTGATCACTTTGGCGTGTGATAAATATGAAAAAATTAAAATTTGGGAAGTGAAGAATCACTTGTGAGTTAAAAAAATTTAGAAATACTAGGTTTTTTTTTCTCATGATCAACAATTAGGCAATTTAGATATGTTTTGATATAAAGATCAACTTCACACATGAAAAAATGAAAAATATGACGCAGAAAAAATTTTTGTCATTTGAAGAATTTGAAAATACCGGGTTTTTTTTTAGCAACTACTTCACGTGACTCATTGACCAATCAGAATTGAGGATTAGCGGTCAGGCAGTTTCGAGATATATCGATATAAAACAACTTCACGTTTCTTTCATCTTTAGTAAATAGGATAATACATCCATTAATATAATACAATATAATATAATATAATATTATCGTAATATCTTTAATGTATGTTATCATCATTTCTAAAAAAACTAATGACACAACACGTCACGCACGAGAAAAGTTAATAGAAAACCCTATCGAATTCGTTAGAAAATTCTATTGAATTTCTATTAAACTTTCCATTAGTTTTTGGCTGATTCTATTGACACGTTCAATAGAAAACATTCAATGGAAAAAGTCAACAGAATTCGATTTTTCTACATAACGTATTCTTTTCATATATTTTCTATAGAATTCGCTCGACTCAAATTTTCAATTTTTTTAAATTCTATTTTTCTTTTTTTCTCATCAAGAGAATCAAACGAAAAAACAGAAAATTTGAGCCGAGGAAACTCTGTAGAAAATATGTCAATCGAATAAGTTATACAGAAAAATTGAATTCTATTGACTTTTTCTACTGAATATTTTCTATTGAACATTTTAATAGAATCGGCCAAAAACTAATAGAACAGTTCAATAGAAATTCAATAGAATGTTCTAAAAAGTGGTATAGAAATTTCGTATATGATATTCGGATATTTCTATACGAATATTTTCTATACAAATTATTTCCATACATGTGACAGTGGGTCGTATAGGATCAAACCTATAGAAATCGTATAGAAATAATTCGTATAAAAAATATCCGTATAGAAATATCCGAATAGTAATTTCGCGAATTTTCTATACGCAATCCGTATGGAAATTTTCTATACGATTTTTTCATACGTGAATACGCCGAATAGATTCGCTTCAAAAAATGTTACACTGTATTTTTTATTAAAGGATGAGCTTCAACGTGCATCCTGCACCTGGACTCTGAAATTTTGCAAGGGGTACCTAAATGGATTAAATAATATGTGAAAAAAGTTTCATAAAATTGGCTGCATTTTTCGAGTATCCTACTCCTCGCTTGAACATTGTTAAAGAGCAATAGAATGCCGCTAATTAAAAAAAAAATTTTTGAACAAATTTCCTGCTGAAAATTATCGAAGCACATTAGTCTCCAGGAAGCAACGATAAAGATCAATGTGCTTTGGTTTACAAAAAATATTGGTAACTGAGCAGTAAATTTGTTTAAAAAATTTCGAAGAAACGGCCTTCTGTTACCGCTTAAGGTACATCCCAACACAATCGGACCCAAAAGTTAGTTCCCATGGATCTCCGGAAAAAATTCTAAATAACTTGATTTATTGCATTCTCATAAATTATTGAGTTTTTCAATTCGCGTGTGTTGTTGGTGCAGGCAACAATAACTGTTTGAATCAAATCAGAAATTATTTGTCAATTAAGGAATGCTTTCATGAAATTTCCACTTTTTCGAGTTGAATATCGGAGAAACTATGTAGTACAAAATTTGCCTTTTGAGACGAATGTACGGAGAATCGATTTCCAAGCAAGTAAATACTTTTATTTGCACTATGACAATTTAATTAACGTCGTAATTATTTCTTGAATATCCCCAGAACTTTATTAAATTGATTAAGGGTGCCAAGTGAATTTGGCGATGACCTTGAAAATTGACATTCACCAACAAAGTTATAATTTTTTAAATTAATAGTATTAGACAGATGGTGAACATCAGTGACAATTTTAAAATTTTAGAACTTATGGATATCGAGAAATTAAATGAACAAAATCAGTCTTATACACGGCCTCTTATGAAGTTTTGATTAAATTGAACGTTTCAACCCCCTAGGAACTCAAGAAAAATTTGAAAAAATTTGAAGATATGGAGAATGATGTTTTCAATGTGATAGCGACAAATAACAATGGGGTACCGGGGTGAATAAGAAAGATATTTCAATCCGCCATACCCATTCGATCCAATGCATTCTCGAGATTCATCACGTGAAATAGAGGATTTTCCGCATTTATTTTCTCGATGTCTAGTTCCGGTTGCGGGTTTGAAATTTCGTCGGATGGATGAATACATATTTCTCCAATGATGGAGGGAAAGAAAAAAATTTTTTTGAATCTTTTTTCAAATTCACTTGGCACCCTTAATACCATGGAGATGAGAAGAATTGTCTCATCATTGTTGTGACTTCCAGTCGCTATTGGCTATTGTCCGTCAGGCAAGATTTTCTCTTTCACTCAAGACACGCTTGTCTGCAACACATGACGAGATGACCGATTCCAAAGAACCCTGGTATGGCCGTTATCGACTACTAACCGACATTCGAATCCCCACGATAAAACGATTCGTGAATGCCAGACTGAAGGATTCATTCCGCTTGGCATTATACTCCATCTCTGTTACCAAGGTTCTGTACCATGACCTTGAAATGTTGAATACCTTGCACAATATAATTTTTTTTCGTCAATGTCTGTGTTACTGCTGACACGAAGGACATCTTGAGTTCAACGTTTTCATCGTGCTTTCGATCAATTTGATATTTCATTGGAATTTTTATGCAGAAAATTGTTTGGGGATCGAGGAGGGAAATGCAGAATATTTTTTGTTCTACTTTCAGTCAGCTGTGTTACGCCATCCAACAAAAAATCAGGAATTGATACTTTCAATTATTACACGTATGAAAAATTTTTATTGAAAAACCTAGCGAATTTTGTAGAAAATTCTATTGGATTGCTATTGAAGACATGTCTGCGCCTTTTTTTCAATAGAAATGTTTAATGGAAAATATGCCCTTCGAAAAATAAATAGAAATAGACTTTTATATTGAATAAAAAATTTTCTCGATTCAGATTTTATTATATTTTTTGTTTCATTTTTTTAAATGAAAAAGAAGAAAAATGGAGTAAAAAAAAATTCAAAAATTCACGTCAAGAAATTCCCATAGATAATATCTAAAAAAAGTTGTATAGAAAGATGAAATTCTTCAATGGAAATCCAACATAATTTTCGATAGAATTTACTAGTTTTTCTGTGAAATTAATCCGCGCGTATTCTCATCATTCTAACGATTCGCATAATTTTTTGATTACACATAATTACACAGAATTGGATATTTAATCATCAATCAAGATTTTTAATAACTAACTAATAAATCAGTTGGCAATTATTTGCATTTGTATTCGAAGCAAAATTATCATTTCCCTATTCTCTCGGCTTTATCTTTAACACATTCCTGCATTACTTGACATTTAGGAGAAGTTATGATTGGACTTCCATCTGTTGCCATTTCGACTTTGCACTTCCGCGCCTGGACTAGAAGGAAAAAATTTGCTCACTTCCTGCTACGTTGCCGTTAAACCAGATTGTAATCCCAGCAAACAGTATGTCGACAATTTGTCGACAAATTGCCGATGTCCTGTTAAATTTTAGATGGTACTGGCAAAAATTGTTTTCTGGGAATGTTGAGACATTTTCCAAAATCTCAAATATAGTTTCCTTTGAATTCCATACACGTACGCCATTTCTCTCACTGATATTCCGGATTTTTTTCATTGCCTACTTGAAATAAAACAAATGGTATGTGTTACACGGCCACATCCCGGCGTTCTTAAGAGTGCCAAGTCCACCGCTTCTCCTTCATCTTGGTTTTCATTCTCACTAGAGCCCCGAGGGATGAACTTCACACTCCTAAAATCACGCGGCTTGTTGCGGCCTTGTAACACAATATGTCATTAAAGTAGCTCTACACTGAGAAAAAAAATTATTTGTGCCCAAATATTTATTTTCTTGAGAGAAGCATTAATTTTTTCAATAGTATATTATGTCATTAGGCGATAAAAGTATTATCTGGCGAATGTGGCTTTATAATCCGAGCCGAAGGCGAGACCGAAGGTAATTATAATCCTCGCCTTCGGCTCGGATTATAAAGCCACATTCGCCAGATAATACTTTTATCGTCTAATGAAGAAGAAAAATGGAATGAAAAAAATTCCACAGCTCTCCATGTAATTAGACCCATCATGTGGGTGAATGGCCGCAAACCATCCGGGCCTACCGGAAGAAAAATTGAAATTACAAAGGTATCACCGACTCCCTCGACTCACCTGATGTGTTCACATCGTTATCGACGACATTCCTCCCCAACATCTGAGGGTTCGCACGCAGCGATGCATCAAACTGTAAATTATTGCGTAGAATATTGCCTGCGAATTACTCAAATTCATAGTTGCGGCGAAATTCGAGGTATGAGTTAATAACAACTTATATCAGGCATCGTTATTCCAAAGTCTGACTACTACTGACTAGAAACGACAGTTATCGAAATTACACGGAGTGTAATGCACCCCAGGTGGTGGATTCTCGTCGTCCTTTTACCCCAGTGTTCCACGGGAAGTGATGATGTCACGGGGGGACTCACTAGAGATTATTTCGGTGGCCTCCTCATCCGGCAGATCGTAGCCTTCGGATGCTGGGATTCCGAAGGTATTTGAGGATTTTATTTCCTGTGTAAGGACAAGTTCACCCCGGGAAAAGAAACTTTTTCGTTTTTTTGAGGAGAAATTTTCAAAAGTACTATTTTTTGCATGATTTTCCGATTTGGCGAGTCACAATTGTCTCGGACCGCTCAAAATTAGATTTGAATTTTTTGGAACCGAAAATTCAACTTTCGAGAAATTCACAACGCATAATAAATTGATAAAAAATATAAAAAAATCCATTTTTGGAATAAAAATAAATCTGGTTTATTAAATAATAGATATCTATATTTCTATTATTTAATAAATTTTTAAATAACAGTTTTATTTTTTTTACAATTAAAAAAAAATCCGATCACTAATTTTCGCTCTCTAATTATGAAAAATGAGAGAGGCGATGCATTTCAAAAATTGTTTAACAAAATTTCTATTGATATCTCAAGGAATTTGTTTTTGTTTAAATATTATGTATAAATTTTATTTATGAATGATAGCTCTATATTTAATGGTCCTCAGGTATCGATAATTGGTAATCATTCAAAAAATTTTCACAAATTTATACGTTTGGATTTTCTAAAGGTCAATTTTGTCCCAGACACTTTTGAGCTCCACAATTGGATTCCTGGCGAAAAATCATGTGAAAAATAGAATTTTGAAAAAATTTTCCGCGAAAATCGAAAAAGTCTTTTCCCCCGGGGTGAACCTCCCGTTGAAGAAGATTCTTCAAAAATGAGTCGAAAATTCGTTGCAGAGGGTGTGAAATTTTCTCGCCTAATAATGGGGGATGACCATTCGTTGACTTATGTCTCTATTCAAGACGATTTAGACATGGAAAGGATTCTGAAAGTGAATTACTACAGACTTGGAATATTCCTGAACTTGGATTGTCCAGGGAGTGAGAAAATATTTGATCAGGTTCAGTAGTCTTTTTATCTCCCGCAGGGATAGCGATATCCATAAATTATAATTACCGTTGAATTATTAAATAATCAATTCGTTAATATCACTCTTAAATTTTAATTATTAAACTAATCATCAATTGCAATATTCAAATTCCGAATTATTTCTTAATCAGTAATTTAGTTAGGCAGATTGACAATTATTTGAATAATCAAGAATCCTTTATAAGAAATTTATTATCATTTACTTATTACTTAAATCAAAAAAATGTTAACAAACAATTTTCAAATTGAAACATGAATTCAATTTAAAAAATCAACAATAATTTGTTTGTACTCAATTTCTATTTCAAAACCTTTTTTTTCTCAATATTATTCAATATTTGCGCATCTTTACTCATTCCCATTGAATTTATTCACCTACATAGAAAACAAGTCATGGATCCACATTTCACTTAATTGTATTCTTCAGCGCAGTTTTATGGAAGAAACCCGCATATTGTAAAATCATTCGACTATAAAATGAATAAATTGACAAGATTCCCATTGCAGTTTCATCGTCAACAGCTACGTCACAATGAATCATACTTTTGGTTGATGCCAACGACGAGGACCGGGCTCCCCAAATATTTTGAACACCTTCCTCTGAATATTGCGACTGAGATGACAGCCGCACTGAAGAAGAGCGACGGAGAATACACACTTTACGATGTTTACAATCCTAGTTATCGTCATGGGGGTGAGTTAAATGTCACCCGTATGGGATCCTGGAGTGTTAAAAATGGCCTGAACATTGAGTTGACGGAGTATAAATACAGACGTCGTGGGAATCTTTATGGACTTGGTCTGAATGCATCAATTGTGGTGAGATTGTTCATCTTCATTTTTTACTGATTTTTTAATATCTTTTTTCTCATTTTCTTTTGTGATTCGTTGATCAAAAGATTTTACAGGAAATTATGCAAGAAAAATTTTCATAGAAAACAGTGAATTTCTATTGAACTTCTATTGACAATTTTATTAGTTTTTGGTCTATTCTACTGAAGAACTCCGCCGCCTCGGCTCAATAGAATCGGACAAAAGCTGACAGGAAATTCACCAGAAATCTAATAGAATTTCATGGCGAATTTACTAGGTTTTTCTGTAAAATTTTTTCGTACATATTTTGAAAAACATAAGACTTCTTGAAAATAAGAGAATGTGTAAATGATTTTTTTTCGGAGACTGCATTTGCAAAGTTATATAATGCAAATGTTAAAGGAGTTGTTCTATCAGAAATTACGTGCAGATATTTTCGATTGAAAATTGTTTCCCCTTCGGAACACATTTACCCCAAAATTACTCATTTTAAATGCTGAAATCATGAAAATTCCTTTCAGGTTGATCATCCAGCAGTTCCCGACTATGAAACCTACATTCATAATCCAATAAATCCTCATTATGACACGATGCATCGATATAATTTTGCTTTAACCCGTCAACTAAGAGATTATTACAATTTTACGTGAGTTTATAAAATGAAAATTCATTTCAAATGTATATCTGAAGTATCGGTCATTGGAAATTGATTACCTATTGATGAATCAACGGAATTAAATCAATCGACTGTATAAAACACATTTATTCACGATTAATTATTATTCAATTGCATTTACGAAGAAAAGAGATATCATCAGCGCTACTTTTACTAAGATTGAAGCCATTTATAAATTTACTCTTAATTGTTTTACTGCCAGGCGAAATATTGACAAGTTAAATGCCTCAATCCGCTCTTCTACGAAATCTTTTAGCTTCTGTGCATAATGGAGCAACAGTTTCTATTTTTCATCACTCTACACTGAAGAGACTGAACTAAACGGAGCGTAAAATTATTTTTTGCCCTAATTCTTTGTTTTTATATATATTTAATCGATCTTCAATATACGACAAATATCACTTCAATAGTCTGCGACTTTGAGAGCTCATAGTAGTTTACTCTTAAGTAATGAAATTAATTTCAAAAAGAACAAAATGTTGAGCGCTTGGAGGAAATTTCACTTTCCGCACTCGTCGCATGAGGCACTGGGGCCCCTGTAATTGAGAGGGTGGAGGACTTTATAGCCCTTCCTATTTGGTTTTATTGCAGTAGCACCTAGCCACCTGGACTTTACCCATTCCTGCTCTACAGAAGACTCTCGCTAGTTGCATGCCCGTTAGTTATCCTCCTTACGTCTTTTGTCCTCCGTACATAAGCACAGAGGTCCAAATAATTTTATCCGAAAATAAAACTACAGTCGAGCTACCCACGGCTTAAAGTAGTATGGTCACGGATCGATTTCCAAGATTAAAATATGAAATAATTTTTTTATGAAAGTTAATATCAATAAAAACCTCCTGGTGCAATTGGTGGTACATTGATCGTTTAGTATGGTTGATAAGAATTAATGAAAAACTAGATTTTAACACAGTCTTATGGGCAAATCATATTTTTGGGTGGTTTTTATGATAAATCCAAGATGAATTTATTTTAAAAATCCCAAAAAATGAGAAAAAAAACAAAAATTTACGACCGTCGATGAAAAGTATTGACCGTTTGGAACTTTAGTTATAAATAATTTCTGCTCCTCGGTGTTCGGAAATTGCGTGTCGAGTAGATGCGGCAACGACGCGTTAATGGAGTGGGGACAAGCGGGCATTTCAAATCTCGTTTTCCTTACGCTGTTAAGTTACAGCGTTGCCACACATAAAACGACGCTAGTCGAAAGAGATACATTATTTGATTAATAAGTGAAAAATAATAAAAATAATCGATTAATTCTTATATTCATAAATTTTATAATTCACAAAGAGAATTTTCAATTATAAATCATAGTTTTTGGATTAATTTTTTTAGATTTTCTTGATGGACACTCAATGATCACTTTGGAGAGTGACCATACTACTTTACGTGCTCGGGACCGAGCCAATTTTGGAGGCTCCCCTTGGCTTAAGTTCTCCGTCTTCTCCCACTTCTGACTCATGACTATGAGACGCATGCACAATCCTATCGTAGAAAGGAAATCGATCTTGATATCCTATCTGAAAAAGGAGAAAGGAAATCGATCTGGAAATATCTCGAAAATCTCGAATAAACGTAAGCGTAAGACTAAAACCGAAGCGCCACTAGTGAGGAGATGAGAAGGCGCGTGCGTAGCACGCGCGGCCGATCCCGTATCAGAAAAACGGCTGCGTAGTGGGCTGCGTAACGGTCTGACACTAGTCTGTCAATTGAAGTCTACGCATGACTTGGCCATGTGGTGGGGTCACAGAAGACGAGGGGAACTTAAGCTTGTGGAATCACAATTCTTAAGCTATGGGATGACTTTAGTGGCGGGAGCTTCAGCCGTGGGGAGCTCGACTGTATTCATTCCCTCCCTTTTTTCTGAGAACTTGGGTCGGCATTGGCCAAGGAGTGGGGGCCGCTGGAAGGTCCCTGATTTCTTGGAAATGGTACCCTTACAGCCCTTTCGATGAGCAACTAGCGAGAGTCCACTGCTCTCCTGTATTCCTTTGAGATACCACTAGCTGATCGATGAATTTTTTTACCAGTTATCATTACATCATTTTGTCTCCACTTTGCGGTGCCAAAAGTTAGAAATGCATTTATACTTGTACTTATTGTACATGATGTGTATATTACTCCACCCGCCCCCGCAATGGGGCTATGTATCCTATATGCAGAAATAAATCATAGTAATAATAAAAATCCCTTCATATGTATTTTTAACAAGACAGGATGAATTTATCGAGAGGCACAACATGGGGCTACCTGATCAACGGATCATTCAACGGAATAATTGGAGACATGATTAAAGGAATTGTTGATTTCGGCGCCACACCTTTCCAATTCAAACCTGAAAGAATCGATGTCATTGAATATACCGTCCAAGGATGGTTAGCAAGGTTGGTTGAGAGCTCAATAAAAAATGAATAAATGATCGTGAAACGAGGTGAATTAGCTGATGAAAACATTTACATCTACTACCTGTAATTCAGACCCTGCTTGATATTCCGTCATCCGAAGAAGAATAATCTGAGCAATCCCTTTCTGAGGCCCTTCGAGATGAAAGTTTGGTACTGGATCGCAATATTTGGTATTGTTCTCTGGAGCGCGCTTTATCTGACGGTGAAAGTGGAGACCAAATTTGATCCTCAAAAATCTGTTAATACCATTGACACTCATCCGGCGTCTGAAACCGTGCTGATAACTGCTGCAGCAATCTGTCAACAAGGTGATTAAATCGAGAGATTTACTCCTCAAATTATGGCGACACTCACGTGTGAAGAAATTTCGTAGAAAAACCTAGCGAATTTGCTAAACAATTCTTTCCATTAGTTTTTGGTCGATTCTATTGAAATGTCCAATAGAAAATATTCTGCACAAAAAGTCAATAGAATTTTGTGTTTCTATACAATTTATTCTATTGTATACTTTTCTGTTCTATATTCTATTCTATACTTTTCTATAGAATTTCCTCGGCTCAAATTTTCCAAGTTTTTTTGTTTGATGTTCTGGATGAAAAGAAAAATATAATGCAGTGGCATTATTCTACATATTTTCAAGGTTTGAGTGACGGTCCTCGTTGCATTTCCGGCCGCATTACCTTCCTGACTCTCTTTATTTGGGGCCTCATGCTCTATCAATTCTACTCTGCGAGTATCGTTGGATCATTGCTATCAGGAAGTTCCAACTGGATCACAACGCTGCAAGATCTCGTCGACAGCGATTTGGAAGTTGGAATTGAGGATATGGCATACAATCACGATTTTTTTGCAGTATGTCGCAATTTATGGGACAGAAAGTCTTCCACTATTATTGAAAAAAAGTCTTCCGAATTTAATCGACCACACCATTTTCGTTAGCTGAGAAAACTTTCTGTCAAAATCACTCAGTAGCGAAGCGGTAAAACTTATAAATACCTTTTAACAGGTAATAGACCTCGTATTGAGGTCTCTGATGCAGAGAGAAATGTTTTATCGTTTTGCTACTGAATTCTGCCATTCGATTGTGAAATTCCATACTACTGATGTCGTTGATGAGCAGTGATGTTCACATCTTAGAACAGAGAGAATAATGAAGACTCTTACTCCCCTTATTACTGATCACAACTTTCCACTTGCTTTTGTTAATTAATCAGTAAATCAGTATCGAAGAAGTAAATCGGGTCAAGTCGATTTTGAATCTTGGCCAGTTTTTGATGAATATCTCAGAATCTAAGAGAGGTAGCCAAATTTTCCTCATGACCTTCCTTATAACCCTCAATTGACTCTACAAAAAAGGTCGTGACAAAAATTTTTCTACCTCGTAAATTCCGAGATATTCGTCAAAAACTGGCCAACAGTCAAAATAGACTTGACTCGTTTTTCCGCTTCGCTACTGAAATGGTACTTTTATTCAATTCAGACAACCACAGATCCTGTTGCCCAGGAGCTTTACAACAAGAAAGTAGCGATCAGCAAGAAACGGAAGACGGAGCCGTACTTCTCAGCCGAAGAAGGCATCAAGCTGATACAGAAAGGTGGCTTCGCATTCCAGGTTGATGTGGCCACAGCCTACAAGTTCATCGAAGAGACGTTCAACGTCGACGAGATCTGTGATCTAGTTGAGATTCAGTTGTTTCCACCGAAGCACACAGCCACTGGAACAGCGAAGCATTCTCCATTCAAGAAGATGATCACTTATGGGTAATTTCCATTGTCTCTCCCTGGAATTCTGCGAAATCATGCAGTTACATTGTGCAGTAGAGGCTTCGGATAAGATACCTTAGCGACACTAGAAGAGTGGAATTCCGGGAGCCCGTATGCCCCCACTACGCGCACCCATAGAGGAGAAAAATAGGGATCAGCGAGTTTCAAATAAGATACCTCGCTTATTGTACCCGAATTCAATGAAATGTTCATTTTTACTGAATGAATATCGATAACTAATCAATTTATATGTGTTGCCCGGTGGCCTGGCGTAGTGGTTAAGGCCGTTGCCTCACAACGGATAGGTTCCAGGTTCGATTCCTGGCCGGGTAGAATGGTGAGATCTAACCATTTTTAAAGTCTTGATCAATCGCCATATAGTCTCATCAGACTCGAAGCGATATAAAATAAGCATAAAAAAAAAAAAAAAAAAATTTATATGTGTTTAATGTTTTGAATTTGTATCGCCCGCGTTCCCTTTTCTCTCTAAATATAACTCTGCGTGATGGAATGGCTGCTGATGTTGGGGGATTGTTGGTGGACTCGAAAATAATCACAGACGAAAAATTACGATTTTCCATGGGAAAAGTGAAGAAAAAAATCGATGTATATTTCTATCACTTGAAAAAAGTGGTGTGACTGCCCCTTAAGGTCATTAGATCCTCATGATCACTTCGTTCGTCCCTCCCGTTTGACCGTTAACACTGTTTAATCCTTATAAATACTCTCTTCCCGTTGAAAAATGACCGGGGCCATAAGTATCTTATAAGAAGTTCACGGAACATAAACATTCGGGAGGTGATAAAAGCGCCGAGAGTGGGGGGTAGGCCTCGAGCGCTCGGTGTGCGAGGTATCTTATAGAGGTATCTTATACTGCATTTGATTTGTTCTTCTGGTTTAATTACCACTAGATTGAGAAAAGTGATGGAGCGAGGTACTCCGCGCCGTTTGCTCAACATTTGGATGCATCGAAGACCTCAATGCCCTGAGAGTCACAAAGCAAATCCTCTTCCCGTGGTTCTCACCGAATTTAGCCCTGCGTTATTTCTCCTGATCATTGGAATCATGTTCGCAACATTGGTGATGGCTGTTGAGAGGACATTCCTATCATTCCCATCATTAAATTTATTAGATCCAGAATCCCGATGATCTGATGCCGAGGACTCGGTGACAACTGTGCACACTGGAGTGGATCGAGTTTCTGCAGCCGATGATCCAGAAAAATAGTCTGTAGTGAGATGAGATGTGAGGAAATGTGAAATTGCAAACTGTCTGGGTGAGATGTTAATTAAATTATTTTGTGTTGCTAAGAAAACTTCTAGAATATTTTTCATTATTTTTATTGTTAATTTATCAATCAATTTATTCCTCTATTGCATGTCCTCATTTATAATCACTTAATCGTCACTTTCTCGTCACTTAATTTATTTTATTTCTCTAATGCCTCTACTGTGTCTTGTTTTGCATACTGTCCTTAAGACCCTTTTTCGACTGATACAAATTATTATTACTATTATTATTATTATTATTTTTTTATTATTGTTACTTTTTCGATTTATCTTTTGTAATGAGCTCCGTGCTGTTAATTACTTTTTAATTATTAATTCTATTCTTTTTGCTTTCGCTTTTAATGAACAATCAGGAACCCCTTCTATTAATTAATACCATGTATTACAATACAGAGGAATAAATTGATTGATTAATTGATTTATTTTTATTGTTCATTAATTCAATTTGTTGTGCTTGCAAAGACCTCATCACCCGCAGGGGATTGTAATGCATTACAGGATTGCTTTAATTACTTTTTTTGCTTACATCTGTTGGAGCAATGGAATCATAGCAATAAAAATGAGTAATAGTAAAAATTCGAATCTACCTTGATGTATGATTCAATGAATACTCTTAATTTTGAAAAGGACTTCTTTCTTTATCTAAACTAAAGGTCGAAGCAATCCCCAGAAGGAACAAAAGATGAATTCGATTCACATTTATAGGACAATCCTGGCTAACAATTGAATTAAAGTTATTCATTAATTCGAAAAAAATCAAAGAGAAACCAAAATCATTGATAGCCAAGTGGTAAAGCATCAGAAATCCAAGATTCCATTTTTATTCATCCTGCAATTTTTTGAAACAAGAGAACAAATCGTTCATTCAACAAATTTGATGTTCACAATAAGCAAAATGAGAAAAATGAACTTGCTATGTGTACGACTTATGAATATTGTTCTTCATCACTTTCAAACTCAACTTTTCTTTAATGTAAAGTCGCACTAATGTTGACGTCCATTCGAAAAATGAATTTTAATGATTCATTCCAAATTTCTAAATGATTCATTGCTGTAATCGTCAACAGGTTCATCGAATCAAACGATTATTTCCAACGAAATGGACAACTCTTAATTGCACTTTTTCTTCATTTCCTTCATTTCAGAATTATGGAATCCTTATTCCGCGTTATTTACACTGTTGATCCGATTTCGCGTTAAAAATTTCGTTCTCCACTTTTTCCATCGAACGTTCCACATCCTCAATTCACTTTTTTTAAGGTACTTACAGATTATTCCAATGTATTTTTGATGGTCAGATTCATCCGGAAGTTGCACTTCAGTTACAAATTCTGACTTTCTAAACACGAGCGCAAAGGAATCTGAAGAGCGACACTAGTACACCTGGTAAAATTATCAACTACTTCCCATTTGGGCCACGCAGTCATGAATTTTCAGGCGGAAGTTGAAGTGCAATGACACTTGCGGGCCGCCCCTTCTAATATACCCTGGTGGAAACAATACAGGTATCATTTCGGAGTTCTACTGAATCACGGAGATATCGAATGACAGTTTGGAGTTGGCTATTTGCATGAAATATCAGGCAGACTGGGGAAATGATACTACGTATACTGGCGACTTCGGTTTCTGGGCTATTACGAAAATCATAGGCTGAGATTTAACGCAATATATAATTCAGCCCGTGAGAATCGTCACGTGGACGAATTGGGATTTTCGCTCGTTTTTAATCATAAGAGGATTCAACATTTTATGACATTAGCGCCTTTTCATTATGCCAATTTTCCTGTCTGATTCGATATTCCTTTTTTCAATTAATTGTTTATAATCACTCTCATTGCAGCTGTTAAATTTTCATATCACAATAAATGATTTGTTCATGTTCTAATTCGTATGCTCAATGAGAAACTGCATCTTCTCGTCTCGTCTTGTCTCCTCTCGTCTCGTCTCATCTTGTTTCGACTCGTTTCATCTCTACAAGATCTATGTGCGCGCGCTCGCGCGCGCTGATCTATTCATTTGTTGAAATGGCAGAAATGGAATTCATTAAATTTTATTTTCTCATGAATACCTTATAAATATTGATAATGAATCAAAGAGAATTCGATTAACGATTAAAGTGAATAGCGAAGTAGAGTAAAAGAATCTATAAAGAATTTTTCATTTTCAATTAATTATCTTCAATTTTTTAAAATAATCGGTGTCCATAAAAGGACAAAATTTATTAATTTCCCCGATAATATGTATACATGTGAAATATATATATATTATATATATATATGACGTGAAAAAAAAATTACCTCTGAAGAATTTGAAATTATGTCACTGAAGAATTTGAAAATGCCGCGTGTTTTTTTTTGTGAATAACTTCGTGTAACATATTGACCAATCAGAATTAAGGATTAGCGGTCAGGCAGTTTCGAGATATTTCGATATAAAACAACTTCACGTTTCTTTCATCTTTAGTAAAATAGGATAATCTAATTGCACGAAAAAAAATACACAGAGGGGAAGGCTTTCTCGACTCTCGTCTCGACTGGTTTTTCTCGTCTCGAATGACTCTCCTCGTCTCGTCGCGTTTCTCGCGCGTCTCGCAGCATCACTATAGAACACATTTTAGAGTGTGAATTTTTGGAAATCAATGTTTGTTGATACTCTGTTATCAATTTTTAGTTACTTCGCACGGTAATTCAATTAATCTGTTGTTCATCTCATCAATATCATTCGGCGTTTAGAATATTGTCATCTTGTGAGAAATACAATGGATAAAGGCAATAAACTGTTGGGGACTCCTCTTGATTCAAAATAAACCGGGTATTCCCCTTACGGATGAGTTTTATTCGGTCGAAATTCCTGGCGGTAGTTCTTTCATTTTCAATAACCACGAAAATAGGGGTCTATTCTTCATATCTGTAGACGCTATTGGAGAATGCTAGATCATTTTGATGTCCTCGAGGGATCATAACTGCAAAATTTGTGAAAATAATGTCGTAAAAGAATGAGTTTCTTACGGAATGTGAAAAATGTTCTCCTCCTTTATCGACAAGAGTTCGAGTACCGTAGGTAAAGACAACTTCTATTGAAGCGGTCGGTGGTTGAGGAACTCGCCTTGTTACTAACTGATAACGAAATACCGACTGTGCATTCTGTGAGAATTTAAGGTCTATCCCAAGAGAATCGGACCCAAAAGTTAGTCCCTATGGATTTCCGGAAAAAATGCAGAATAACTTAATTTATTAGTCATGCTAGGTCAGGAATTTTTATATTTTCTGCATTTTTGCGAAAAAAATGAACTGTAATCGCTATAAATGAGATGAATATCTAACAAGATTAGTAGTATAATGAGCAAACTGGCCATTCGGTAGCATATTGCTAATTTATCAGCAACAATAGCTGCGCTAGCATAAAGACCAAAACGGTAACCCACTTGTTTTTATTGAAGAAAGTAAATGCTTCGCTCCAACAAAGACTCATTCCTTGGACAGTTATTCTCCTTCTGCGGAAGGCTACCATTATTGGAGCGAAAGAATTCATTCTATATTTTGAAATGTTCGCAATTTATTACGCAAGTTATTCTGTTATTAATATACCCATTATTTATTGCTTGTTTATTGCGAAGATTTTTAAGTTGCTATCGCTATCAATTATTATCAAATCTAACTCATTTTTACTATTCCACTATTACTTTAAATCACCCAATCTATTTTTATTTCACTTTCCATGTCGAAAAAATGAGCGACCGAGAGAAATGAATCGATCGGCCTTGGAATCCACCTAAACCCATTAATTACTTTCTTCTCCCGATTAAAACCCCATAAAATCAACAAAACATCTCCAGTGAAAATTAGGTAATGTTTGTAATTTACTACTCGTGGTCCACTCTGCGTTGTTAATATAACAATTTTTTGTTGCTTGTCATAAATAAAGTGGATTTGTCTTTGTCATTGCTCTGAAAATCTCGTAGAAAGACTAAGAAATTGTCATCAATTTGAACTCATTATTATAATTTCATTATCACACGAAAAAAATAATAGCAATTAAAATCTATAAATATTCATAGAACCGTCCAATCTATTTTTATTTCACTTTCCATGCCGATAAAAAACGAGAGGCCGAGAGAAATGAATCCACAGGCCTCCGAATCCACCAAAAACCATTAATTACTTTCTTCTCTCGATCAAAATCTCATAAAAACGGAAAGATTCTCCAGCGAAACATCTCCGCAGTTCGAAAAATGAGGCCACATCGTCAAGTAGGTCGAGAGTGCGATCTGGGAAACGGTGTTGGCTGAAGTTGAACGATTTCTAACAGTACATGCCCTCAGCGGTGTACATGCTCGGGAGTACATAATTTCTCAATTACATTCCACGAGGATCAACAAAGGAATCAACGTGGTAATCCAACATTGCCGAGATAATTCAGCTCCAGACGTTTCACAGACCGCAAACAAAGACCCACGGAGACAATCGAAGGTGTAATTTCCGCCGCAAGGTCGCGTCACGCTTAATTACACACGATTGCCGAGGAAGCTATTATCACCGTCTAGATTCCAGCGCATCTCCAACAATTACATCAGTTGGTGGGCGGAAGATGGATTTTTTTTTCCAGAACCATTAAATTGTTGAGTACATGATGTACATTTCAAAATTCGCAGATATTTTGAAATGCAATGTCAACATTTGTCGCATCCACATTTTTTAAAATTAATCGTAAATGTTTTTGAAACTTTTTTTAAATTATTAGATTGTCAGGAGATAATTTTCGTAAATAAATGGATTTTTTTAATGACAAATAAAGAATTTGTCATCCTTTAACTAATTGACTTCAATTAATTGTTTTTCCTAATCCGAAATGATGAAAAAAAATATTTGTTATACCTATTTTTGAATTTGAAGATGTGATTTTCATGATGAAATTATTTGAGAGAAAATGTTTTTTCATTATTTTTGCGTAAAGGGAAATTTGACAACATGAATGAAACATGGGAATGTCAACATTTGTCGCATCCACATTTTTAAAAAATAATCGTAAATGTTTTTGAAACTTTTTTTAAATTATTAGATTGTCAGGAGATAATTTTCGTAAATAAATGGATTTTTTTTAATGACAAATAAAGAATTTGTCATCATTTACCTAATTCACTTCACTTAATTTTTTTTCCTAATCCGAAGTGATGAAAAAACTTATTTGTTATACCTATTTTTGAATTTGAAGATATGATTTTCATGATGAGATTATTTCAGAGAAAATGTTTTTTCATTATTTTTGCGTAAAGGGAAATTTCACTTTCCACGCGCTGATAATACTTTTATCGCCTAGTGATATAATGTACTATTTCATCACGCTGTGACGAAAAGTGAACTTTTCGGCACGCTCCGCGTGCCTAAAAGTCCAATTTCCGCCACATTGTGATGAAAAATATTGTTCGTAACTCGTGAAAAAATGTTTTTTAGCTCGTGGGATTATATCACTCGCCTTCGGCTCGTGATATAAACCTCCCACTCGCCAAAAAACACTTTTTTGCACTCGTTACGAAATATACTATTTCATCACTGAGGTTGGATAAGTGGTCCTTACGGTGGCAGTGTTCAGGGGTGGGTAAATGGCATTTAGCAGGACGATACCTTAAAACGAGACCAGGTATGGTAAGGGAGACTTACCGCTCCTCGGACCGTAAAATCCTACAGTTACTAGATGTAAAACCCACATAACTTTTGTACAAGTGCAACATGAAGGGAGCCGCTATAGCTGTGGGTTCGGCGGTTCTGGCCAATATGGCCGTCGCTTGGATGTGCAATTGAGCGATTCTGTCTACCCTACCGGCAACAGAAGAGGTGGAATGTCATCTTGTTGATTCTTTTTTGGGAGCTTTGATGGTCGCAGAATTTTTTTTTTACCATCATTTAGCACAAAACCAGTCGGTTTATACAGCTAATTAATGAGATATCTTCCCATGACTTTTGATAATTAACCTGTAACTTTTACCCTCTACTTGGCAATATGTTGTTGGGTTTTTATATAATAGCTTAACAAATGAATGAATAACTGGATATTTCTATAAAGTTATGATCCAGTTGATTTGGAAATGCAGAAAATTGATCGTTCATACCGCGAAAACCAGAAATCTAACAATTTTTACTTTATTCAAATGGCTTCAGAGGTTCTTTCATTTGTTAACTTCCCGATAGAAAGTTACTGGTTTCACCACGGAAATGAAAAATCGTAATTTCATGAAATCCCGATGTTTGATGACGAGTAGAAGCTCCTCAGATGGTTTTTAGAAAAGTATATGTATGTGTGGGTGTGTATGTAGCCATTTTTTTCGTTAACGCTCCCGGGGGAACGCGTAGTGTAATCGAAATGAAATGCGTCGTGATCGACACTCATTCACTTGCTTAAGACTGGATTAGATTGGGAGAGAAAACCCCCACCCCTTTTTGAGTTTTTCAAAAAAGAAATGTCAAAATTGAAATTCGCAAAATTGGAATTTGAAAGAACAAATGTTTCGTAAGAAATTTCCGAATTTCCAATTTCAAATTTCAACTCGTGTCAGGATGTTATACTTGCGCCCCTGAAGAAACACATGAAGCAAATTTCAAAATTTTTACATGGAATAATTTTTATCGACAATTAAACAATTACTAATTGGATATCTTCCCATAATTTTTGATAATTAAACTGTAAATTGAATCCTGTACTTAGTAATATGTTGTTGGATTTTTATACGACAGATTAATAAATAAATAAATGAATAGCTGAATATTCCTGTAAAGTTATGATTCAATTGATTGCCAAATGCAGAACATTGATCTTTGATACCGTGAAAACCAGAAATCTAACAATTATTAATTTATGGAAATGGCTCGATCACAAATACACATTCAGAACGAATGGAATAACGCGAAAATGAGGATAGAATGAAGAGGTGTGTGCGCAAAAGGAAGGAGGCATATAAAGTCGTGGCGGTTACTTTCCTTCAGTTTACTCGAGCGCGCAATGGAAGCTAAACCAAGTACACAGGTCCTCGTATTTTTTTTGTTTACTGTTGTGATATTAACAAGGGACATTGAGTGTTACACGTGGCCGAGGAGAAATACATACATGACGAGATGGGATAAAGTGAATTTGGATGAAATTCTCCAGAATAAGAGACTGCTTCACCATTACTTCAGGTGTCTCATGGGAGTGGGGCCTTGCCCGCCTGATGGACAGGAGCTGAAACGTGAGTGCAGTGGGAATTTAATTTTTACACTTCAGTGATCCACTTCCCGTGTTGTCAGATTCAAGAGGAGAGACTGAATTTTAGGATAGACGATAAATAAGGGAATTCAAGAATTAAGAAATTAAATTAAAGCATTCAATTGATTTGCGGGAATTGGAGTTTTTTGGGATTTCAAATTATTTAGAGACATCTTTCTTGTTTACATCGCATTGTATGGAAATGTTTATTTATTCATTGTCAGATTGTAAACATTTTTTTGTGAAAGACTTTTATGGAATGATTTAATAAATAAGTCAATAAATTTATAAATAATTTAATTAAGTTTGCCAATTACATTGCATGTGAAAAATTGAAAAAAAAATGAATATTCGGCGTCATTCAAATTATATTTTTCACAGAAATATATATTTTTTTAACATTCGTTGTTTACAGATAAATAATTGAAATTGTTTAAACTTTCGGAAACCTTATTGTTTTAGTCATTGTACGTTTTACAAATGCGCAAAAAAATTGTTGAAGCGAATTCAAATGTGCATATTGTATGATTTTTAATTTCTAATAAAATTATCTCAACTATCACAACCAAAACTGTCATATTTCAGATGAAAAAAAATTACGAATTCCAAAAGTTTAGCAATGTTTTCATTTTCTTTTAGGAGTTCTACCGGAAGCATTGGAAACAGCTTGTGCCAAATGCTCGAAGAGCCAGAAAGAAGGTGCAATCTATGTAATTAAATATTTGAGGTAAAAACTTGAGGTTTTCATTTTCAGCAACTATTTCTTTGTCTTTCTCTTAACTGATTCATTCAACCTTTCGTGCATAATTGAATGAATTATAGACATAATAGACATTAACTGTGAGGTGAATGACAATTCATGGTTCACCGGATATCGCTCCGTTCAAGAGCCTCGTGAATTGCATAAATACAGATATGGAAAAATTCAACAGAAACGTCTAACGCTTTCATCAGAAAATTCTGTTGCGATTCGATTCGTGTTTTTCTTGATTTATGATTTTCTTGATTTTCTTGATTGATTGAAATTCATCGGAATAAATTTCCATTTGTCTTCGTCTACTATTCTATTTCTTCCTTTTATCGTTACTCAAAAAAGTTCTTTACATTCTTATCATTTTTAAAAGTATTTTTTATCTACAATGTTCCTGGAGACTTTATCGAAAAATTAATCCATTTATTGTCACCGGGATTTGTGTTTGATAATCTACTATGTAAAATTATGTATTTTCATATCTTCCAATAGTTTTACTATTTTAAGTATTTTTTCTGCATATTCTGGGATTGAGAAGAAAAAAATGTTTCATTTTATGAAGCATTCACGTTTTTCTTGTTGTTCATTGAAAATATCGCAGCCTTCCTTTACGATTCTTGACAGATATTTTATAGAAAAACATTTTCAATATGACTAATTCTTCAAAATTGTTCCTATACAAGTTCTTCAACATAATTTTTTTTATTAATTTTCTCTTCATTTTGTTCTATTTTTCATTGCAGAATAAATCGCACAGAAAATTCAACATCTATTGACTGTCTGGACTGATTATGTATTTAAAACATTGCACAGTCAAATGATTCCAATAAAAATCGGTAAAAAAAAAAGATAAAATCTCCAGTACAATTGGATTAATTTTTATTGAAAATTTCGCAGTCTTCATTTACGATTTTTTGACAGATATTTTATAGAAAAAAAATTTCTATATGACTAATTCTTTAAAACTTCTTCAATTTTCTATAGAAGTTCTTCAACATAAATTTCTCAGTTATTTTTCTCATCATTTGGTTCTATTTCTCGTGGCAAAAGATTTTTTATAGAAAAAATCACAACAGAATAAGTTGAGAAATCAAGATCTATTGACTTTCTCAAATGATTATAAATTTAAGAAATAGCAAGATCAAATGATTCCAATACGAATCGGCAAAAAAAAATAGATAGAATCTCGCATTAATTTTTGTTGAAAATTTCACAGTCTTTATTTACGATTTTCTGACAGATATTTTATAGAAAAAAAAATGGCCTATATGACTAATTCTTCAAGACTTCTTCAAAATTTCTATAGAGGTTCTTCAACATAAATTTCTCCGTTATTTTTCTCATCATTTTGTTCTATTTCTCGTGGCAAAAGAAGATTCTTTATAGGAAAAATCACAACAAAATAAATTCGAAAATCAAGTTCTATTGACTTTCTGGATTGATTATATATTTAAAACATTGCACGGTCAAATGATTTTAATACAAATCGGCAAAAAACAAGTAGAATCTCAGTACAATTCTGCTAGACATTCAACAGAAACGGTAAAATTTTCTAGAAATGCGTTCAGTTGTTTATTGAACTTCATCATACATAGAATTTTATGCCCCGCGTGCTGTTCCATCGAATGTCAATATTATCATTTCATCTTTTATTTTTCAGGGAATACATGCCAAAGAAACTGGAGATGCTTGCGAATAGGTACGACCCAGATGGAAAATATCGTCGACGTTACTATCATTCCACATCCGTGGATAACAATACCACGTGATATTTTCACCAGGACTTTCTTTTTCGCATTTTGTATTCCCTCTCTGTCACGTCTCCGTTCATTCTGTTTACTATGATTTCACATTTTTGTTTACTTCAGTGTTTTCTACATTTTAAAAGGTCCTTGTTGAGTTTTATTTTTGTATTATTTATCTATTTTATGTACTCTTCGATTATTTAATTATTTAATACACCGTTTTTTGAATTTACTTTTTGTCGATGAGTTTTCAGTATTTTTATGATTATCTGGAACAATCCAATTATTAAAAATTAATTTTATAATTATATTTTTTTTATTTCATCTGCCGAAAAACTACATGTTCCACGTGAGAATGTTTGACAGAGAGGAACAGATTTATTTGAGGGAGAATAACCAGTTTGACAGAAGGGAATTCAATATCTTTCGCAAAAATTAAATTCAAGGAAGAAAGAAAGAATATTTTCTTCCCAAGAACAAAATTAGCCAATAGAAATTATCATTTGTTCCACGGAAATTATAAGTGTTTATTGGACAAAGGCATACACTACTCAGTAACATTTACTTGATAAAATCGGAGCCTCATATAATTCTTTGTAGAACGAATGTATTTGCCGGAAAGATATAAATGTCTCACGAGAGCAATTACTGTTACAAAAATAATCGTGTTTTGGTGGAAACGTTCGTTTTTGTCCACAAATAAATGAATTCAACACGATAAAATATTTGTTCAGGGGAACATGAAGTTTTTCGGCAGAACAAATTTTTCTCTCAGTGTTAGAAATTTTTTGAAATTTCATGGAAGATATTATACTAAATCGCACGAGAGTGGCATTGAATCGAATTTAGAGAGACAATGGTGATGAAATTTGAAGTTTTAAGTATAATTCACGGAAATTCATGAGTTTTCAGTGGGAGTGAGATGGAAATTTCACGACTTGATTGAAATTTCAATTTTTCCGTGAACTTTCCTGGTTTTTCTAAATTTTCACAGAATAATTGAACTGGAAAATCAAGTATTTTATTGATTTCCAGATGATTTGAACAGAAAATCTGTGGAATATATGATTTATCCCTATCAAGATATCCTGAAATTTTAGCGGAACTTGAACTCGATAAAAATTTCCGGAATTTCACGTATGAAAAAATTCAATAGAAAAACTGCGCGAATTCGTTACAAAATTCTATTGAGATTCTATTCAAATTCTAGGGAATTCTCGTTAAAATTCTATTTGTTTTTTGCGCTTATTCTATGAGATATTTGATAGGAAAAAGTCAATAGATTTCGATTTTTCTGTAGGAATATTCTCTTGGAATTTTTCCTATAAAAATACTTGGACATAAATTTTCTAAAAACATAAGTTTTTTTTCACTCGGATCCTGTAATGCAAAACAAAACAAAACATAACTGAAAAAACTAATTAATAATAATAATAATTTTAATAGAAAAAATCTGAAGAGAAAAATTCAAATAGAGAAATCGAAATCTATTGACTTTTCCCTATCGAATATCTAATAGAAACTGCGCAAAAAACAAAGAGAATTTTAACGATAATTCCCTAGAATTTTAATAGAATCCCCATAAAATTCTAGTGAATTGGCTAAGGTTTTCTATTAAATTTTTTCATGCGTTTTGTCACGGACACTTCAAACGAAAATTTTTACCAGTTTACTTCAAAATTGATATACTATCGGAACCTCGTCACTATTAATGCACTTAAACCTCTTTGAGACAACTCATTTGACTTGTCGCTTTATTCCAAAGGGTGCCCCCCTCCCGAGAAATATTTCCCCGCATATCGGAGAAAGCAAGACGTCGATGAAAGTCAGGGTGAAAGCTGCACCACCCCCCGAGCTTTCGGACTTGCGTGATGCACGCAAGAAATGCATAGTATGGAGAAATGCCGAATGAAAACCTTTCTCCAAATGACATACGATTTCCTCCAATTCTATGCTTTCTTCTTAATTTGGGTTTTATCATTGATATGCGCACTGGCGCGAAATCTGGCGCTCACGGCCTTTCAGGGAGTCAGTGAAATTGGATTATTCGGGGAGAGAGTGCTCCGTGGAGAAATGGATATGCTGAGGGTTTTGCTGATAATGGCATTGTTCTTTCACTCAGTCGTGACGGATGAACATTTGGAGACGTTTGTTAGCGAGTTTTATGAATTCAATAATGTTCGTCAAATTGTTTTTTTCGGATGTTGGGACGATGCAGGTATTTCAAAATTCGTCGGAATAAATTTCCATTTGTCTTCTTCTACTATTCTATTTCGTCACCTTTTTCTGTTACACAAAAATGTTTTCTACATTTTTGTCATTTCTAAAAATATTTTTTATTCCCAATATTCCCGGAGACTTTGTCGATAAATTAAGGCATTTATTGTCACCGAGATTTGTGCGTGATAATCTATTATGTAAAATTTAATAGCGAAGCGGTAAACCGGGTTAAGTTGGTTTTGACTATTGGCCGGTTTTTGACGAATATCTCGGAATCTAAAAGAGATAAAAAAAATTTTGTCGTAAGCTTTTTTGTAGAGCCAACTACGGGTTATAAAAAAGGTTCCGAGAAAAATTTTTCTATCTCTTTTAGATTCCGAGATATTCATTAAAAAATGGCCCAAAGTTAAAATCGACTTGACCCGGTTTACCGCTTCGCTGCTAAATTATGTATTTTCATATTGTCCAATAGTTCTACTATTTTAAATATTTTTTCTACATATTTTGGGATTGAAAAATAAAAATTGCTTCATTTTATGAAGCTACGAAAGAAGATGAAAAAAACACGTTAACTTGCTGATTATTTTGTAAAAATGACATCTTTGACGTATTTTTATAATATTTTCGTTTTCAGTGAATGAATTTTATTCAGTGAAAACTCTCTCCTCTTTCTCCATTAGATCTTCAAAAAGATATTTTTTTAAATATTTTTCCATTGAGAAAAATAAACTTCACTTTATGAAGCGATGAAAGAAGATGAATAAAAAATGCGTCATCTTCCTGATTATTACATTGAATATACTTTTTGCCGATAAAATTCTCCCGAATAAGACTAATGCATAATAAATTATCAATCATCTATCGTTTTTTCACTTTTTTTATTACAATTGTTTCAATAATCTGATCGTACTGACGTAAACATTCAGATGCTGTAAAATTATCCAAAAATATCATGAGACACGACGCAGCCGTATCATTCAACTCAATAACCCTAAATATGAATCTGGAAATAATTCTGAAAGTGAATTACTATCATCTCGGGGTCATACTGAATCTTGATTGTCCCCTGAGCGATTCGGTTCTACACGAGGTAATGGTTTTTTGTCTCACTCCAATGTCCTCAATGTTTATGCTAATTCGCTTCACAGTATCATTTAATCGAAGGCGCTATTCATAAGATCAATAAAATTAGGTGGACATGCCAACAAAAATCAAATCAAATTACCTTAGCAATTATCCATTCGGAGGAATTTTCAAAGGGTTTTTTAAAACTTTCTTGACAATAAAAAAAAGTCTCGTTATTTTTTCCTATTGATTAAAAAATACAGTTATTGATACATTCATGAAAAAAAAATGTTAAAAAAAACGGAACTAAAATGATTATCATTTTAACTTTGCGCATATTCAATGCCATTACTAATAGCATCGTCTGTTCGACTCATGTCTAATAAATAAAAAAAAAAAAAAAAAAAAAAAAAAAAAAAAAAAAAAAAAAAAAAAAAAAAAAAAAAAAAAAAAAAAAAAAAAANAAATAAATAAATAAGAAAATAAATGAACGAATAGTTTTAAAAATTAATCATAATTATTTCTAAAAAATATATTTTTTCAAATTTTCTTGTTCCTTAAACTACTGAGAAAAAGATTCCCTCCCTCATTGTCAATAAATCGTATAATTGAAAATTCACAGTTTTCGGATCAGTTAGTTTTTAACGAGACCTACGTGTGGCTCCTGCTCACAACTGCTCCATCACCTCCTAGCAACAGACTCAGGCATCTGCCATTGTCGATAGACACAGAGACGACTGTGGCAACGCGTGACGGGAATAAATTCACTCTCTACGACATTTGGAATCCAAGTTATCGTCACAATGGTTTATTCCATGTCGTTTACAAGGGCCGCTGGAGTCCTGAAGAGGGATTGATCAATGAGTTGACTCAGTACAAGTACACACGTCGTAATTTCAATTTAACGCCACTGAATTTCTCTATCACAGTCAGTATCTTAATCAGTATTCATCGTTGACATTTCATGATTAACGATTAATAATTAATGATTCGTAATTAATGATGAATGATTAACGACTAATGATTAATGATTAATGATTAATGACTAATGATTAACGATTAATGATTTTTTTAATTAAAAAATTGGCTTTTACTTTGATGATTAATGTCATCAGCTGAGGCATCCACCACTTCCGGATCTTGAAACCTACATGACAACTCCAATCAATCCACAATTTGATTCGATGCATCGTTATCATTACGCGCTTGCATTGATATTGCGAGATATTTTCAATTTTACGTGAGTAAAATAAATGCACATATCACAATTTATGCAGGATGCATCTGCCGATGCACCCAATTGTTAACGAAAATTTTTTCGAGATAACTCTTAACCCTAGTTTGGTCACCATAGGAAGGAAACGCCGCAGAAGGTCGATTTTTTTTCTTACCATTGACTGGCTGAGCGGACAAATCCAAAAAAATTGGAATGCGTCAATTCAAGTGTCTAGAAAATTAGAATATTTTTTAAAATTATTTATATCCACAATTCCAGAAGAAAGAAAAATATTTCTAATAGATGGGCAATTCTTTCCCATGTTAAATGAAATTGCCCGTTGTGCGACGTTGCCGAAGTCTCGCTAAACGCGCCCGGGCAGTATAGAGTGAATTCGGCAACGCTCGGGCCTAAATAACACGGCAGCGATTCCCTGCGGAGGTGACCAAAGTCGCAAGTTCTCATATGGTGACCAAAACTAGGGTTAAATGTTTGTGAAGATCATTAAAATTCAGTAGCGAAGTGATAAAACGATATAAGTCAATTTTGACTATTGACCAGTTTTCAATGAATATCTCGGAATCTACGGGAGATAGGAAAATCTTTTTCTGTACTGCTTCTCACGATTTCTCGTCTGGGAATTGGTATTACATACTTCCCAAACTCGAAAACTTGAAAATCACTACAGAAAAATATTGTTCCTGGGCTGTTACGATGGGGTTTTTTTACTCGTGTGGTTGGGCAAATTTCTAATATCTGAAACATATTTTCTTGAGAGAAGTAGATTATTTTCAATGGCTTCAATTTCAGAATGTGTGCACTTCACGGAACTCGAATAAATTTTCATTCATCACTATCGTTCCGCGTTACGTCATGAATATTTTACATATTGCAATATTGGAAGTGCATAACGGAAAAATCATGAAAACAATAAAGACTAGAAGATTGACGATTCTTCTACGCGATTTTGTTCATTTGCGACAAAATCATACTTGAGTACAAGAATATTTTAAAGCATGAGGCCTTTCTCGGGTCATGTGAGTTGAGATTTTTTTTAATCGTTATTTTACATCGCTTTGACCCGGTCAAGGTATACTGCGATGAGGATCAAGACTTTAAATGGTTAGATCGCACCATTCTACCCGGCCGGGATTTGAACTCGGAACCTTTCGCATGTGAGGCAACGAATTTACCCACTGCGCCAAGCCACCGGGCTCATGTGAGTTGAGATGCCTGAGAGAATTAAGCAATTGAAGAAAATTTACTTGTCTCAAGAAAATATGTTTCAGATATTAGGAATTTTTTTCCTCAGTGTCGGAGATAAGTCGAGTTAAACGTTTTAGTCGAGTTTACGTTTTTCGCTACTGAATTTAATTAATCACTGCTGTTAATTCTAAAGCATAAATCTACATCGCGCCAGTTCATGGGGCTATATGAAACCAGACAAGACTTTCGACGGCATTCTTGGAGACATTGCTAAGAAGGTCATAGACATCAGTATATCACCGTTTCGGTACAGACCTGAGAGATTCGACGTCGCAGAATTCACAGTGCAGACGCTTCTTGTGAGATCGTTCTTCATCTTTCGGCATCCCAGCAGTGCCTCACTGCGGAACAACTTCTTGAAGCCCTTTGCCAATGAACTCTGGTGGATGATACTGATGGTGAGCATCGTGTACTGGATTTCGCTGTTGATCACCATCAGAATTCAGAAACATTATGACGAGTCGAGGAGTTCCTTGATGGTACCGGCGTCCGAGGCTACTCTCACTACAGTCGCAGCTCTTTCTCAACAAGGTTATTCATTCCTTCTACCGTTAGCTGTCCATAACTTCAGAACGAATTGAAATTTTTATTTGAAACGGTGGGAATATAGTTTTGGTTAGTTTTACCAACAATTTATGGAATAAAAAAATCAGTTTTTTGAGTCGTCTAAACCTATTTTCAACGTTTTGAATATCCAATTATTTTGGAGATTTTTTCTCCAGTGATAAAATCATTTGCTCGGAAGCGTAACAAATTTATTCATATTCGGAACTTTGCCAGAAATAGATTTCATACTTAAAAAATAAGGTTTCCGAACATTTTGCAATGATATTATTACTTAAACTTTGCAGGTCTGAATTTGAATCTCGATATTGAACCGTTAGAAAACATTTTAAAAATCTGAAAAAAAATAGAAAGTTTATTTTTGGAGGAAGGTTGATGAAATAATTAAAAAATTGCAATTTTTGAAAATTACGAGCATTTTCCATAAATAATTTATAAACAATCAATTTTCCACCATAAAAATTATTTGTTCGGAATGGTAAAAAATTTCTTCAATAAATTTCATACCTAAAAAATAAGGTTTCCGGACATTTTACAATGATATTATTATTTAAACTTTGCAGGTCTGAATTTTAATCTCGACATTGAACCGTTAGAAAACATTTTAAAAATCTGAAAAAAAATTAGAAAGTTTACTTTTGGAGGAAGGTTGATAAAATAATTCAAAAATTGCAATTTTTGAAAATTACGAGCACTTTTCTATAAATAATTTATAAACAATCAATTTTCCACGGAATCGTAAAAAATTTATTCATATTCAGAATTTTAGCAGAAATCGATTTCACGTCTAAAAAATAAGGTTTCCAAACGTTTAAGCAATTTCAATTATTTATTTATAAACATCAAATGCTTAAAAAATGTTTGAAAATGGAATTTATAGTGTGATCTGTAATTAATTGAGAATTCCAGAATGTATTTACCTGTATTTCCCTAATTGTTAGCAATTTTCATGGAATAATTAAAATGAAATTGACAGTTTCCAGTGATTTTTCCAAAGAATTGTGAATTTGCAACGACGAAATTCCTTGAAATTTTAGTGGAACTCACTTGACAATAATTTTCAGGAATTCCATTTACTGGAGATTACATCTAAAAATTTTCAACACTGAATTCAATTTCCAGGAGTTTCCGATGATCCACAAATCATATCCGGACGCATCGTATTCCTCTCTCTCTTCATTTGGGGCCTTCTCCTGTTCCAATTCTACTCAGCGAGTATCGTTGGGTCTCTCCTCACGACTCCCCCACATACAATCACAACAGTCAAAAATTTGACTGACAGTGATATAGACTGTGGCGCAGAAGACGTCGCATGGGCTTACGATATGTTCAAGGCACATTTCCGCTCGTCATCTCATTTGAATGAGTCCCGAACGAACACCAATATCTTCTTTTGATTATTGCAGACAACCCCCATCGCAGAAGAGAGCGAACTTTATGAGAAGAAAATCAAACCTTTTGAGAACACACCTAAGAACAAGTACTTTTCCATCGTAAAGGGGATGCAAAAAGTGCAGAAAGGGGGATTTGCGTTTTATACTGAATCAGCACCAGCATACAAACAAATCAAGGTACGCATGCACAAAAAAATTTAATAGAAAAACCGAGGGGCTACTTACTCCTGAAACTACGGCGCCACTCTGGCATGAGATCATTCCGAACTCACTCCAAAGTCACGTGAAATCAACGAAATCAGTGACGCACTGGCGAGTGTGAACTGTGCATCCAATTTGTGATTTTGAAATTGACACCCCTGCCGACGATGACAATAGAATGCTTTACTCACTGCCATAGTAAAATGGTAAAATGGACTGCTTTTCATTGTCCTTAGACAATTTAAGATTGGCGGAGTGGAATCAAAACAATTCGTTATTATTTTCCAGTTATTATTACCAGTTTTAATTTCATAATTTGACGCAACTCGTTTTTCCCCACCTCTATTATTTACTTCATTTTTCTGAAATCACTGATTTCGAATGATTTGATTAATTCGAAATCACCTCCCGTGACGCTCGGAATCACCGAAATCATTTTATCTGAAATCACTGAAATCACCGAAATCGATTTCATTTCGAAATCATGGTGTCACTAAGTGATGGAGTGAGTAGTCCCTCGAGAAAAATCTACCTTTAACCGACAATTCTATTATGGATTTCTGTTTAACTTTCTATTAGTTTTTGACCGATTCTATTGAAATATTCAATAGAAATCCGATAGAATTGTCCATTAAAAGTAGATTTTTCTATACAACTCATTCTGTGGAGATATTTTCAATTAAATTTTTCTCCTGCGTGGGTGGATTGTATTTCTCCAATGGTTGAGGCGTTAATATAATTGATATTAATGCTTATGTTTCACCGTAGGATACCTATCATGAAGACGAAATATGTGAATTGCAAGAAATCCAATCGCATCCTGCTCGGGAGGTTACGATGGTGACGGCCAAGCATTCGCCATTCACAAAAATGGTCATCTACGGGTATGTTCCATGGGTTTGTGTTTTTCTTTCAATTTTCGAATTCTAAATTGCTCACGCATTACATAATAATAATCGCATAAAATTTTTAGTTTCCAATTCTCAATTTTTGTCATTAATTCAATTTATTCTATCGAAAGACAAGGATAGAAATCGAATTTATGGATATTCTTTCATTATTCAAAAAGCTAAATATAAATAAAGCCTAAAATATATATACAGTAGAGGGTTCGTATAAGATACCTTAGGGATAGTAGGAGAGTGGAATTCCGAGGACCCCTATGCCCTCATTACGCGCGCCTACTGGGACCGCTAATTACCGATGGCGGCACTCGTTTTCACCAATATGGACGATTTTAGGCTTCCCATATACACGCTAACACAAGCCCAAATTGGGTTGAATACTGTCTGTGTGTACCCCAATATCCGCCATTCATAGGTGGCGTTTTGACATTTAGCGTTTCCAATAGAGAGGAGAAAAATAGGGATCAGCGGATTTCAAATAAGATACCTCGCTCGCTGCGCCCGAATTCAATGAAATTTTCATTTTTACTGAATGAAAATTCCATTATATTAATTCGATAAAATTTTTCATCTCCGGTTCTTATTCTTTGCTATTTTTGTAATGTATTCTATCAAAATGTGAGGATAGAAATTGAATTGATAGGTATTTTTCCATTATTTGCAAAAATATATCGCTTTTAAAACTTTCCGCAGACATTGAAAAATCGAAATTTTCATTTTCTTGCTGACCATCTCTAAAAGTATCAATACTCTCCTTATTATTTAACATAAATATCTCTTCATTTGAAAATGAGAAAAACTGTTCCCACAATTTGTATACTACAATGGGAATAGAATCCAATAAATTTCATTTAATCTAACCGCAAGGAAAAATTGAAAAGAAAACAATAAAATAAATTAATATAATATAATATAATCTAGTCGCTAGTCGGTAACTAATCAATTTATATGTGTTTCATGTTTTGAATTTGTATTGTCCGCGTTCCCTTTTCTCTCTAAACATAACCCCGCGTGATGGAATGGCCGCTGATGTTGGGGGATTGTTGGTGGACTCGAGAATAGTCACAGACGAAAAATTACAAATTTTCGATGAGAAAAGTGAAAAAAAAATCGATGTATATTTCCATTACTTGAAAAAAAGTGGTGTGACCTCCCCTTAAGGTCATTAGAAAAAAATTCTAAGAGAATTAGAATTTAGAGAGAAAAAATTTCCGCTTCACCCAGCCGGGAATCGAACCCGGGTCTCCCAGATACGCGCCGGGCACTCTTACCGACTAAGCTACCGGGAACCACAGAAATTCACTCTCAAATTCACCTCAAACACCGCCTAACCTCCTTTAGGCATTAAAGAATTCTAAGAGAATTAGAATTTAGAGAGAAAACCCTCATGATCATTTCGCTCGTCCTTCCCGTTTGACCCTTAACACCGTTTGATCCTTATAACTACTCTCTTCCCGTTGAAAAATGACTGGGGCCATAGGTATCTTATAAGATACCCACGGAACATAAACATTCGGGAGGCCATAAAAGTGCCGAGTGGGGGTAGGCCTCCAGCGCTCGGAGCGCGAGGTATCTTATAGAGAGATATCTTACATGAAGCCTCTACTGTATCAAGAATAAGAATGAATCGAATTGACGTAATCTAATCCTGAACACGGAAAGGCGAAAAAAATAGAATAAAATAATATAGTATAAACTAATCTCGCGACCGGCGCGAGGCGCGGGCTCGCTAGCGCTCAGTTATTGTATGAATATTCTGTGCAATCAATTTCAGATTGAGAAAAATAGTTCAGCATGGTTTATCAGCCCACGTCCTGGAGACCTGGTACGCCCCCCGACCCCGGTGTCCCGAGACTCACAACTCAAAGCCAACAGCTGTAAAATTCGAACAATTTGTCCCCGCAATTTTCCTCCTCCTCATGGGAATGAGCGTTTCGATCTTCGTGTTGGGAATAGAGTACCTGTATTTTTATCAGACTGAAGATGCCTCCCACTTTCATCAAGAATATTCCGCTCGAGCGACTCAAACCAATCCAACACCTGAACACTGCACAGAGGAGTATTAATAGTGACGATGGAATTAATAGTGCAATCGGTACAGCCAAGGATTTCATGGTCATCATACTCTATTTGTTTCATATCATAATCATCGTGTATCCAGTCATTCGTTTATGGTAGATAAAATAGACCAGAAATATATTGAAAGATTATTGTTCATTATGGCCTTGATAACTAATTATGTTTGGCTTCCACCCTTCTCGGTGCTTGCAACTGGCACCTGCCAATGAATGACAACTCATAAAAAAACAAGCTTCAACTTGACACCTATGATCTTAAGGATATCCAAGTACTTTGGCTATGTTTTTTTACAGTGAAATGCTCTTTTACTTTTGTAGTCGAACATCAGAGCTTTCATTTGAGCCCCATTTGACCCCAAATTTCCGGATACTTTACAGTGATTCGATTATTTAAACTTTGCAGGTCTGAATTTAAATCTCGATATTGCATCGTTAGAAAATATTTTTTAAATCTGAAAAAAAATTAAGTCTACCTTTGGAGGAAGATGTAATTTTTTAAAATTACGATCATTTTCTGTAAGTAATTTATAAACAATCAATTTTCCATCATAAGAAACATTTGTTCGGAATCGTAAGAAATTGATTAATATTCAGAATTTTACCAAAAATCGATTTCATGCCTAAAAAATTAATAAGGGTTACGTGAGTCTAAACCATTGCAATCATTTATTTATAAACGAGTGTTTAAGACAATAATAATTCTGTGCAAAGTGTGATTTTAAGCCTAGTCTGGTCACCAAACGCGTCGCTGCGACTCTGGTCACCTCCGCGGGGATTCCCCGCCGTGTTATTTAGGCTCGAGCGTTGCCGAATTCACTCTATACTGCCCGGGCGCGTTCAGCGAGGTTCCGATATCGTCGCGTGATGAGCGATTTCATTTAACATGTGGGAAAAAATAATTCATCTGTTCGACATAATTTGTTTTCTTTAGGAATTTCTGGAAATATGTTGTTCTAAAAACTACTATAATTCTTTAGACACTTCAATTGACAAAGTCAAATCGTTTTGAATTTTTCCGGTTAGCCAGTCAATGGTAACGAAAGAAAAACGACGCACGGCGGTGATTCCCTCATCTGGTGACCAATCTAGGGTTAACGAAGTGCTCCAAGCCCGCATTTCATTATTTATTATCTCCTAAAATACGTGGTACAGCTAATTAGAATTTTTTTCAATAGGTGGAGACCATTATAAACATTATCTATGAATCACATGTTGTCTAGGGATATACCTTAAGTGTTTTAAATTGAAACTTTTAAAAGTCTCAAATTGCGAAGTTCAAAACTCCACTTGAAGAAAAATTTCAAGTTGAGTTCCGAAAATCTTAGCTTGCGGCACGTAAAAGTATCCACTTGAGTCTATGGAAATCTTGAACTGAGACATGATATATTCAGTTTTCATGCGTTGATATGTCATCTTATCCCTTTTTTATTATCATTGATTGACAATTTTCTTGCTTCAAAACGGAAATGATCTATTCTCAATTTTTCAATGATAAACTTCCGGCCAAACCACCAGAACTTCTTCAAAACACACCAAAGCTACCGCAGAGAACTAAAATGTCAATTTTTTGTCAACATCGATGACGGATGGAATACAACTGATATCAAAGAAGATGCGCGCACAATGCTGAATCCCCCCCCTCACAGGTGAATGACGTTTAAATGTAATTGTATGAATATCAAGTGCTTTGAATCGCTGGTGTACGCGTACATTCCATACAATTTGCATGGCAAATCAACTGGAAACCGCCAATTGTAGGGCTCAATGTGGATGTGGGATTCTACAAATTATCGACTCCGTTGCATACCATTTGTTGTGGGAAATTTCTGCATCCTATTTTTGGTTACCGATGGATTTATGAAATTCCCAAAAATTAATGAATATTCAATTGTTTTCACCCGTGCGGGTGTTCTATAATCAATGGGTTACCAAAATCATTTTAAAAAATTATTTCCAGCTGATGAAAACCCAGTGTTGGTTTCTCATGTTTGACTCCTATTCCAGATATGTTTTATTCATTTTCATCTGCATTTTTCACGTATGAAAAAATCCTATGGAGAAGTCGATCATTTCCTATCAGATTTTTCTGGCGGGATTTCCTATAGCATTTCCTATAGGATTTTCTGTAAGATTTCCTGTAGAATTCACTATAGTGTTTTCTATAGAAAGTAACACACAAAATTGAGGGTCACAAGGGTCAGGATTAGGGTCATGAATAGGAAATTCTACAGGGAATCCTATAGGAAATCCTGTGGGAAATCCTATCAGAAAAATCCTATTGGAAATGTTCGAATTCTCCATAGGATTTCCTATAAGAATGGCATTTTTTCATACGTGTTTCCTTTTTTCCTTCATGAATTGGCTAGTAGTTTATGCACATTATTTATGATCATTATGTATTCATTTACTTAAATACTAAAAAGGGAGTAAATATTTGCTCTTATTGTGGTTATATTTAGGGGAAAAAATGTATCTTCTTCGACAAACACATGAATACACTTACTTGTCCACAATTAAAAAAAGAAGTGTTTAAAAAAAGCGGTTATCATTATTATTATTTATTCATTTAAATAATGAAAAAAATATTAAGTAAAAAATTTTTATAATTTTTTTTAACGAAAAGTCCGGAAAACTTTTCCTCATAATCTTAAGTATTTCCAGTATGTGTCAATTTTCCGTGAGAATAGAACAAAAATGCCAGTATAATAATCGGAACGGCTGAACTTCTCATGATAATATAAGTTGACAAGAGAAATTCGCCGAGTGTCAGAAGGTAAACATAAAAATTATAGGTATACATCGCCCTCCACAATAGCTGTGCTGAAATTGATTGAGTCGTAGTTTGCAATTACATGGTGCTAGCAAACACGCAATGCTTAATAACACCCTTTGTACTGGTGCAACGCATCATCCTAAGTCTGTTATTTAGCAACTGAACTGTCTTCACTATCGATTTAAATGTATCTGGGGGTCTCAAACTTGGACTCCAGCAGTTTATAATTTACGATGGGACAGGTAGGAAGTACTACCTGCATCTGAAATTTCAAACTGCATCAGATGAGTCGAGATGTGGATGAAGCAATTCATTGTGATTCTCGTGCTGAACCGAGATCCGTGCGGAACCGAGGTCGGATTTTGAACAGGTTCATTTCAGGTAGCAAAATCCGACCGAATACTGGAGGATTTTGTCAGGGACTATTATGAGGCGAATAATGTTCATCAGATCATTGTTTTTGCGTGTTGGAATGACTTTGGTCAGTCATGGAAAAATGTGATGAATGTTGTTTCATTATTGCATTGAGAAAAAAAATTAATTCCGCCAATAACATTTGTCTCAGACAAGAAATTGTAATGACATTTTGCAGGAAAATTAGCGGCATTTATTTGTGGGTAACAAATTTGATCGACAGAATTTCACTTAAGAGATGAATACAATTCTGACTGTATTTTTCATCAGTTAAGTGATGAAAAATACAATTCTATCGATCAAATTTATTTTGTGCGTAAAGTGAAATTTTGCGCACATCATGATGAAAAATAGGGTACGATATTCCTGGAAAAAGTACTCTTTAACCCTTGGGAGGGTAGCACTCGCCTTCGGTGAGCGTCAAAAAACACTTTTACGCACTTGTATCGAAATATTTTATTTTTCTGAATGTGACCACTCCGCTGGGCAGAATTCTGTATAGTTTAAAAGATTGTAGCAGGTTCCTTCCACAACATTCGACCCAGCAAAAATGAATTGTCACACGGAAAAAAGGTCTAGAAAAAGTCCCATGAGAATCCTCATTCAATCATAACGTCATTTATCAAAAGTTGTGTCATATAAATATCGAATAGATCATTAATATCTCGGAGTTTATCATCTCATTCTTATCATCTATTGTCACGTCATAAGGGTGGCTGAGGACGCGCCGTGAGAATAGTCCCCTGAAAATTCAGCAGCGAAGCGGCGAACGGCTTAAATCGATTTGGCCCTCAGCTGAGTTTTCGAGGAATATCTGCGAATCTAAGGGAGAAAACGAAATTTTCGAAATTACATTGTTTGAAACGCAACTAAAATTCCAGAACATTCTGGTCGACCATCGGCCTACTTCGAAAATCTTCGGGACCCTTCGGGTCATCAGTCATAAGTCACCGAAACACGCGCGAATCAGTTTAGGCTTAGCCTCTCACCGTACAAGTCTATCTCGGGCAAATCACCTGTACAAGTTTTATATCGCACCTCACCGAGTACAGTAGCTTCTTGAACCTCATCTAGCTCACTAGTAATCAAGTACATCACCGGTCTTTGTAAGATCACCGTTTTGTTCAGTACATCACCTCTGTTGATTAAATTCAGTTTACATTCAGTGACTCAACGAATTAACAGTGAAAGACAATTATCAGTATAATTAGACATTCAAGAATTAAATTACCAAAGAGTGTAAATAGTTTTGACAAAGTGATTCGCTCGCACAAAATAAAGTGTGATATTTTAAATCCGGCTCATCAGTAATTTTCCCAACATCTCCCTCCACATTTTCATCCCACATCCACCCTAAAGCTAGTCATTCACCAAACAGACATTTTTCGTAGACCGAATTGAGAGCTACAAAGAAGGTCATGACGAAAATTTTGCTATTTCCTTTGGATTTCGAGATATTTATTAAAAACTGGCCAATAGTCAAAATCGACTTCAACCGTTTTACCACTTAGCTGAATTGCATTACAATCGATAAAAGTTACAAAACTTGAGAGAAAAAATTCTTGATTCGTTCCGCATTTTTACGTCACGTAATTATTCCTAAATTTGAATGTAGAATTTCGATTGATCAGATTACCATCATTCAATTCGCAGCAAATGTATGATCTGCTTCACCCAAGTCTATTGTTTCGGCAAATTAATTATATTCCTCTCCCTACAGATGCTTTCCAGTTGACAAGGAATGTCATGAAATTTGACACCACCGTGTCATTCATTCCAATCCCATCAGCAGTGGATTTTGAAAAAATTCTGCAAGTTAATTATTATCATGTTGGAGTTATGCTTGATCTGGATTGTGCTGAAAGTGGAAAGGTTCAGGAGGAGGTGAACAAAACAATGAATGAATTATGGTATTCCAAGATAAAATTTGTTATAATTTCTTTCTAATATCTGCAAATGTTCATGACAAATAGTTTTCGAAGCAATTAGTTTTCAATGAAACCTATCTTTGGTTGCTCTTCACCGAGGCTTTAACACCTCCGACTATCAGGCTGAGGCAACTTCCCCTGTCCGTCGATACAGAAATGACAGTTGCAACCTGCGAAGGAGATAAATTTGACTTATACGATGTGTATAATCCTAGCTATCGTCACAATGGCGCATACAACGTCACATACAAGGGCCAGTGGAGCCCTGAAACTGGACTGATTGATGTGTTGACTCAATACAAATACAAACGTCGTGGGAATTTTCAGTTGTTACCACTGAATTTTTCAATTGTGGTATGTTTATCTCCTGTTACAATGAACTTCTCCAAAAAAATTGACCAATCTTTGCTGATTAGTGCAGCTGACTAATCCACCTAAACCTGATTTCGAAACCTATATAAGGACTCCGATAAACCGACAGCTTGATACAATGAGCCGTTATCATTATTCTTTAGTACTTTTGCTGAGAGAAATGGTGTTGCATCAGTGCAACACCATTTCAATACAAAAATGAACGCTTCGACGTGGCTGAATTCACTGTGGAAACATTACTTGTGAAAGCCATGTTTCTGTTTCGTCACCCGAAGGATGCAACTCTGAGGAATAATTTCCTGAAGCCATTCACCAATGACATCTGGTGGATGATCTTGGCTGTGGGAACTGTATATTGGGTTTCATTGTGGATCACTGTGAAGATTCAGATCCATTATAATGAGAGTTATATGAATAGGAAAGAGGCTAGGGGTGCGTTTGAAATACCTGGCTCTGAAAGCGGTTTGATAGCATTGGCAGCTCTTTCTCAACAAGGTAAGTATTTTGGGATTTTTAACTTCTCGATTTATATCGGGTAGTTATTTTAATGGTCCTGATTAGATTTCGAACAATATTGTCTCAGCGGTTCAAAAATGACATTTGTTTTGCAAATTTCATTGTTTCTCCTGAAGAAATGATAAGATTGATTTCTATTCATCATAGTCGATGCAGATTTGTATGACAAAAGCTGGGGTGAAATTCCGAAGAAATCGTCTCAGCGGTTGTGGAGTTATTGAAATATGAATTTTCCAAAATTTTGAAACTTTTTTGAATTTTTGTTTCTGCTAAATGAAGAACAAATGGGAATTAATCAGAAAGTTATTGGTTCGATCCCTAATGGGTCACACCAACTAGGCGCACGACCGGCACTGATTTTTTTGGAATTTATTTTTGTATTGATCATTTGATTCTTGAAGGTTTGAGTGAGGGTCTCCAGATCATTTCTGGCCGAATAGTTTTTCTCTTCCTGTTTCTATGGGCACTTCTTCTCTTTCAATTCTACTCAGCGAATGTCGTTGGGTCTCTACTAACATCTCCTCCCCGAACCATCAATACAATAAAAAATCTGAGCGATAGTCAACTCGACGCTGGAACCGAGGACATTCTCTGGATTTATGACTACTTTAATGTATGGGTTATATCTTCATGACGAATTGTTTTGGATTGGTATTACTGATGATGAAGAATTATTTCCAGATTATGAAGACTCCTTCGCACATCGAATTATATCAGAAGAAGATAAAGCCGAGCAGCAAAAGGCCAGAGGGTTCCTTCTGGACAGCTGTGGAAGGTATGCAGAAAGTGAAGAAAGGAGGATTTGCTTTCTACATCGACACTGCGACTGGTTACAACTTGGCGCAGGTGAATGCTTCCTGAAATCCAAAAAAATAGAAACATTGAATATAAAGTGTTTGAATACTATGAGAACTTTTGAGGATTTGGGGCAATTCCACCGCTTTGTTTCCAAATAGAAGCATTGTATTTGTCTAATCCGAAATAATTGTTTAATAATTAAAATAATTGTTCAAAAATAATTATTTAAAAGAGTGGAAATGTGATTTAAAATATTCTTGCCAATGCCATCTTGACCGAGTTCGATCATGCGATTGATTGCATTTGTTGAAACAAATTAATTTGAAACTAACATTCAGAGAAAGGTCGAAAATTTTAACGTTGAAGTGTTGAATAAACCAACTGATATGTAATTATTTTGTTTATTGCACGAAAGAAATTTTGAGTCTTGTACAAATAATGACAGCAACTCATCAATTCTCCATTTTGTGTTCTACTCCACTCTCTCGAAACTTGCACGCAAGCGTCCCTCTCCTAATGCCCTCTATCGCCAAGAAACCAAAGTCATTCAAAATCACATATTCCAACATTGGGGCAATGTTGAATTCAATGAATCATAAAAAATACATCGTTGAAGAAATTCCATACGGAAGAGAATTGCTAATTTATGATACGAGCAAAAATATATTGACTATGTTGTGACAAAAGCCATTTCCCACTTATTAGGATATGCTTGAGGAGAATGAGATATGTGAATTGCATGAGATGCCGATGATTACTTGGGCAAAGGTGACTTTGCTGACTGCAAAACGTTCTCCATTCAAGAAGATGATTATTTATGGGTATGGATTCATCATATTTATCATCATTAACTACCATTATTGTCATGTATGCGATGTAAATTTGTTACAGATAATGTTGAGTTTTTTCAAAATCACCACTCATATCCCCACATTTTCACCGTCACATTTACCAAATTTGCGATAGAAGTAGCGATGTCACCCATCACGTGTAGCTGTGTGAATTTGGAGTCGAAGTCTGATAAATCGATTTTTTTTCTTATAGTATCGATTGTGCTCAGTGAGTACCTGAATGTACCACATTCATTTTCGTTTGTACCCCGCACCCCTAGACGTAAGGGGTGCGGGAAAAACTGTGCAGCGCCGGAAATGAAGGTACGGAAAAAATTTTCATGAGCAAGGATTCAGCATGGATAGTACTTGTATGTACTATATTTTTCCATTTCATTTATCAACCCCTTCAATACTTTACCTTCTAAAATGTTAAATGTATGAGGGACGTCAGGAAAACATACAGATAGCTTCTAAATCGTTAGTACTCGTTTGTACCAACGAAAATGATTCATTATTCATTATTATTATTATTATTATTATTATTATTATTATTATCCTCATCAAATCACCTGATTCCATTTTTATCAACCGTACAATCATCGTAATGGATTCCATATGTAGTTCATGAAGTTTTGATGTGGGTACGAACGGAACAATTTACTGTGCATGATAATGAGACCAACTACAAACAATTGAGAGCTTCAAAAACAGTCGTAGATTATTCAGAAAAATAGTACAAAAGTTTTTCTGTAAAAAATTAATTCAATTTATCTTGTATGGGGTGTCGGAAGTGGAAAAACGCAATTCTGAGCGGTCCATCTGCCTAAAGAGAACCCAAATTTCCTCAGGAATCGAATGGAGTAGGTTTGAAGGCTCTATCTCTCATAGTTTCCGAGATAATCGCGAAAAACGAAATGGCCAAAAAAAATTAATTTAATTTATCTTGTATGGGGTGTCGGAAGTGGAAAAACGCAATTCTGAGCGGTCCATCTGCCTAAAGAGAACCCAAATTTCCTCAGGAATCGAATGTAGTAGGTTTGAAGGCTCTATCTCTCATAGTTTCCGAGATAATCGCGAAAAACGAAATGGCCAAAAAAAATTAATTTGATTGATCGTGTATAGGGTGCAGGAAGTCGAAAAACGCAATTCTGAGCAGTCCATCTACATAAAGGGAACCCAAATTTCCTCAGGAATCGAATGGAGTAGGTTTTAAGGCTCTATCTCTCATAGTTTCCGAGATAATCGCGGAAAACCAAATGGCCAAAAAAAATTAATTTAATTAATCTTGTATGGGGTGTAGGAATTGGAAAAACGCAATTCTGAGCCGTCCATCTAAATAACGGGAACCCAAGTTTCCTCAGGAATCGAATGGAGTAGGTTTTAAGGCTCTATCTCTTATAGTTTCCGAGATAATCGCGAAAAACGAAATGGCCAAAAAAAAATAATTTAATTAATCTTGTATAGGGTGTAGGAATTGGAAAAACGCAATTCTGAGCCGTCCATCTAAATAACGGGAACCCAAGTTTCCTCAGGAATCGAATGGAGTAGGTTTTAAGGCTCTATCTCTCATAGTTTCCGAGATAATCGCGAAAAACGAAATGGCTAAAAAAAATTAATTCAATTTATCTTGTATAGGGTGTAGGAAGTGAATAATTTTCGTTGGTACAAATGAGTACTAACGATTTAGAAGATATCTGTATGTTTTCCTGACGTCCCTCATACATTTAAGATTTTAGAAGGGGGTAACGTATTGAAGGGGTTTATAAATGAAATGGAAATATATAGTACATACAAGTAGTATTCATGCTGAATCCTTGCTCATGAAAATTTTTTCCGTACCTTCATTTCCGACGCTGCACGATTTTTCCCGCTCCCCTTGCGTCTAGGGGTGCGGGGTACAAACGAAAATGCATGTGGTACATGCAGGTACTTGCTGAGTACAATCGATACTATAAGAAAAAAAATCGATTTATCAAACTTCAACTCCAAGATCACACAGCTATCACGTGTGAATGCATCATTTCAAATTGAGACAAATCGTGCAATATGGTCTAATGATAAAGCAGTTTTCAATTTGGTATACACCTCGTCCCAAATGTCCGGAGAGTTACAGCTCAAAGCCAATTCCGGTCGGGCTGAAAGAATTCGTCCCAGCTATTTTTCTGCTGCTCATTGGTGTGTCTTTCGCCGTTTTCGTACTAATCATCGAATTTCTGCATTTTTGGAGAGTTGAGGGGCGTTCACCTTTCAAGCGGACCCACAGCATTGATGATACAACTCGTGAAGATGGCCCAAAACTGAATGATGACAACTGTAACGACAAAAATATTGTTTCCAGTGATTGACTCCTATTTATTATCTCATTTCCCAAGTGAAGTTCATCACCTCGAAATGAGAAGTATGTTGTTTTGTTGTAAACTCTGTAAAAAATGGAATAACATAGAGTAACTGACCCAACTTGACTCGATTTTCTCATTCACACGGAGAGAAATGTTCAATAAAAATTACGGAACTCACAATCCACTCACAGATTACGGAATCGACTCAGAAAATTTGAGTGGCGGAGAGGAGATTAGTCAAGGAGATTAAGATAAAAATTATGGAACGCTTCGGAAAAATTCCGTGGCAGTTCCGTAAAATTTCCTACAACCACATTTCGCTCCGGAATTACGAAAAAGATACGTAATTTTTATTGAATATTTCTCTCCGTGCATTTGAGCGTGGAAACAGGTGGTGAAAAGGGCGGGCGTCCAATATTGATAAAGACATACAATGTTCCCGGACTTTGTAGCTGCCCACACCCGCTGGTAATGAAACCCTTTACAATGATTGCATGGCGACCCCCGGAAACCACCGTATGGACTTAAGTATACATAATAAATAATTCAACTTGCATTTGATATCACTGCACCCACCGGGGTAGTCTGATCCTCCAAAAACGCATCACTCCTGCGCATTGTCCGTCGAAGTCATATTCATCATGAAAGTGGTGGCCCTATTCTTGCTAGCGATCACACTCATTAAGTTCACTAAATCCGACAAAATATTGGCTGAGTTCATCAGAGATTATTATGGATCGTGTGATATCCATCAAATCGTCATATTCGCTTGTTGGAATTATGCAGGTATGATCCAAATACATCTGTAATTCGATGAAAAAATCTTTGACGTAGCATTTTTGTCAACGGCAGTCGTAAGTAGCTATTTTTCTTTACGATACAACTTCATTCATCTCGGAATGTAAATCTAGATGCAGCAGATATTTCGCAGAGTGTAATGGGACTCGACACAGTGGTTACTTATCAATCTACTATGAATGATGTTGATGTGACAACCATTTTACGTATAGCTCATTTTCAAGTGGGAGTCGTGTTGGACTTTGATTGTCCTTTCAGTAAGAATATTCTTGACAAGGTAGGTTTTCTGTTCAGGTGAGGTATTAATAAATGCTTTCCGAAAAAAAACTTGCTCAAAAACTGAGGACATTCTTCATTGCGAAAGCCAAATCAATCATCATATTCTGATTTTGTTTAAGAACTTTAAATCAGTGATTAGTACAGATAACTTGATTCGATTGAGCCGTCATCAGAAAGGCTCTAGTCTAATGTATATCCTTTCAAAATTCTTCCTCTGCAGTTTTCAAATCAACTACATTTCAACGATTCGTACTATTGGCTTGTCCTGTCGAGGCTGACACCTATATCCGTGAATTTCCTGCAGCACCTGAGGCTTACAATAGAGGCTGAGTTAACATTTGCTGTCCGAGAAGGTGATACATTCAAGCTTCACGATGTTTACAACCCAAGTTATCGTCACGGTTGTGATGTCGTAATTGTTGACAAGGGTAAATGGAGCCCTGGAGATGGTCTGAGTAATAAATTGACTCAATATAAATACGAACGTCGTCATCTGCACGGAGTGACTTTGAACTTTACTGTGACGGTATGAGATATTACAAAATTTTTCAGCGACTTCATTATAATTTTCATGGGTTTCAGGTCGCAAATCCGGTCGACGTGGATATTGTTACGTATTTGAGCTCTCAAAAGAATAGGGGCTTGGATCCTATGCAAAAAAGTCATTATAATTTAATGCTGTTTCTACAATATCTGTACAAATTTAGGTGAATATTCTTTCTTGACGCGATTTGCGCCCTTGTGGTCGCTATCTATAAAATGCTCATTAATATTTACCAGCATCACTGTTTATCTATCACCACTCTGGGGCATCTTAGTCAACGGATCTTACAATGGAATTATGGGAGACATGGTTAGCAATGAGGGCGTAGATATGAGCATCTCACCCTTTGAATTTGACTGGTACCGACTGCACGTAGTAGAGTACGTGGTACCGACTTGGTTCACCGATTTTACATTTTCATTCCTCCATCCAACAAAGTCAACTATGCGCAACAATTTCTTGAAGCCATTCACCCAAGACTTGTGGTGGGCGATTTTGTTGGTAGGGGCCGTCTATTGGGTTCTATTACTGCTCTCTCTAATGTTGGAGCAACATCATGAAACAGGAAGACAAAATATCAACGCTGGTGCAGTTGAAACTGGTCTGACTACAGTAGCAGCCTTGTCACAACAAGGTGAAAGGAGTTGTTTTTTGCTATCAATTTTCCACGCTTCTTCGAATCTAATCGAATATTTCCAATGTTGGAAGGGCTAAGCGACAGCCCACATTTTCCTTCTGGACGTATCACATTCCTTTCGCTGTTCTTATGGGCTCTCCTTCTCTATCAGTTCTACTCAGCAAGTATTGTCAGTTCTTTGATCACAGCGCCACCAAGATGGATCAAAAGCTTGAAAGACCTCACTGAGAGCGACCTGGAAGTGGGTGCCATAGATGTCTCATTTTTTCGAGACTGGTTTAAGGTAGTATTTGAAGGAATTTTTAGTCTCCAATTCGACTATTTGTCTTCCATCTGATCAGGTTCAATCAAAAACATTCACTTGGTCGGGAATACCTATCAAACCTGTATCAGGTCATCTCTCTATATTATGACAACCCTAATCTACTTCTGGTGATGAAAATTTGGTACTCGAAATTGAGATTTCATAATTAAGGGTCACAAGTGTCAAAATAAGGGTCACGAGGGTCGAAATAATGGTCGGAGTAAGGGTCACGAGGTTCAGAATCAGGTCAGAAGGTCATGTCATGAAGGTCAGAATAAGGGTCACGAGGGTCAGATTAAGGACCACAAGAGTTAGATTATGGATTATACGGGTCAGACTAAGGGTCACGAGGGTCAGATCAAGGGTCGCAAGGGTCAGATTGAGTTATATGGGTCAGAGTAAGGGTCACGAAGGGTATAATGAGGGTCAGATTAAGGGTTATATGGGTTAGATTAAGGGTCAAAAGGGGTATAATGACGGTCAGATTAAGGGTTATGAGCCAGATTAAGGTTCAAGAGGGGTATAATGAGGGCCGCGAGAGTCAGATGAAGAGTCACAAGGGTCAGAATAAGGATGATGGGGTCAAATGTCCCACACTCTAACCACACAGCCACCGCTATCGATAAAATACTTAATTACATGATATTCTAGATCACAAACAATTCCGATATTAGGGACTTATACAATCGCAAAATGAATTCATCAGTGAGTAATTGGCCAAACGCCTTCATGAGCGTACCCGCAGGTTTGAAGAAAGTTCAAGAGGGTGGATACGCATTTCTAACGGAAACTGCTTCTACCTATCGGATAATGCGAGTGAGTATTTTTTCTTACCAATTTACGTCAATTAGATAGCGAGCAAAGTGTTACAGGAAACGTACTCTGAAGATGAGATATGTGCGGTTCAAGAAATACGACCCCAACCACGTAATAAAATGTCACCAATTCTACCGAAAAATTCGCCATTCAAGAAAATGATTACATACGGGTTAATAGGCAGAGCAGCTAAAATAGAAATTAATATTTCGAAAAATTTTCCGTTATAATACCCCGAGACCTTCAAAATTATTGGAATATTTCCCGATAGCTTCGTTGCTAACAAATGAAAGTGTCAAGTTTTGCAGGCTAAAAATCCCGAGTGCGCAGCACGAAGGATTCTTTTGCAAAACTTGACATTTGTTTGTTTGCAGGGAAGCTTGAGGGAAATATTGCGATTAATTTTGAAGGTAGAAGGGTATTCGGCGGAGAATTGTCCGGGACTGGATTTCGGCCAAGCGCAGTATTCGAGGGCTTCTTCCAGCAAAACATCCAATTGGTTAGAAATAAATGAAGAGCTACTATGCAATTATCAGATGCAATTTCCAGAAGTGAGTGTGCAATTTCCGAAAAAAATCGATAACAAACGAGTATCGTGACCTCAAATACTGCGCTGTAATTGGCTAAAATCCAGTCCCGGAAAATTCTCATAATAACTGATGTTATCAATTTTTTCCTTTTTCAGATTCACAAAGATCATACAAAGTGGATTGCTCGCTCACGTGCAACACTATTGGCGTGGCTCAGTTCCAGAGTGCCCTGAGAGCTACAGCTCAATGCCAACTGCTATGGGCATGAAAGAATTCAGTCCCGCATTATTCCTTTTGTGCATTGGTGCTGGGATCTCAATTGTCACATTACTCATCGAATACTTTCACTTCTATCTGGAAGATCAAAGGGACCGGGCAACGAGGCATCTAGAAGAATTGCCGCAATAGACTGATCAGAATAATTTTGCTGAAGATTGTTATCCCGAGACGGAGGATGCTTTAGTTCACTGAAGCTATGAGCTGGACCGAGCTCATGAGCCTAGTAAATTAAACCCAAATTATCTGTGCACAGTTTATGTATTGAGCAATGTCAAAAATTCAATAGAAAATGTAGCGAATTCACTAGAAAATTTTATTGGAATTCGATAGGAATTCTATCGTGGTAAAAGGGACTCCGAGGCCGTAAAAAAAAAGAATGCTTGGATTCTAATTTTCGCATTCTGTAATGCAAAACAAAACAAAATCCAGCGGGAAAAACTTGGAGAATTTGTGCCCAATAATTCTAATAAAAAACATCTCAAGAGAAAAATTTGAAGAGAAATTCAAAATATATCAACTTTTTCCTATCAAGTATACAATAGAATCAGCGCAAAAAAACGAGTAGAATTTTTCAGTAGAATTCCAATAGAATTTTCATAGCAAATGCGCTAGGTTTTTTTTGGAATTTATTCATGCGTTCTTTCATTTCAATGGGGATCTCAGGATACTAATTGGAGTGTCAATACTATGGAATACAGAATCCGGGGGTGGGTACACAAGGCCTCCCCCTGTAGAGAGTGCCGAAGGGAATCCAAAAGAGGCACTTGATAAAAAAAATAGTATATGTATTGAATGTTGTGCAAAATATAGCTGTGAAATCATTCACCAATAGTAATGGATGCATTAGTTGTTGATTATTGCTCTAGGAATAGTGTGGTTACCAGGGATACCCAAATTTGTAATATTTTATCACGGTTAAATATTGCAGCCCTTAATTAGATAACATCACTCTTGAAATTTTTCGAGGACTTAAGTATCATCAATTCAAAATTTTCAACTATTTTATCAATCAATAATTGAGGTAGGAAGATTGACGATTATTTGTGTAATCGAAAATCCCCTTTCAAGAAATTTGAATGATTCACTTAGTCGTAAATTTACACTTTCAGATTATCAAATTTTAAATACATCATCATTCGTAAAAAATCAGATTATTAATATGATATTACTTGAAAAATTGAATCAACATATTTTAAACCTTCGTTAATGTAAGGGTCAAATTCTTGTAATATTACAGACCCAAGTAGCAAACCTTGCGAAAGTTATCTGAAAGTATACCAAAAAGGCAGGCTAATGTCCGTCCAAAAGGTATCTTGCAGTCATACGATAACTTTTAGTTGACTTCTAGGTAACTTCTAGACACAAGTTACCTTTTTGGACAGACATTAGACAGCCTTTTTGGTATACTTGCAGATACCCTCCAGAACTGTACTGCTTGGGGAAATTTAATATTGATGGGGATCTCTGGTGGTTCCATACCCAAGCAGCACAGTTCTGGAGGGTATCTGTAAGTATACCAAAAAGGCTGTCTAATGTCTGTCCAAAAAGGTAACTTGTGTCTAGAAGTTACCTAGAAGTTAACTAAAAGTTATCGTATGACTGCAAGATACCTTTTGGACGGACATTAGTCTGCCTTTTTGGTATACTTTCAGATATCTTTCGCAAGGTTTGCTACTTGGGTATGTATTATTGATACACTGATGGTAATGGCGTTTAAGGATGTTTATCCAAAATCACAAGTATTAAAAAAAAACGATTTTCGAGCCGCGCGAGTTGAGATACCTTGGAGAATCAAGCGGTTGAAGAAAAATTGCTCGTCTCAAGTAAATATGTTTCCGATGTTGGAAATTTCTTTTCTCAATGTCATGGGGAAAAATGATGGTGCAAGATGAAATTTGCCCAACATGCCACAAAACTCACGGACTCTGAGGACGAATCACAACTGAAAGGGACACCGGGGAAAATCCGAGTGTCCCTTCCTCAGACGGATATGCTCCGAAGTGGATTACACAAATCATGAGGCTCTCCAATTGCTGTAGTACATCGACGCTACAAAATTTGCATAGTAAATCGTGCGGAGTATATAATCTTCAACGTTACTAGTCTTCGAGACATTTCAGAAATGACAACTTCTGCTACACCAATTTTTGAAATTACGATTCCGTCATTTTTATTTTCATTCATCATTACGTGATTTCAATAGATGTTTTAAAAAATCAAGGAGATGATCTGTTTGAAATCAATTACGATTTGACGAGCCGGGTGGTCGGGAGGAAAAGTGAGGTTCGGATTAACGGTTTGATAATTTGCCGGAGGTAATTTGATGAGTTGTCTTTAATAAACAAATTACTATGCACTGAAAATTACACAACACAGAGTTTAATAAATAGATGATTTCCGAGTGGACTGTATACAACTTAAACAAAAGATGATTTGCGATTACAATGTTCGATAATAGTTGCGATGATTTTCCGGCACTTTCACTCGATGAGGTTCGATGGCGTACTAAAGATACGACACGCACGATCGTCCTCGTGCGTGTTCGTCGATGCCCGAAGGTTTCCGAGCGAGCAAAATTCGACATTTAGCCCGACTGAAGGATGATTTTCAACATGATCTCAATTTACCAAAAAAACTCATTGCACCACAATTTTATAAAACATTATTGAAATCTTTTTTTTTTAAATTATCAACTTTATTTTCCCAACTGCAAAAAAATGTGTCAGTTGTTCACATCGAAAATAAATATTTTTCAAAATTTCGTATTGTTTATCATCCTTTAATAAAAAAATCCAGTGTAACATTTTTGTGAAGCCAATCTATTCGGCGTATTGTGTCGTTAGATTTTTTATCAATGATGATAGCATACATTAAAGATATTACGATAATACTTTATTATATTATATTCTATACTATACTATATTATAATACATATAGTACTCGAAGGACGTCTTTGGGCTCGTCGTCAGCGTGCTGGCCCTATAAACCAAAGCGTCCCAGTAGCGCAGGTTCGAGTCCCGGTGATGAAAGATTTTTTCATCGCCGGAAAACGAACCCAGTGCATGTGGAGTTAGTTATGTGGAGTTAGATATAAGTTAGCTTAGAGGCAAGTGCGGATAGGGAATTAGGCTGGGGTACCGCGTAGGTACTGGGACGGGTAGGTAAAAGACCCCAAGGGTCATACCATCTGGCACCACCCAATTTTACATGTAGTACTCTATTATATATTGTATATTATATATAGCATAAATAATATAGTATGGAATAGAATATAATATAATATAGTATTATCGTAATATCTTTAATGTCTGCGATCATCATTTATATAGTATATTTCGTAACGAGTGCAAAAAAGTGTTTTTTGGCGAGTGGGAGGTTTATATCACGAGCCGAAGTCGAGTGATATAATCCCACGAGCTAAAAAACATTTTTTCACGAGTTACGAACAATATTTTTCATCACAATGTGGCGGAAATTGGACTTTTAGGCACGCGGAGCGTGCCGAAAAGTTCACTTTTCGTCACAGCGTGATGAAAAGAAATCTAATGACACAATACGCCGAATAGGTCGGCTTCAAAAACATTGGATGTATTCCTCTATTAAAAAATGTCACCTTTTTTATCAGCAATCTATTTCGCCAGGGATAACCGTAAGCCTAGGGATAATCTTTGTTTAAGATCCTAGATTATACAAATCTTTGTTTTATATTCCTTTCTAAAAAGATATTTTCTGAATATATTTTTTATACATATATTATGATAGAAATAGAAAATTGAAAAATATCTTCTTTTAAAGAGATAAAAAAAGATTTTTACAATCCAGGATCTTCAGCAAAGATTAACAAATGAGTGGATTACTGGATACTTTACGGAACAATTTAACTATCTTGTGACATGGAGAAATCATTTAGTGTGAAATAACATAATACTAGCTGTAAAAAAGTTATGGTAGAAACGTGACATCAACTTATATGTTCCTTTGATTGTTTATTGTTACTTTTATTATTTTTAAGAATAAATGGAAGGATAAAAAATGCAATGTACCACTAGCTTGAGTATACGGACGCGGATTATCTAGTCAAAGAAAAAAGAGAATGATTCTGGTTTTTCTACAAAAAGCGTTTCCGGAGACATGTGATTTACAACTTCATTGGGAACCATCTGTCCAATTCCCAAGGACTCACGGGAAATAATTTCGCAACGATTGCACAGTAATTTCCGAAACCCACCATATGCTAAAGTACAGGCTCTACATAATTCAACATGCGGCTCCTCTCACTGCACCTAATAGACCACATTTGAAGTTTCGAGTGCCTCTTTACTACTTGTACATTGTCCGTCAAATATGCATTCACTATGAAAGTGTTTGTTGCAATCTTGATAGCATTCGCACTGATCCACGCCTGTCAATCGGACAACATCTTAGCTGTATTTATGAGGGACTATTATAAAGCGTGTGATATTCATCAAATTGTCATTTTTGCTTGTTGGGAGAATGCAGGTATGACTTCTCTGTTTATAAAATATTCTTGCAATAGCAATCAGAGGAAACACGGAGAGAAATTTTCTAGAAAAATTCCAGTACGAGTACTGGAAAAAATCACAATCCACCGGCTGTGAAAAATTCGAGTGCTGTTGAGGTAAAATTTCTGGGAATTTCTGTGAAATTTTCACAGAAATACGGGCGAAATTCACGTTTTCCCCAATAAAATTTCTAGTGCCGGCACTGGAATTTTTCCTGGCCGTCACTTTGCGCCTCTTTTCCCGTGCTAGCACTAGAATTTTTCTAAAAAATTTCTCTTCCTTAACATGAACTTTTGTTGTGTTCAATGGATTCATTCGAATTCATGTGCAGCTCATCTAGCGCGGAATATCATGGGACTCGATACCGTCGTCGCTTACCAATCTATCACGAATGGTGTTGATTTGAGAAATATTCTGCTTGTGAATTACTATCGTGTTGGAGTCGTGTTGGACTTTGATTGTCCTTTCGGTGAAAGTATTCTTGATGAGGTACGTTATTTACTGAAGTTATTTGGTGGAATATTGTGATGCATGTCTGCTATGATTTAAAGTAAACCGGGGAAACATTCATTATTATCAATTGTGCGTAGTCAATTCCAGGGACAGTCAATTCCAGAAATTATAACTACCGTTAAATTGAACTATTTAAATTGATTTTTTTCACAATTTTCTTTTTTCGAAATTTTGAAGGAAGACGTAGAAAAATATGTTTTTTCGAGGGAAGAAATTCAATTTGAATTTGAATGGGTGAAAAACATAGTATTTCTACATTTTTTCAACTCACAAATTATTCTTCACTTCCCAAATTTTAATTTTTTCATATTTATCATACGCAAAAATGATCAATTCTTGCTTTTCAGATTTTCATACATAAAATCTAAACTCTACAAAATTCGTGAAAATTCTTCGGTTTCCCAAAGAATTCGAGAAAAATCTTTGAAGATCTACGGTTATCTGGAAAGCTGTGAAATTTTCCGAAAAATTCAAGAATTTTTTTCAGTTTTCTAGGAAATCCATTCATAACCCTCCCCTCATTTTTCAACAATTAAAGATTTTAATCAGTTTATTTTTAAAAATAAAAAGAAGAATTAATCGAAGATTAAAAATTATTCATTGATGTTTCACTCTTCATGTTTCTAATTCTCTTCAAGTCATTATCAATATTTATAAAACATCTATGAGTATATGAAGTTTAATAAATTCAATTTCTTCATTTTCACAACGAATAGATAACAGGTCTAATTTACTGAACAGGAAAAAGGGCATAATGAAAAGGCATCAAATTGCGTGAACAGGTAAAGCGTATGAAATGCAATAATTTTTTTTGTTTCATGAATTTTTCAACTTCTTTGGATCTCGAAGTTCTCGACTCAGCTCCACTTCAATGAATCTTACCACTGGTTGGTGCTGTCGAAATTCACAACAATACCTGTCAATTATCTAGGACGTTTGAGCTTGACAATAGCTTCAGAACTAACATTCGCAACTCGTGCTGATGACGTGTTCAAACTTTACGAGATTTACAATCCAAGTTATCGTCACGGTGGCGCAGTTCGGATTATCACTAAGGGTGAATGGATTCCTGGGACTGGTCTAATACGTGTCCAGTATTCATTGAGTGAATATAAGTACAAACGCAGAGCTGATCTCCAGGGATTATCCCTCAATTTCTCTCTCACGGTGTGAAATGTTTCAGTTCTCTGTGGTGATTTTTCTTTCGTATTCTCTGATAACCATTTTTATTCATTTCAGTTGGCCAATCGACCTCTACCGGACCTCTTGACTTACTTGTCGAGTCCAACAAATAGAGAACTAGATCCTATGACCCGATCGCAATATCCTTTAGCATTGTATCTTCAGGATATGTATAATTTCAGGTACACGGGGAGAAAAGTTGGTTAAAAATTACCTAGAAAATCGTGGCAAATTTTACTGTGCAAAAGGTAGTCGTGGAGCGAAATGTAATCCAATGAAAAACTACCTGTTTGTGGAACGGCAATATCTCGAAAATTTTGTATGTATGGGTATGTTCTGATTGATCTAGGTAGAGGCTATCCAGACGGGGATTTAAAAAAAAGAAAAATTGAAATCGGTGCGGTAGATTTTGAGATATTGAGAAAGAACGAAATTTAAATGAGTTGTTGCATGTTCGGAACTACAGCGTGCCAAAGTTGAGCTCAATCACAGCTACAATAAGCCATAATTTCGGATTTTTAACTACAAATTTTAGCGTATTTATGTTGAATTTTCAAAACAATCATATACATACATCCATATATGACCCTAAAAACATCATTTCTTCACGTTTCATAAGATTTTGGTCCACTTTCAATCAAAATTTGGAAATCCAAAAATCGGTAATACAATCAGTAATACAATACAAATTTATTAGTAGAAAAAATTTAATAGAAACATCTAGCTAATTCGCTAGATAATTCAATTGGATTTCTATTGAACTTTCTATTAGTTTTTCCTAAGTTTTTAGTTTAGAATTCAAAAGAATTCGATTTTTTTATACAAGTTATTCTACTGAGATATTTTCTATAAAATTTTCTCGGCTCACATTTTCCAAGTTTTTTTGTTTAATCATCATGATGAGAAGAACAGAAAAATAGAATGAAAAAACTTGGAGAAGTTCTTTAGAAAAATCGAATTCTATTGACTTTTTCTATTAAAAATTTCAATAGAATCGGCCAAAAAATGATAGAAAGTTCAATAGAAAGCCAATCGAATTTTCTAACGAATTTGCTAGGTTTTTCTATTAAATTTTCTCGTGCGTGAATGCTTCCATTCAGAAGCAAAAGTACGGAAAATAGAATTCGCTCCACAATTACTTGACTTGTTCGATAATTGTTTTCCAACTTTTCTCTCCGGGTACATTTTTAAATAACAATTTGTCGTGTGCCACGCGATCTTCGAGACTCATGAAAAGTATTTTCACAGTATGAAATTACATCAAGCAACCACTTTCGGATACCTAGTTAATGGATCCTACAACGGAATCATCGGCGATATCATATCAGGTTTTATCGACATGAGCATCACACCCTTCGAGTTTCACGTACCACGATTGAAAGTCATAGATTATGCCGTGGTGACTTGGTACGCTGATACCACTTTTGTATTTCTCCATCCAAAAAGTTCAACTCTGCGCAACAATTTCTTGAAACCTTTCACCAATGATTTGTGGTGGATGATTTTGTTGGTGGCCGCTATCTATTGGCTCCTGCTACTGCTCTCATTGCTCTTGGAACAGCATCATCAAGCTGGAACACGAGATGCTAGCTTGAGTGCGATTGAAACTGGACTGACTACTTTGGCAGCATTATCTCAACAAGGTGCACAAAGAATTGGCAATCAATGTTTTCAGAGAATGCCATTTTCATAATATAGCATTCTATTCTTTGCAAACATGAAGAGTGTTTTAGCTTTCAGGAATTCATCCGTAAGTTGTCGGAATCCTTAAGTCATGGGAATCTATCTATAATTCCAGTTGCGAAGCAATAAAACGATCTAAAGTAGCTCTACCCTTCCGCCGATACTTTCAGTTTTCGAATTTTTCAACTGAGAAAAATTGGAAAAAAATTATACCCAGTCAGTGTTAGTCTAAATTAAATTTCGCGAAATATTAATATTTTTCAATCACTTCCTTCTTAGAAATAAATAATAGGACTTATTTACAAAACGGTGGATCATTTTTTGTGAGGTGTCGAAAAATTTCTTGATATTTTCACATCTAATGAAAAAAATTCAGGTTTTGGATACTTGCACATCTTGCAAAGGCTACAAAGAAGGTCATTGCGAAAATTTTGCTATTCCCCTTGGATGTCAAGATATTCAATGAAAACTGACCAGTAGGCTGTTACTGATTGTTGGAGACTCTTGACCATCAGAATGACCATCAAAATGAAGGATTCTATTATTGGAATCTAGGGACAAAATTGCTGCGATTTTTTCTAACAATTGCTAACAAAATTACTCGAGTTCAGGATTTATGACACGTTAATCTTAGAATGCCGCAGCTCCCTAAAAATTACGAAGATTCAGTGGAAACAAATAGTATTTTTCCGGGCTGCTACGATGGGGTTTTTACACGAGTAAAAAAACCTCAAGGCAAAAGCCCGAAACAAGATTTTTTTTTTGTGGTTTTCGAGTTTGGAAAATATGAAATAACAATTCCCAGAAGAGAAATCGTAAAAAGCAGTACAGAATTTTTTTTTCCGTACTTTCACTTTGGTATTGACCCTTATCCGAACAGGCAAAAGCGAAAGTCCCTACAGAAAAATATCGTTCGCGCCTAGTGCCACAAGGGTTTTCGACTCATGTGATTGGCACGCCGAGCCGAAGGCGAGGGGTGCCAACCTCACACTCGTCGAAAACCCCAGTGGCACTCGACGCGAAATATACTATTCTCTGTGTAGGATTAGGCGATAGTCCAAATTTCTACTCCGGACGAATTACATTTCTTTCGCTATTCTTCTGGGCTCTTCTCCTCTACCAATTCTATTCAGCGAGTATTGTAAGTTCTTTGATGACACCTCCTCCTCGCTGGATCAAGAGCATAAAAGATCTGTCTGAAAGTGATATTGAAGTGGGTGCTAGGGAGCATCCGTATTTTCATAATTACTTTGAGGTAACTTTTACAGATTAATTCCAATTTCTAAATATGCATACATAATTTTTTCATCTTGTAATGCATACATAATTATTTCCTGCGTTCATGCTTGTGCTATCCATCGCAGAAAATGACCGATCCGGACTGCATCGAACTGTATGACCGGAAGATGAAGTCCCCGACGAAAAATCGAAATGGTTTTCTGCCGGTAGATCGCGGTTTCAAGAAAGTACAGGAGGGGGGATATGCATTCATCACTGAGAGCGCTGTTACCTACCAGATTTTACACGTGAGGATTCCATCGCAAACACAGAAAAACCTCAACTTAAACTGACTGATATAATATTCATTTAATTTCATAGGACACGTTTTCTGAGGATGAGATATGTGCGCTGCAAGAAGTAAGGGTTGGTAGGCCTCGATGGCTAGCGCCCATCTTACCTAAAAATTCGCCGTTCAAAAAAATGATTATTTATGGGTAAATGTCAATTTCGAAGACGGAAAAATTCTTAACGACAATATTATTCATGCTTTTAACTAAATTCAGAGGGAAAAATTCTGAAATTTCGAAAAAATGGATAAATTTTTTCTTAATATGAAATATCCGTTGGATGAAAATCCGCGTATTTTTTTATCCTTCTTAGAAAAAAATTTCTTGAGAAAGGTTTTTACGAAATTTCTGTTTTGAGAAAAAAACAATGAAATACCACGAAATACCCTGCGGTAAAAATGATGACTATTTATTTTATGACTCCTCCCATGAAAAAAAATGACCTGAAATTTATCAAAATTTTCATGATTACTTTCAAAATTGTTTGGATTCTTGAAAATTTCATATTGGAAACTATTGGTTTTAAAATGCATAAATGACATTAATTGATCAATATTTTCATGATTAACTTTGAATGCACGCACGAAAAAATTGAAGACGAAAGACTAGCGAATTCGTTTGAAAATTCTATTGGATTCCTTGAACTTTCTATTAGTTTTTAGGCGATTCTATTGAAATGTTCAATAGAAAATATTCGATAGGAAAACTCAGTGGAATTCTATTTTTCTATATAATTTAATATATATTCTTCTATATAATTCGATATAATTTATTGTATTGTATTTATTGTATTTTTTTACAGAATATTTTCTATTCAACATTTCAATTGAATTGTCCAACGAATTCGCTAGGTTTTCGTATTAATTCTTTTTGCAAGTGCGATTTTATTCTAAAAGTTTGAAAATGACTTGATGAACTGCATTTCTTATCCTCTCCTAATGAAAATATTTTCTTCCGATTGCAGATTGCGGAAGATGGTGCAATCAGGATTGCTGAATCGCTTGCAGAAAATTTGGCGCGCTTCTCGTCCACAATGTCCCGAGAGTTACAATACTAAGCCCACACCAATGAGCATGAAAGAATTCAGTCCGGCACTAATTCTTTTATGCATCGGTGTGATAATTTCTGTCGTGACATTGATGATGGAGTACTTGTACTTTTATCTAGAAACCCGATTGAACTCCATCAGAATGATTGTAGAAGGATCAACAGAGCAGTATGATGACCAGAATGCAGAAGTCTTCACTTGATACTTTGGATTTATCTGTCGCGCAACTTTCCAGCTCTTGCGAACGAGACTTGAGTTCATGAGTTTACTTAGAACATCAGACGTTGAATACGCTAATTATACAAGCACTATCCAATCTAATCGATGTAGTGAGACTCTCATGTCGTGAATATTGTGATAAATACAATCAGAAAATTATACTGGAGGTCGATTTATCATGTCTTGCACGCTAAGTTGCTATAATAATCTTACTCTATATAATTTGAGATGTCCGCTTTTTCGAAAATTCAGGGAAGGTTCTAGACAGCTTAAGAAAGGTGCAGAACGGTGCAGAATCCCCTGGAAAGTTCCCGAATCAGAAGACGCTATTCTTCGGAAATTATCACGGTCAATATTCCGAGTAAAAAAAAAAGGAAGAATTAAATCCTTTCATAATACTCAGTCCTTTATTGTTTCAACAATTACCAGAACAAAACTCAGTATTGTCTTTCCCATAATTTCACTTTCCTGGCCCGTCCCATTACATTAAAAAAAATGTAAACATCCATCAAATTATCGTAAACAAGGCATATCTCCTTTTTGTTCCTGAATAATCATAATTATTTTATTTAGAGTGAGAATTCCATTCTATTCTTAGTTTTTAGCTTACAAGATCGTATCACAAAATAGTATAATTCTTTATTTTTTCTTTTTCCTCTTCTTCTCCTTCTCTTTGAGTTTCAATCGAATTCTCTTCAGCTGTTCAACATTTAGCTCGAACTCATCTGCTCCGTCGAGGAGTGGAGTGTAGAGTTGTTTTGATATCCTTTCAATGAATCCTCGTACTGACAACTTGGCCAATCTCAATCCATACTTCCTTTTAAATGCGGTAACAGTTTTGAGCCCATAAGGACCGTAAATCTCGTCAGCAACGAATTGTGCATATTTCACTAAGATTTTACGATCGATCCTGGAATTGTTGATTTTCTGCTTTGTGTACTCCCGCATGATTGCCAAGTTCTCTGCTCTCATCTTAGCCATTCGTTCTTTGATTGCACTTTTCTTATCTTCATTCTTGACCGGATCCACCGGGTTGGGATCCTGCGACATAAGATGTTACGGTTTTTCAATTGCCTTCACTGAGAAACGAAATTTCTAATATCTGAAACACATTTTCTCGACACAAGTAACTTTTCTTCAATTGCTTAATTCTCCCAGACATTTCAACTCTCGTGGTCCGGGAAAGATCTCATCCTTTAAAATATTCTTGTACTCAAGTATGATTTTGTCACAAATTAAGTCACTCAAATCGCGTAGAAGAATCGTCAATCTTCAAGTATTTATATTTTCACAATTTTTTTGTTATGCAGTTCCACTATTTCTATACGTAATATATCCATGATGTAATGCGCAACGATAGTGATAAATGAGTATTCATTCGAGTTCTGTGAACCGCAAACGTTCTGAAATTTCAGCCATTGAAAATAATTCACTTCTCTCAAGTAAATATGGTCCACGTATTAGGAAATTTTTCTCTCAGTGTTGACAAATAAAGTCCCCTTTAGCGCCTTACATACGGGGTCGATACATGGTATCGACCCATGCGAATGTGAACGCTTGTTTTCAAAATTGATTATTTCCAAATCTATGAAGAATAACTTGATGAGAAAACCAAAATTGGAAATCGGAATGCTGTAGCTTCAATTCAGTAGCGAAGTGGTAAACCGGTATAAGTTAATTTTTACTATTGGCCAGTTTTCAATAAATATCTCGGAATCTAAGGGAGATCGCAAAATTTTTATTGTAACCTTTTTTGTAGAGCCGATTGAGAGCTACAATAAATATAATTATGAAAATTTCGCTATCTCCCTTAGATTCGGAAATACTCCTCAAAAACTCAAGTGGGAGATAAGTCGACTTAAACCGCTTTACCACTACTGAAACCGCTACTGAATTAGATGCTGGTTTCATAATTTTCCATTCATTAGAATGGAATTTTGCCACGAGAGAATGTCACACGCTACTTGTCTGAGCTCAACGAAATATTTTTTTATAATTTATTGAAACATGCTAGCCGGTTTTCATTGACCCCGGAGGAAAGAGGGATAGTTGCTTGAGGCAATCAAAAAGTTTCAATCCAAAATCTCGATATTATTACTATGTTCCCTATACCCTGAAAATTTTTGCAAGAGAAAGTCATATGGCGCGAGTACTGATGGGTTAATGTACTATCCTCCTATCGTAAAGAGGAGAAAGGAAATCGATCTCGCTATATCTCGAAAATCTCGAATCACTGTCACCGTAAGATAAAGAGGAGAAAGGAAATCGATCTCGATATATCTCGAAAATCTCGAATTACTGTCACCTTAAGATAAAGAGGAGAAAGGAAATCGATCTCGATATATCTCGAAAATCTCGAATTACTGTCACCTTAAGATAAAGAGGAGAAAGGAAATCGATCTCGATATATCTCGAAAATCTCGAATTACTGTCACCTTAAGATAAAGAGGAGAAAGGAAATCGATCTCGATATATCTCGAAAATCTCGAATCACGGTCACCGTAAGACTAAAACCGAAGCGCCACTACCCGAGGAGATGAGGCGCGTGCGCAGCACGCACGACCGATCTCGTTCGGGAAAACGAGAAATGTAAGGTAGCATGAGAATAGTGTTGAATTCCGTTCAAATATACTGAGAGAAAAACAGCAGGTTCTCAAACAAGTCTTACTTGTGCCAAATAAATTGTTTGTTAAAAATAATAAAAAAAATGATGACAATTTGGTGGATCGATATGGAAAATTTTTATTGCAAAAATTCAAATTAGTAAAACCATGGAGAATATAGCGATAGCATTTTTTTGTAAGATTCCCTGACGATGTTAGGCTTGGTGCACTTGTCCCTTGCGAGACTGAATCAGAATTATGAAAAATGATTTAATATTAATACAGCAATACTCACCATTATCTGCACGAGTTTTCAGTTGAGGTTTTTATTAGTCTATCACTCAAGGGGAAGAAATCTCCCGAATGCTTTCGAAGGTTAAACTTATTGTGATGGTAGTCGCACGCGTGGGTGATGTGGTAGGGGCTTCGTCGTGGGGAATGGTGGGGAAAAACCCGTTTCCACTGCAGGCGATACGACAAGCGGCGCAACTGAGATTCAGCCATAGACGCATATGTCCGACTATCTTGCTAGAAGGGCAGCGGCACGCGCGAAGCCATTTGAAATTCGATCAGACTGTTATTTTTCGTATGATTGAAAAAGATTGAGTGAAACCGAATTTTAATATAGGGGAAAATTTAACTCTTGTACCGTTTCATTTGAAAAATATCACCTTTTCAATATGATATATTTCTTTATAATTTTCTTCACACTGATTTCAAATTTATATGAACGATTCCAGGTAATACCGACTTAAAATATTGCCTCAAAATTTTTTGTATTATTTTTATCTTCTCATTGTAAAATATAAGTAAAAAGAATAAAAATGACCGCTGCCGGAGCTCTATAACTCAATATTTGAAATTTTTACGCTTTTAGTGCACTCATTCTTTGTGAAACCAACAAACAAAAAACTACGTAGTAATACAAAAAAGGTTACCATGATTTGTATGAATATTCAGTTGGGTTCTTTATTACTTGTCTGTTCTTTAATAGAAAAATTCGATGGAGGTTCAACTCAGAGTAGCTGCAAATGCCCGTAGGAGCCGGGGGAATACCCCGATGATGGTTGCGTCGTGGTGAGCGAATCTTAGGGTCTCGTTTCCAATGCAGGTGATATGGCATGTGGCGCCTGACGTTCAACGGCCGAGTTAAAATGGCATCAGCACGCACGAACTCATTTGATATTCAATTGGACTTTTCTCCAGCTTTCCTCTCCGTGTAGAGCGAGCGATTTTCACAAAGCCTCTAAAGGATAATATAACTGAAGGATAAAAGAGGGCCGATTTGCACTCGATGCTGACACTGCTCGTAGCAGACAATGCTGGCAAGAAATCAAAGGTGAAAAACGAAAAGAATGAAGATGAAGAAGATTGCGGATTACAGTCATCAAACAGAAGTTTCATAAAATTGACCGTCTGGACAGAATACAGGGTGATATCAGCATCTTGTTTACAAATTTCAGGCAGATATAGAATAGAAAATCGGAAATTCAATGGCACAAAAATTACTAAATTCCGATAATAGGTTTTCAAATGGTGAACATTAGAATTTTTCAATACTTCAGCCAATCACATTGCGATTGACTACCGCCATGATTGGAAACGATGACGTAGTTGTCACTGGGACTCGATACACGGAGAAAAAAATTCCAGAAAAATTACTGTGGTAGCACGGTAGAATAGGTTCATTTGGACGCACCCGGAAAAATTTCCGTGCCAGCACCGGAATTTCTACCGTGCGTTTAAATTACTACCGTAATTTTTCCATGGTCCGTCCAAACGAATCCATTTTACCGTTCTGGCGCAGTAATTTTTTTGGAATTTTTTCTCCGCGTATGATAGTTAATATCGCTCTTCATTTGACAAAATTATCGGTTCATCACTGCAATGAACATTGCTCAAAATATCGCACATAACGGTTCTCCAACTATCGCGCACAATATCGTTAAAATCATCGCAGTAAATATCGTCATAATTATCGTACCATCGCCGTTTTCAATCATGGCGGCATGGCGGGAACTTGCCACGATATGATAGAGTAAATCATTGAAAAATTCGTACGCTCACTAATCAAAAATTCATTATTGTAATTTCATAATTCTTATGCCATTAAATTACTGATTTTCCATTCTATATTTTCTCACAATTTGTAAACAAGGTGCTGGCGTCAATTTGTGAATCGCAGGAGATAAGATGACACAGAAGAAACTGTTCTTAATCGCGAATGTCCAGAAAATTCGCTAGGTTTTTCCATGAAATTTTTCCATACGTGTGCATCTACCTTATATTCATTCAATTCAACTGCACGAGAGGTTCAAAGGGGACTGAGCACTTCAAACTTACGTACCCCCCCAATGTCCAATATGTAATTACCTTTAAACAGAGAATTCTAGGCAATCCGCTGGGAATCTCCGATTGGAAATGTCATGGCTATATAATCACTGCTAAATATGCCATTGAATCCGATTTGCATAACGTATCAGCTTGAAATGCGGAACACCGCCCATTTTCTAGAATCGAATGCGCAGTTTACAATTTCCCGGATGGAGTACTGATGATACCATGGGCTTCTGGGCAGTGCTTCTATCTTCGGTAGTTTTGAGTCGCTGCGTACAATCAGAGCGTGTCGTGGAAAAGTTCATTCGTGATTATTATGATGCTGAAAATATTCATCATATCAATGCTTTCGGATGTTGGGATGACATGGGTGAGTCCATTGCATTGTCGTACACGGAGAGAATATAAAATTGAAAATTACTATGCGCACGTAAATAAAACTTGAAAATTTTATTTACTTTAACCGAACTTTTGCGACGTGAAATTCATTTTTTTACGAATTAACGTAAATTAGTATTTTTCACAGATAAAACTGGATAAAATGTACGGACGAAAAAATAAATTTTTAAAGTGTTTGAAAGGGGGAGAGAATATTTTTTTAAAACTCCCACCAAGTGAACGTTGATTCTGTACCTACTAACGATTCTGATACTAATGAAAAAAAAAAATTATTTTCATCTGGAGCCCCAGGCTGTCAGATCTTGGATTTTTCCAGAGGGAAAGTCGACTTTCAGCAAAATCGATTTTTTTCGCCGAGTGAACGTTGATTCCGATGATTCAAGTGACGGGCTATTCAGAACTCTCAGCAGTATTTGGGAAAAGTAAAAAATAAAATAAAAATTCTTCACCTGGGGCCAAAAGTGTCATATCTTGGATTTTTTCAGGGGAAAAGTCGACTTTCGGCAAAGTCGAATTTTTTCCCCGAGTGAACGTTGATTCCGATGATTCATGCGACAGGCTATTCAGAACCCTCAAAAGTATTTGGAAAAACTAAAAAATAAAAATTTTAATTCTCACCTGGAGCCCCAGGGTGTCAGATTGGTCCGGACAATTCTCAAATTCAGCAAATGCAAATGCTACCATCACCTCTTAAATATGATTCAATATCGCTCTTCGGAAAATTTTTCCCCTAAACAGCCCATTGAATTTCAATCTTTTTCGAACAGTGCATTAATTTCTATTCTCCTTAGATGCATCGGAATTTTCACGGAAGCTGATGAGCCTGGATAATGCTGTATTGTACACTCCCATATCTCCGCACGTGAATTTACATAGAATTCTTAAAGTGAATTATCATTACATCGGAGTAGTTTTGGATTACGATTGCCCGATGAGTGACTTCATACTTGATAAGGTTGTCTTTTTGTGTGGATGAATAACTCAGTAAATACATGCAACAAGAAAATTCTAATTATTGATGAGGAAGAAATAAAAAGAATAAATCACAAATTAACAATTTCCTAAAATTAATATTATTCTGACAGTTTTCGAAAGAGCTAGTGTTCAACGAGTCTTACTTTTGGCTACTCCTCACCAATTCATCATCACCGCCGAATGATGTATTGCAGAAACTACCGCTCACTGTTGAATCTGAGCTGAGTGTTGCGACTAGTAGTGGTAATTCCTTCGAGTTGTGGGATGCCTACAATCCCAGTTACTCTCACGGTGGTGTCTTAAATGTTACGTACAAGGGCCGTTGGAATCCTGAGGATGGCTTGAAGAACGAACTCAATCAGTACAAATACGAAAGACGGAGTAATTTTAATTTACTACCTCTGAACTGGTCCATTGTGGTACGTTCGCTGTCTGTCTTGCTCAGGAACTCCAGTTCTGTTGCTCATTTATCTTATTCGTTTTTACTTTTTTCAATAACAATTGCATGATCCAAGGGTACACGGACGAAAAAATATAATAGAAAAATCTATCAAATTCGTTAGAAAATTCTATTGAATTTCTACTGAACAGTTCTATTAGTTTTGGCCGATTCTATTGAAATGTTCAATTGAAAATATTCAGTAGAAAAAGTCAATAGAATTCAATTTTTCTATATAACTTATTCTATTGAGATATTTTCTATAGAATTTCCTTGGCTCAAATTTACTAAGTTTTTCGTTTGATTTTCTTGATGAGAAGAAAAGAAAAATAGAATGAAAAAAACTTAGAAAATTTGAGTCGAGCAAATTCTATAGAAAATATATGAAAAGAATAAGTTATATAGAAAAATCGAATTCTGTTGACTTTTTCTATTGAATGTTTTCTATTGAACATGTCAATAGAATTTTCTGACCAATTCGGTAGGTTTTTCTATTAAATATTTTCATGCGTGCAATTTTTGCATGCATAGATATTTCTTTCTTACCCAACGAATCGTAAAATATCCTTCACAAACAGGTATTTTTTCATTGAATTGCATCTCGCCCCACAATTTTCTTGATAATTTTTATCCAACTTTTCTCTCGGTATAAAAAATTATTCATATATAGCATGAGGCATTAGGTACCTTATCGTGAATAATGTACATTATAGAATCGTATGAAACAGATCATGACTAGTTGTTTGTTAGCTGAGAAGTCATCCAGCTTCTGATCTCGAACTTTATCTCACGACACCTGTGAATCGACATCTGGATACCATGTCTCGATATCATTACGCTCTTGTGCTGCACTTGAGAGACTTCTTCAATTTTACGTGAGTGACATCAGTATTCAAATGCTAGGGTTGAATAAAGTTGACGTATGTGAACCTTTACCTTCTTATATCTTATTCTGAACAATGGTCCATTTGGCGCTGTCCACGCCTATGGCTACTTCCTTCGATCCTTCTTCTCCTCCAGAACTCCAGAATTTTTTAAAACAATTAAAATTTTCCCGAAGCCAGATAAATTCAGTAGCGAAGCGGTCAGCCGGGTCAAGTTGATTTTGACTATTGGCCAGTTTTTGACGAATATCTCGGAATCTAATAGAGATAGAAAAATTTTTGTTATGATTTTTTTGATCGAGCCAACTGAGGGTTATAAAAAAGGTCATGATCAAAATTTTGCTATCTCCCTTAGACTCTGAGATATTCATAAAAAATGGCCAAAAGTCAAAATCGACTTAACCCGGTTTACCTCTTCGCTACTGAATTTGGATCATTATCCTGCTCTGAATGAAGTAGTCTACCTGCATCCAAGGTCCATATCAAACTAATCACTTTCGATATTGAGTTCTGTTAGGGCTACTCCCTGGGTTCTTTTAAACTGGAGATAAATCTCACCGTGGGCAGATACTGGAATCCGCACTGAGAGAAAAAATTAGTTTTGCCAAAAAATTATATGCTCCCCTGGAAAGATCTTTCGTCGTCTTCAATTTATCTTCAATCAATTTACTTGTTGGAAAAAGAGAAAGTTTCCATCAAAACACGATAATTTTACGAGAAAACTACAATTTTCTTGCCAAAAACTGTGTTATTGGTAAAACCAAATAATTTCGATTTGGAAAAAAAAATCTGTCCACAGTATAAATCTATGGAGTTCTCTCAGATCAAATAACTGTCGTACAACAGATTATATTTTCTTTTGCCAACAGGAAATTGAATTTTTGTGAACGATATTAAATTTCCCCTCTAGTACATCTGTATCACTCCATCAAATATTCTCACGTGAAACATAGGTTTTCGGCAAAGCTTTTTTTTCTCACTGCGCTGGCGTAGTTGATAGAAATAGAGGTGTTTATTTATTCAAACTAACTCATAATTATCCAGAAGAGATAATTACGGGAAGATACAAAAATAATCCAAAATAAATGTCAACTCGATTTAGACTTGACGACTGAACTTCCGAATATTCGCGAGTCCAGCTTATATAATAATTGTCCGTGTCACGTTACGACACTGGTAAACAGTGTTGCACATGAACGCTGATTTAGTCAAAGAATAACTGAAGTGAGCTGTCCTGGATTTATCGTTCAACTTCTGCACTTTTGTAAATAAATTATTACTCAATATTACAACACAATTTTGGGACATAACAGTTATTCTCTCGTAAGCCAGGATAAATCTGCAAATTCACGAGTCCTGGGGCTACTTAGTGAACGGTACGTTTGGTGGCTTGATAGGCGCTTTGATGAAGGGACAGGCAGATGCCAGTGTCTCATCATACCAGTACAAGCTGGAGAGAATGGATGTGGTCGATTATCTCGTCGAAACGTTGAATGTCAAACTTCGTTTTTTCTTCCGTCACCCCAGGAGTAATGATCTGCAGAATAATTTCTTGAAGCCCTTCGCTATTCATCTCTGGTGGGTGATAATAGCTGTTGGTTTTTTTTACTGGGGTATCATGGTCATTCTGAAGAAATTTGAAATATATTATGAGAGGATTGAGGAGAATGAGAATACCGTATCTTCGACTGCCCTGACTACTATTGCTGCGATTAGTCAACAAGGTACGAACTGGAGGGTAACAAAAAATAGTATATTTCATGGCGAGTGCCATGGGGCTTTTCACTTGCGTGGAGTTGGCGAGTGACTGGCCAACCACGCGAGTAAAAAAACCCCATAGCACTAACCGTGAACGATATTTCTCCGTAGTGATTTTCACTTTTATGAGTTTGGGGAAGGACTAATACCAATCCCTGGACGTGGAAAAGTGAAGATCAGTACTTAAAAAATAGTATATTTCGATATGATTGCGGGAAAGTGTTTTTGGGCTCGTGGGAGGTTTATAGCACGAGCCGAAGGCGAGTGATATAATCCCACGAGTCTAAAAACACTTTTCCCGCGAGTATTGAACCTTATTTTTCATCACAATATGTGGGAAGTGGGGTTTTGCGCAGGCGGAGCGTGCGTAAAATGTCACTTTACACACAGCATGATGAAAAATAATTGTCACTTGCTCCCCGGCTGGGTGCCACTGGTAGGAGTGAGTTGGAGTGGGTGTGACTCATTAGGGGTTGAACCAACAACTTCCCGATTAAGGATGTTTAGCCAGTGTCGGTAACTTGTCGGCCAATGTGTTTTTATTCATGGTCAAGGAAAATTCTGTAATTTTTTCGACTGACAGCAGAACATTTGAAACTAACTTTTTTAACGCTAAAAAAAATTAATTGCAATAGTCACGGCAGAAATGAATAAACTAACTTTTCCGTATACACGGGCTCTTATGAAATTCAGGTTCAAATTCATAATTCACCTATTAGAAGACTCTAAAAGTAGGAATAAAAATAGAAAAAAAAGTGAGATTCATTTAATCTTCGGCCCAAAAAAAATAAAATCATCTTTTATTAAATTCCATGTTTCTAACAGGATTGAGTACTCCACCGACGATAACTTCCGGTCGCCTGGTATTTTTCTCACTGTTCTTGTGGACTCTTCTCCTGTTTCAATTTTACTCAGCCAGTATTGTTGGCTCGCTGTTGGCGCCTCCGCAGAGATGGATCACAACTCTGGACAATCTAACCGATAGTAATCTAGAATGCGTTGTCGAAGATATGCCCTATATGGTTGATTACTTCGCAGTGAGTTATGATCACACGAATGAAAAAATTTCATAGGAAAACAATTCAACAAAATTCCATTTATCCATACAGCTTATTCTATGGAGATATTTTCTATGGAATTTCCTCGGCTGAAATTTCCTGTTTTTTTGTTTGATTTTCTTGATAAAAGAAAAAGAAGAAAAGAAAAATAGAATTTTTAAAAACTGAGAATATTTGAGCCGAGGAAATTCTGCAGAAAATATCTGATGAGAATACACGGAGAGAAATATTCAAGAAAAATTACGGAACATTTCACGTAATCCGCAAGCGAGAATCGTTTTCAGTGAATTTCTATAGGAATATAAGATTATAAATCTGAAACGTTCAGTAAATTTTCGGGTCTGTCACCGAAAAAATACGAAAAAGTCACGTAATTTTTCTGGAAGTTGTAAAATCTAACAGAAACTTCAAGACTTATTATGCCTCAGAACATGAAAATTCTTGGATGTTTAANTTGTTTACGAATTTTTACGAAAAGTTCCGGAAAAATTACGGAACGTGTTATTAAAATCTCCCCCTCACGGCGACTCATGGCTAGCCGTGAGGCATCGGACGGATGAGTAGTTTTTACGGAACAGATCGTAGAATTTACGTGACGATTGACACTTTTTATTGAATTTTACTTCGCTCCCAGATTACGTTTCGAAACGTAATTTTTACGTCTTTTTTCTGGTAATTTTTATTGAATATTTCTCTCCGTGTAGGTTACATAGAAAAATCGAAGTCTGTTGCGTTTATCTATTGAACACTTCAATAGAAACCCAATAGAATTTTTTAACGAATTCGCTAGGTTTTTCCATTGAATTTTTTCGTGCGTTCTACTTTTGTTCCTTTGAATATTTGACATACGTCTATTTTTCAGACTACAGCAAATCCTCACACCAAAAAGTTGTTCGAACGTAAGATCAAAGCAACCAAGAAAAAACCCAAGGGAAGCTATATGCCCGCAATTGAAGGAATACAGCGTGTACGTGAAGGTGGATTCGCATTCCATATAAATGTTGCAGCGGGGTATAAAATAATTGAGGTATGATACGATTTATTTTCGGAAGCAAAAAAGAATGGGCAATGAGATGCGATGAGACAACAAGACCTCTCGTTTTCTAGGATACATTCAAAGAAAATGAAATATGCGAATTACAACAGATTGACATGGTGGGCCAATGTCTAACATCTATGGTAACAGCGAAACATTCACCTTTCAACGAGATGTTCACATGGAGGTGAGTTAAGATTAAAGATTGTAGGCGCACTTTTCAAAATTTTTAGCTGAAATTTATGGCATTTTTCAAAAATTTTCATCACATTTTTGTTGCACTGGAATTTCGTCGTTAAAAAATCAGAATTTCATGAATTTCATTCTATGTATAATAATATAATCTCTCTAAATTATAAAAATCAAAATCGTCTTCTGATAATAAAAATTTGCTACTCGAAATTAAGACTTCACATTAGGAGTCACGAGGGTCAGAATAAGGGTCACAGGGGTCAGATTAAGGGTCATATGGGTTAGGTTAAGGGTCACGAATAGCAGATTAAGGGTCCCAATCTGACAAGTGTCAGAGGAAGGGTCAAGAGGGTCAGATTAAGAGTCACACGAATCAGAGTAAGGGTCACAAGGGCCGGATTAAGGGTCACAGGGGTCAGATTAACTGTCATAAGGGTCAAAATAAGGGTCATATGGGTCAAGTTAAGGGTCACGAGTGGCAGATTAAGGATCACAAAGGGGTCATATGGGGATTGGCGAGCGGAGCGAGCAGGGGGCGTAGCCCCCTAGTGTATGTATAATAACATCCATCAAAAACTATTGATTTTATTTCCTACACATTTTTAAAGAGAAAAACTAATCTTTTATCGAATGTTTCAACATTTTCTGTTTGACTTTTCAATACATCACTCCAATGGAGTAACTTTTTAATTAATGTATAACGTTTTTCGCTCATCTAGCGTAAGAAAAGCTGTGGAAAGCGGTCTAACAAAGAGACTCGATCGAGTTTGGAATCAGCAATGTCCACAATGTCCAAAAAGCTACAGCTCCAAACCGACTCCCGTCTCAATGCAGCAGTTCAGTCCAGCGATTTTTCTTCTTCTCATCGGATTCGGTTCCTCTTTCTTAATATTGCTAATCGAATATTTGCACTATTGGAAGTGCAGCGACTACCTTTCGAATGTTGAGGACACCAACTCTGTGGCCGGCACGGATGGTACCGAAGAGGAGCAGTCCTACATGGTCGAGGGTTTCCACGTTGCCGACGATGGACAAGCAGTAATTTTCTAAATGCAAAGATTTTCTATTATCAGAACTATTTTTTCTGACAAAGTCATGAAGTTGAAGTGCGAAAATTCTGGAAATGCCATTTTTGTTCCGAAATAAACTGCGATTGTGGACATTTTTAATATTCACTGGAATTAGCAATCGGCAAGGCTAGATTCCTACTTACTCAGCAGTCGGAGCTGACGTTGAAGCATAGAGCTCTATTGTCCATTGTTGGAACATGAAGCATTGATTTATTCGCAGTGCAGACCATTGTTAAATGAATTCACAAAATCAACCGCAAGCAGCCGGGATGTTGGTGCTTTCATTAGGGCCTTTTCCTGTCAAATTTGATATTATTTTTTTCAATTTGTCATATGTCCCAATTTATCAGCTGTTAAATTTTCATATTACCATAAATGATTTGCTCACTTTCTAATTCCTATGTTCACAGAATAAGATTTTAATCATAATTACAATTCAATTCCGTCTGCAATGTTTGTTGATACTATGGTAGAGGTGAATGTTCACACTGTTATCAATTTTTAGTTAGTTCACACAGTAATTCAATTAATCTGTTGTCCATCTCATCAATATAATCCCGCGCTTAGAATATTGTCATCTCCTGTTTTCAGCACCAAATTAAAAATTAAAACTTCATTTGGAATATTGAGTCACATTCTTGTTATTCACATCAGAAATTTTGTATTTGAATATTAATATTATTTGTTCAAAGTGGAAAAATCGATCATCAATTTCACTATATTGCGTTCAGATTCTCCTATCTTTAACGTAAAAAATGTGAGATAATCTTGTAATTCTAGTTATTGTCATCAACTCTGTTCGGAGAAAACCTTAGTACACGCTCTATTAATAAAGGTGAATTATTCTATTTTCCTCTGATTGCATGATTGCATGATTATATGTGGTCGTCCGCATGAAAAGGGACCACTTTGGCACTATTGGAGTTATGTATATGCCGATAATCTTGATCTGATTCTGCAAATTTAGAACCAAAAATGAACTTGATAGCGTTTACGCTATCACGACGTTATAGACGATCGAAAAAATAATTTAACATGGGTTTAAATGGGAGTTGGCAAGAGAAAAACGTGAATATCTCGGAAAATAGAATCGACAAAATGGTCCCTTTTCATGCGGACGTCCACATATGATTGCATTTAAGAATTATCGTAAATTGGTCCAGGTATTTTACGAGGATATTTTGGGTTCTGAGATTTTTTTCTGGCAGATTTTATTACTGACAGTTCGATTAATTATTTATGTAATTCAATATTCCTTTTTTCAATTAATTGTTTAGAATCATTTTCGTCGCAAAAAACAATATGATCGATCGAAAACATGTTGTTTTTCAATAGAAACGTTCAAACGAAACTATTTCATAGAAAAAATCGACACAAGTCACTTTCCCTATACAACTTATTCTATTCCCTACAGAAATTGCTCAGCTCAACTTTTCTCAGTTTTTTCGTTTCATTTTTTTTACGAAAAGAGAAAAATAATCAACCGGAAAAATCTTGAAAAATCCATGTCTGGCAGTATAAGATTTCTGAATAGAAGAAAGCAGAAATTCTCCTGACTTTTTCCATAAAAAACATCCATTGTTCATTTTCGAAAAACAGCATATGAACGAATTTGCCATATTTTCTGAAATTGTTTCGTGTATCGAATACTTGGATTTCCTCAATATCACCCAAGCACTCGCTGTCCAGAAACCAATAGTCTACTCTGAAAGATCAAGAATACCCCCCAAATATTTTCCAAAATATCCAAGCCTGAACCACCTCGACAAAACCAAACTTGTTGAATGCCCTAATCTCCACCCATCCTCTCCAATTCCTCTGTTAAAGCGTAAAACAACCTACGACTACCCCTCCCCGTTTCCATTACGTCAATCCTCCGGATGATTCCCCATTTAAACAATAACAAAACTAAAAAAAAATAGTTGCCAGCCTAGGTGACAAGGCAGTCCATTGAAATTATTTATACCCAGCAAAGAAACTCCGCTCGATGACCCGCTACACGCCTAGCGTCAATAATCGATCTCCTCTTTTGTTTTCAATCTATTTAAAAAATACAAGGCTCATTATATCTTAAAGCAATCGTTATAAATCCATCGAATGTAATCAACCATTGAGAATGTTCATGTGCGACTGACTCCACGTAAAGAACATATACAATGAAATATAAAGCACCTTGTAAAGAAAACTGGTCACACACTGGGTGCAAAGTGTTAGTGGAAAGCATCTCACGTATTTCTCGAGTTACGTGAGATGGGTTTGTTTAGTCATGAATGCATCCCAGCAGCCGCCCCCTCAGCAACCAGTGATCCCACTGAACAATTGATGCATTGGTATTTCTGATGTCTCCTTTTGTCCGAATTGTAATGCTCACTCGTGAGCCCCTTCCACACCACTCTACAGTGACTACTCACAAGTCGTTTCAACAGGCATTCTCTAGGATTAGGGCAAAATCAGAATCGCATGACTAAATGGCCCCGAAATTTTTGCACTCATTAGATTGAGGCGATAGGGAAACCGATGGGGGGACAAAATCGAGGCGACTTCAGGAAAAGGTCAGATTTATTCGGCTTACTCGCAGGTAAGTGGCAATGAGTGATGACGTTTGAGGGAACAACCACGAAAAAATTTAGTAGAAACATCTAGCGCTGAGAAATTCTATTGAATTTATATCGGAGTTATTTGGTCGAAATTTTCCACAATGTTAGAATTCTATTGAACGACTATATAGTGGGCTTCGTCCCCTGCTCACTTCGCTCGCCATACACGGCGGGGGGAAGGGAGGCGCCATACACGCCCCGCCTCCCCGCTCGCTTCGCTCGCCCCCCTCCCCCCGATAGATAATCTCCGATAGAAAAGACGCAAAAAATAAATAGAATTTTGTATCGTGACGACTTCAGGAAACGGTCAGAATTATTCGGTTGACTCGCAGGTAAGTGACAATGAGTGATGACGTTTGAGGGAACACCCACGATGAAATTTAGTAGACATATGTAGCGCTGAGAAATTCTATTGAATTTATATCGGAGTCATTTGGTCGAAATTTCCCATAACATTAGAATTCTATTGAACGACGAGTGGGCTTCGTCCCCTGCTCACTTCGCTCGCCAGATACGGTGGGGGGCGCCATACTCCCCCGCTCGCATCGCCCCCCCCCCCCACCGATAAATAATCTCCAATAGAAAAGACGTAAAAAACAAATAGAATTTTCATACAATTATAACAAAACTTCAACGAAATTTTTATAGATTTCCAATAGAAATTCAATAGAATTCATTAGAGAAAGCGTTAGGTTTTTCTATTAAATTGTTTCACGCGTAAAATGAGGTAAAAATAAATTGCAAAACAAATCAATACGATCATTTTTAAGATGAGTAAGACATCATTCTCTTACGATTGGGTTGGAGGTGATTGCAGGATGTCATCTGTTCTGTGTAATTATTTATGCATTTAATATTAGGTTTCAGTACGAGAAAGCAGTACGAGACTACATGAAAGATTAATATTTTTTTTCGGAATGGGGTGTCCTTAAAATGTCAAGGAAAGTAGAAATAAGAAGATGATGTTATTTCTATCTTTTGTCTGAAGGTTTACTTCTGCATAAGTTCTGAATTTACTCATTCATTACGACAATACCTGATTCATGATCCACTGGGTCGAAGATTTGAGTGTTTCCAGGTATTTTATCACGTCTTGACGACAATTTATTTCTTGAGCTGAGAATTCTAGGGAATTCTTGTCCCAAACGATTTCACATACGAAAAAATTTCATAGAAAAACCTAGCGAATTCGCTTAAAAATTCTATTAGGTTTTCGTTCATTATATTAAAGAAGTGAATGAATAAAAAAAATATTGAAGAGTTCCGCAGCTTTACTCCGCGTTTTTTTCATAAAAATTGTCCAATAAAAACAATTTTATGAAAAAAAATTTCTATTCACAACTTTCCTACAAGACTTCCTCGTCATAAATTTTCAAGTTTTTCGAATGTATTTCTTTCGGCCAAAAAATTCAGTCGAGGAATTCACATAGAAAATATCTCAATAGAAAAAATTCTACTGAAAAAAAAAATCCATTGATTTTCACTATAAAATATTCAGTATTGAAGAAAGCGCAAAGAAACAATTTTTTTCCGTATTGTCCTCGACTAATTCGACTGAAGAAATTCGTTTCTTGATATTAGGGTGTTTTTCTCTCAGTACATTTCGATGTATGTGTCATGAAGTGGAATCAACGAATGAATACATGAAATTCCACGACAAAAGTCAGACACGGTTGAAAAGAGAAGGAAAAGCCCTCTATACTACCCCCTTCCTCAATGGATCAATACCACCAACTTCGTGACGCGGACGTGACGTAGTTCGAGGCAAACCGTACATACGATAGAAGGGTAACATGCAGTTAGGAAGTCGAGGGACCACTGGCCGCGGTTCAAGGACTCTTAGGGGTGATTAGGGCGGCGAGGGGGAGGAATAGAGGTGAAAGCGCGTGGATTTAGTGCACGTTTGGTCAGACGGGGGGATGTGTTGCTGTACGAAGTACAGTGTTGTACGCCCATGAAACGATGCAAGATTGATAATGCTGCGTTGAGACTGGATTGAATGTTTAATGGGGCTAAAAAGTCAATTTTTGAGTGAGAGCGGTGGAAAGTTGAGGATTTGTAATGATTCAATTTATTATTGATGGAGTTTGTAGCGGACGAAGTTATGACTGGCAATCGTGGGAAGGGCATATAGGTTTATTAAAAATAGTATGAGGTGAAGATGAAATGTGCATAATTCATGATTCAGGGGGCGTTTTCACGACATCAATTTGGACATGAATTCGTATCTGGGAATGAATTCCGACATGAATCCATATCTGGGGAGGAATTCATGTCGAGAATTCACGTCTGCACATTATGTCTGGTTTATGTCCGGACAGGAACTCGGGGTGGAACATAAATATGCGTCAGGACATACATTTATGTCTGGACAGGCCATTTAGTCGTTTGAGCATGAATTGAGGTATAGACAGGAACTTATGTCCGGACATGAGTTCAAGTCTGAACATGAATTTATGTCTGGGGATGAATTCCTGCCGGACAGGAACTCGGGGCAGAAAATACATATGTATCAGGACGTGAATTTATGTCTGGACAGACCATTTAGTCGTTTGAGCACAAATTGAGGTATAGATAGGAACTTATTTCCGACATGAGTTCAAGTCTGGACATAAATTTATGTCTGGGGATGAATTCCTGTCGGGAATTCACGGCTGGACATGAGGTTATGATTGATTCATGTCAGATACGAAATATTGTGGAAACTTTATTTTGTATTTGAACATAAATTCCTGTCTGGGACAGGCCTTATGGTCGTTTGAGTAGGAATGAAAATCTAGACAGGAACTTATGTCTTGATATGAGTTCAAG